ATGGCGATGCGCCCCGAGTCGTCCGCCTCGAAGGTGAGGAACGTCGCGGCCGTGAAGAACCGCTGGCACTTGCTGCCCACGCGCTCCGCGCACACCGCCGCCACCTGCGTGAAGTCGTCGTAGTTGATCTGCGCAGGGCGCGGTGGGGAGGGGGGGGGGTGGTTGAGGGAGGGGCGGGGGGGAGATGGGGGGAGCGAGCTGGGCGCGCGGAAACGGGTGGGTGGGGGAACTAACGGGGGATGGGGTGAGAGAGGGAGGTGCCCGAGTCCTCGTCAGGTGGCGTGCGGTTCTCCCGCAGGCACATCCACAGCATCTCCAGAAATGGCACCCCTCAAGACTCTTCCACCCTCTCCCACTTCCCCCCACTTCCACCCACCCACTCCAACTCCCCCCTCTTCCACCCCCCTCCTTCCTCACCCGCTCAGTGCCCGAGTCCTCGTCAGGTAGCGTGCGGTTCTCCCGCAGGCACATCCACAGCATCTCCAGCTCGCTCTGGTCCAACAGCGACTCCTTCTGCCGCTGCTCGTGTCGCGCACACACACAGGGCGCACGGAACGGCATAACAGCAGCCGGGGAAGGAGAGGAGAGGAGGAGAGCCCAGTAAAGGGGGGGGGGGGTACGGGAGTTGATGATGAGAAGATTTTTCAAAAGAGGTTCTCCCGCAGGCACATCCACAGCATCTCCAGCTCGCTCTGATCCAACAGCGACTCCTTCTGCCGCTGCTCATGACGGGAAAGCCAGGGACAGACGGGGCCAGCGCACGGGATAGGATAGGAAAGGGGTAAGGATAGGACAGAGCCCAGGAAGGGGTAGGGAACCAAGGGAATGGGGTGAGAACGAACGGACTTGCATAAAAGGAGCATTGCCCCTTCCATCCTGCATCGCAGACGTGCCGGCATGAGAAACAACAGAAAGCAGGAAGCAGAAAAAAGTGCTCCCGCACTCTCCTTCTCCCCATTCTCTCCCCAGCCCCCTTCCCCTCCCCGCCTACCCTCTCTGCTAGCTTAACTTCGGCTTCCCCCATCTCACCCTGCCTTCTCTCTCCCTTGCCCTTTCTCCCTTTTCCTTCTCTCCTCCCCTGAACCCCACCTCATTCTCCCCCCTCTCTCTATCCCTCTCCCCGGCACCCCGTGCGGCACCTGCAGAAACTTGAGCTTGGCTGCCTTCTGCACTCGCGACGACTTTTGAGTCGACTTAAAAGTCATCTCCCTCCCTTCCCCACCACCTCATTCTCTCCCCCCTCTTTATCTCTCCCGGTCACCCCGTGCGGCACCTGTAGGAACTTGAGCTTCGCGGCCTTCTGAATTCGCGACGGGATGCTGTCCGGCGATGGCTTCTGTTGGGGGAATGAGGGGGACACGGGGGGGGGGAGAGAGCGGGTGGGGAAGTGAGCGGGCGAGGGAGAGAGCGAGTGGGGGGGAGAGTGGGGGGGAAAGCGAGCGCGTGAGAAGAGGGAGGCGAGAGGGAGCCAAGAGGAGTCGAATTTGTCCTGCGACGAGCGACCAACAGCAGACATGCAGGCAGGCAGACATGCAGGTCAAGCTTCCTGCCCCTCTTCTCCTCGCTCCCCCACTACACGGCAATTCCACTTCTTCAAGTCACCCTCCTCTCTCCACCCTCCCTTCACTCCCTCCTCTCCAAGGCCCCTTTTACACCAAGGCCCTCTTTCTTAAGCACAAGCGGGGCGTGACACACCGGGTGTGTGTACTTCGAGTCGACTCAGCGACACGTGGTCACAGCGGGCAGCGCACCTGCTTGAACAACACTGGGATAGGGTCGGCAGGAGCGATATTAGAGGCGCCTCTTCTAAAAAAAGGCGCCTCAGAGAACAAAGGCAGCAACGCACCTGCTTGAAGAACACCGGGATAGGGTCCGCGGGAGCGACTTTTGAGGCGCCACAAAACACAACTCTTGAGGCGCCTCGAAACACAACTTATGAGGCGCCTCGAAACACAACTTATTAGGCGCCTCGAAAGGCAGCAGCGCACCTGCTTGAAGAACACTGGGATAGGGTCGGCTGGAGCGGCGGGCTGCTGTAGCCTTCGCGCTTCCATGATGTGCCGCAGATGCCGCAACACCTCGTCCTCTGGAGGGGAAGAGCGGGGGGGTGGGGGAGGGGGAAATGGGGGAAGGCGAAGAGGGGAAGGGGAGAGATGGGCGATGCCGGACATGCGGTGAGACGGGGAACGTGAAAGAAGAGAAGAAATGCGCAACACGCGCGCACGCGCGTGTTGCTGAACCGTAGCTGCTTTGTGAGTGAGAGAGAAATACAGCGTAGAAGAAGAACAGAGAGAAATAGAGAGAGAGGGAAAAAGAGCGCGCGAGCGGCGTGCTGCTTAAGAAACAGCCAGGTTGTCCTCAAACAACGTCATCCGAAACATCTCGCCGCACACGACACAACCACCTCATCTCTCTCCTCGTTGCCCCTCTCCTCGTCCTCCATCTCATCATTCCTTTCCCTGTGCCTGCGCCACACATTAACTGCGAGCATGCAACCCGCCGTGACGCACCTAAGTTATGTTCTGCGCCGTCCGGCCCGCTGGCAGGTCCCGCAGCCGCTTCGGTCGCCGCGGCACTCGCGGACGCTAACGCTGCCTCCATACCTCCCCCGCGCGAACCAGGCCTTCCGCCAATTCCCAGGCTATTCCTCCCCGTTAGCTTGTCGGAACCTCCGCTCGCATGGGGAGAACTTCTTCCTCCGCGCCCCTTCATTCCCGCCAGTCCTCCGCGGTCGGCGGCTGTGGTTGCAGCGGTGCTTCTGCTATTGTCCTCCTCCACGTATCGGCGCAACGCCTGCACCCACGCGAGACCGCTCTGCTTCGCGGCCTCTGGGATTTCCGGTCGCGATGCGCCGACGGCTGCAGCCATGGCGGGACGGTGGGTGACTCAGCCTGCGAGGCCGGGAGCCGGTTTAGACTGACGGACCTACACGGACGCTGCTTAACGTGAAGAAGCTACGCGAAAGCAGGTTTAGACTAACGGAGCTACACGGAAAGCGGTTCGGCCCGCGAAGCGTTACAAAAGCTACAAGGAAACAGGCTCAAATAGACGGCGCTGTAAGGAAACTGGCTCTCAAGTCTGTAAGGCCACCAGCAAGTATCGGAGAACTGCAAGGAAAGGCGTTGCTATATGAAGTAGTCGTTGCTATGCAGAGCAGGCGTTGCTATACGAAAACAGAGTTGCTGTGAAAACTCAGGAACGACGCGAATGGCATAGGTTCTAACGACGACGCCTCTAGCCGTGAAGTATGTGCGTAGATTAGCTTTGAGGTAGGGTAGTAAAACACAACGAAAACTAACTGTCACCCAGCTACTGGAACGGTATGAACGCTCATGTGCAATGAAGCCATCGGGTACTCGCTACGGAAATTCGTTTCGAGCTGTTAATTTACGATCAATCCAGAGCAGGAATCCGTTTATCCCGGTCCGCTCCACAAGCAACGCCTTTTTGCAAAGTCACCTCGACCACGACGAGGAACAAAAGGTAACCAGAAACAACAGCAAGGAGGAATCTATTCGGTTGGCAGGAAACTAAAGTTGGCTATCAAGTCCAGTTGCCTAGGAGGATGTGTGAGTGTGGAAGTGGAGGGGGTGATGTTCTCGAGGTGAGTGGAGTCATAGCGGAGGAGGATGATGTGTTGTCCGCTCCGCGGAGAGGGGCGGAAATGGATCGGGGGAAAGGCGTGTGCCTTGGGGGAATTGGGGGAGTGCGGGGCACTGTAATATTCTGTACCATGCGCGCATCTGGTTTCCGCTCGGTTGGGGAGTGGGGGGATCCTCGTGGTGAAGGTCTTGGGGGGAACGGCGGTTGTCCTGTGGCGCAAGGTCTTGGGATGGGATGGCGGAGAGACCCCCAGACCAGATGTGTGGAGTGTATGGGTGATGGTCCACGTTCTGGTTGGGGCTCATCTAGCGTTTTGTCACGGATGTTGAATGAGCGAGGAGGGGCGATGCGGGAAGCGAGATTTGCGCAGCGCCTTGGTAAAAGTTGAGAGCTGGCACTGGGAGCCGACTGACAGGAATCGAAGCGCCAGCCGACACAAGAAAACAACGGTCATGTACACTTGAGCGTGAAACTCCATTTGTTTATCAGTATTAATAATAATTACTATACCATGATCTACAAACACCTGGATTAGAAAACCCACATTGCTCTTGTCAAGTCCATACGGGATTATATTGTCCAACTAATTCATCACACAAACCACTTCATGAATTTTATAATTATGGTAAACTACTATTCTGCCTATAATATCAGGATTCATAATTTACTGAAAGTTACAAGAAAATATGGAGATTTATAACTTTTAAAGCTATCTTGATTTAAATAGTGGGTATAACGTTTGTTTCTTTCCTTACCTTTGTAAGAATGTGTGTTACATACTTGTGGGCATGTTCAGAATACTAAATTTCATTATAGCTCGCCACCAGCTTCCCCCTACAAAACCTTATTGACGAGGATGTCGGCTGTCACCAATAGTGCAACTCACGAGCACGACTCCCTTTCGTATTCCGATTCGTGACCAATCAGCTCCTTTCGCAAAGCCGCCAATCGAAGAAACCAACGACCGCCCAAAACCAAAATCTCCAATTTCTTCGCCGCGTCGCTAGCGGCTCGTCGATGACCAAAGTACATGCGAGCGTGCGTTTGGCGCGCGCAACGTCGTTGTGGCTGCCGATCGAAAAATGTTGCGCGTGACTCATTTGGGCGGTGACTGTTTTGAAGCATGGATGCACCGCATACATTGATCACTCAATTCTTTCCGAGTCATGCTCGGGCCACGGTCGCGGTGCCCCTCTCTCATCTCATGCTCCCGCTCCTGCTTTCAACACAAAAAGCTCACTCCAAGTTCGTCAGGTATCCTTGTCACGGAGCCTCGCACATCTACGGCATCCAGTGACGAGCCTGATTAGCTCTCCAAGAATTTAGCTTTCGCAGCTTTCTTCAGCGTTATCAGTTTTAGGTCTCCAAATTCGCCTTCACGCACACCACTCCCAGCCATGGCGGCCAATGGCTTCCGCGCGTTCGCCAGTGTCATTGCTCTCCTTGTCCTCGTCGCGTCTCCGCTTACGTGCGCGTTGCAAGGCAAGTGAGCTCGTGGAAAATAACATTGAGCAGAAGCGTTTCTCTCCGCCGCAAGGCATTCGGCTGATGGCGTTGCGTCGCATTTTCTGAAATTGAGCCTCCAGACGCAACCTGAAAAGGATTTACAACTATGACTAAAACAAAACTCGCCTTCATCTTACCTTAATTAGCCATGACACTCCTGACGGGGATTGTCGTTCTCATCAATCCGCCATACGTCCTTCCGGTGCTCCCCGCTTCTCTTCCCTTTCTGCAGATGAACCATCCGAATCTTCCATCGAACGGCGAATTTTAGGGTAAGAATCATCGTGTGCCTCGCTTGTAGCTCTGCCTCGTACAGCACAAACTACCGGATCTAGTATTCGCAGCAACTTGCGCATTCGTACGCCAATCTCTCCTGAGAGATTATGCAATCACGCAATCACCACGTTGAGTGTCCCTTCCTTGCACTCTCACCTTCCTGATCCTGCATCCTGTCCCCCCCTCGATTCCGCAGAAACGGGAAGCCCCCGCGTACTCCGCTTAAATACACCGACCGCGAGTGCATCGCGAAGCTGAACAAGGCCGGGAAGCTGGTCCAAGAAGGTGCCGTGTTCGTGAAATCCGCCAATCCCAAGGACCCCCTGCCGACCTACTTCCCGCGCCTCGTCGCCGCCGTGCAATCGCTGCGCAACGGCGCGCTGCTGCTCAAGAGCGAGCAGCGCTCATTGGTTCTCGTGCAGATCTCCAACGGCATGAATAACATCAACACCGCTCTCGCGTTCCTCAGGCCCCCGCCGGGGTCCAAGGCGAAAATGACGGAGAGGCAGGCGACCGCGATTGACTATCTCGGAGGCGCGCTCCGGGTGGCTGATCTTGCCCGACAGTCGTTTGTGGGGAACAAGAAGAACCAACCTGGTGGCGCCGCTTAAATAAATGCATAATACTCATATAGTATTGGAGAGAGATACGGTTCTTGGTGTGAGGACCCCAGTAACTGGTTCCGTCAAGAGTAGGTGGTAGATAACTTAGAATACCGTAGTATCGGGGAAAAAAAATAGGATACATAGTGGACATGGATAAGGAACGCACAAGGCACTGCGCCTAACTCCCCTGTCCTCTTGCAATAATTAATGCATATACGGAGTCCGCAACTGGTGCATTATCAATCTACTGAAATGCAAGTAATACTCCTCCAACCTTTGGTGCTGTTCAATGCTCTTGCCCTAACTAAATGAAGCTATGAAGATGAGTTATTGACTGTTTGCGGAAGGTTGACTTGATTGACAGGTATCTATTTTTAGTAGGCCAGGCGCAATTCTCTCCTGATGCTTTCGTCGTCCACTGTCAACTTCTGTGCGACAAGCAGTGGATCCTACACCAAAGCCGGTAAGTCATCCTGGGCCAATCGGTCGGACCGGGAGGCTATGGTCAGTCTTCTGGCTACGGTATGCTAGCATGGAACCATTGCAGTTAATTTCTATGGTAGCCCTGAGTCGAGCTCACAGTGTGTTTGGAGTTTGGACCCATGTTTGTGGACGCTCTGCAGATTGAGGCTGCAGCAGCACCTGCATCACCTGTTTTGGGAGGTACAATCGCGACCGGATAGATTGTGAGCACCATGGTTGATACCCACCCAACGTGATAATTTATGGAAAACTTGTTCACATGTTTTTTACCAAACGTAATAGCTACAGACAACACAATGGCGGTCCACCACCAAATCTGAAATTGGGTCTCACGTTGCAGGCTGAAATCTCTCCAATTGGGCCAGAACGTCAACACAAATGGAGAGTTCTACTTCATGGTACATGGCAAGTTAGGGTCATCCAGACTTCATTACAGTATCATATTTGCTTTGAATATTCAATATGAGAGGGTCACACACCAGTCAAGACTCTTCCTCTGTACATCTCTTTGCTCTCGAGACGATCCTATGTGTATGATATCAGCAAGAGATATATAGAGCAAGAGTAACTGGAAGTCCACAGATGTGACTGATTGCATTATAGAGCTCATAATCTTGTGGGTATTGTTTGCACCTGGGCGATGTACGTAATGATTCACGTGTAGGTTTGTGTTGCAGACGGGTGTGGATTTCGCTCAATATCGTAGGTTATCTGGAATATCGCCACGATGTTTCCGCCTCCACGGCAATGCTGCAGTACGGTGACTGAAAGCCCAATCACAAGGTTCCTAGTCTCCAGCGGTGCACTGTGATCTGGCTAGCAGCAACAGTTGACGCTGGTTGTGGCAGGATCAGATATTATCACTGCTGCCGGTCGATACAGACAGTTTTGCCTTTGTCCTCCATCCGAGTCAGCATTTCTGACAAGAGGTACACAAGCAGGAGTGTGGCGGTGGGCCAGGATGGGGTTATCGCACAGCCTTCAATCACTTGCACGCAGGATCTCTTTGAGCTAAACTCACCGTCCACGTCATGATGTGTGGCGCAGCCGTGGAAAGCTACTGCCAAGTTCTACCTTTCAACCTGCCAATCCCGTGCCTAGCCGCCAGAAAAGCTGGAATCTGTGGCTTATGTGGTCCCAAAAGTGCCCCACTTTCCCGCCGAGCCTGTTGGCCCTTGGCCCACTGCACGTCAACATCAGGGATATCTTGTCGTTCCACCTCATCCTCCTGATCCGCGCTGCGCCTTTTTATTCCTGCCAGGTCATTGCACTGTGGCGGTCCGATCAAAAGCGCGTGGCGCTCCGTCCGTTCGATTCCATTTCGAGCGGCTTGATTAGAAATTGTCGTCACACGGCCAAACCGAGGGACTGCTCTGCCCCGCTGTCTGATATTCCCAAGGTTCCCTGATCCATCCATGATTTCCTCTGCCACCATTCCTTCCAATACCTTCCATCCTGTTCCTTCTGCTTCTTATCTCGAAGTTCCCAAGGCGGCCTCGGTCAGCAGCAAGCAGAAAGCAAACAGCAAAAGTCGAACACCGAAACCGAGACGTAGCACCAACAGCTCAGCACAGCACAGCGTCACAGCACTGCAACCTCGTCGATCTGGCCAGCTCATCCTCCCTCGAGGTTCCGCGATACGTACCTCCGAGCCAAGGGTAATCTGCATTCATCGAGATAATCCTCGCAGCTCAGGCCATAGAGCCCAGAAGAACGTGTGGGTGGTGGTTTTGCTCCTCAAGCGGACAACGCAACAGCACCCGACCCAAACCAACAGCAATTGAGCTTCGCATCCCATTTCCGTCCCTGCAGCAGTATTGCAGAGGACCAATACTTTGGCAGCGAAGCCCGACAGTCACAGAACGTGAGCGTGTGAAATCCTGGTCTCGCAAACCTTGTGACAGCATACAATCCGTGTAGAACGCGTGCGTGTAGTGCAAGCAAACAAAGTCGTCGTCCTGCATTCGCTGAACCCAGCTTCAAGTTGCTGAGGTCTGCGGCATAGCGGCGTCTTCCGAGTCGCTTCGCACCCCTTCCCCCGGTTTCGATCCTCCCGTCCCTGCTTGGTCCGCGGACCACGCCAGAACGTTTTTTCCCTGGTCCAATCAGTATCCCGCTGAACGCGGGACGGGAACCTAGCCATCGAAATGGAATCCATAGACAGCGTAAACCTTTCGGCCCCGCGTCCTCGACCGCCATCGGTGCGAGTGAGGCTGAACCAGCCGTCTTACACGGCCGGCGAAGCCGTCATTCTCACGGTGCACATCGAGAACCGATCCGCGAACCAGGCGGGTCGCCAGAGAGATTACAGTCAGCAGCAGCAGCAGCAGTATCAGCGCGGTGACTATGGCGCTGACGGAACGGTTCAGGTGGAGAGCCTCAGCGTTGAAGTGAAGGGTGTCATTCGATCCGCATCGGCGCCGCGCGCGGATACGACATGGTCCTGCGCTGGTAAGGATGAGTCGATTCGTGACTCTGTCACACCAGGAGCTGATCTCTCTCGCTCTCTCTCGACTTTTTGCTTCTAAATCTCGAGCTCGTCACAGCCTCTCGAAAGAGCAAACTTCTAACTTTATCGTGCGAACTGGTTGTTTTGTTTCATCAATGGCCGTTGGACCGGGAATGCATTCGCCGGGAACTGCGCCGTGATGTTCGCCACAAAAAGCTTGAAGAAGTTGCGACAACCACGAGTGTTTCTGCTCGTGATCAGCTTTCCGGCCGTCCTCACTCCATTCCCTGCTTCCGTTCCGTGCCTCCGCTGTGTGCTATAACCCTTCCTTACAGGCGACCAGCCGTGCCTCGTGGCTCGTCCACTACGCCTCGCCATCCACGCACCGCTTGATCCGGGCTGCTCCAAGTGCTGTAAGCCGCTCGTTCCGCGCTTCCCGCCCACCTCTCTCTCTTCTCCCCTCCCCGCACCGCACCCCACTCCCGCCCTGCTCGTTTCGTCCTCGATTCTGGTACCCCCGGCCTTTCAGTCCCTCGTTACTTACTCTTCTCACCTTCCTCCTCCCCATCGTTACTAACATCGCTCTTCCTCCCCCTTTTCACATCTTCGCCATCCCTCGTCCTCACCTTCCCCCTTCCCACCTCCACCTTCTTCCGGAATCCCCTCGTCCTCTCCCCCACCCGCGCAGACACCATCGAGATACCCCTGCCAATCAACGCGCTCCCGTCGGGTCGCATGGCTGGAAACGACTCGCTCGCGCTCCCCCTCTCCCTCCCCCTCGACGACGCGAGCGATCCCCCCGCGCCTGATTCCGCTTCCGCCGCCGCCGTGCTCTACCTCGTGTCCGTTTCCGCCGACTGGCGCGGGATCTCCGTCCCCTGCTCCCCCTCCGTCACCTCCGCTGCCGCCGCCGCCGCCGCCCGCCCCGTGGTATGTTCACAGTCCTCTTCCTCTTTCTCGTTTCCTCTCTCCAACTGCCGTTTCTCTGTCTTTCTTCTGGTCGCTCACTCTTTCTCGTGTTTCTTTCTGCTCCTCTCATCCCTGTACGCGCAGGAGCTCTTGGCGTGGTTCAAGGTGAAAGCCGACCCTGGTACCAGCCACGGCCCAGCACCGCCAAACGCGACGTTCAACCCCGGTGAGTCGCTGCTACTGCCGCCGCCGCCGCCGCCGCTGCTGCCTCTGCCGCTACCATGCTCGACTTTTCCACTCGTTGTCTCCGAGACAAGCTACGCTCCCCTTTCACTCCCCGTCATCAAGCCTCACGCTCTTCCGACCCCTGAATTGGCCTCTCGCTCATCCCCATTCTCCCGTCCTCTCCCATCCTCCCTTTCCCCTTGCCCATCCCCCTTCCCGCCAGCCTGTCCGCCTTGCGCTCGCCTGTCCGCTCACGAGAGTACATCCGGCGGTCCCCCCGCCGCGCTTGCGCTCCCGCTCTCCACCGCCACCGCGCTGGCCTCCCCGAGCTGCAGGGTGAGTCACGAGGGGCGCAAGGGAAAGTGGCTTCGCAAGGGGCGGGGCGCGGGGGAAGCGGGATTGAAGTGGTGTGGGGGGGGGGGGGAAGAGGGAGATGGGTGGGGCTGTGTGAAGGGTGACTCGTGAGACATGTAATCTGCTTGTGAAGATAATAGCTGCATTCTGCTTGTTGGGCTCCCATGCTCCCTCTCCTCATCTCCTTTCCGCTCCCCCTTTCTCTTCGCCTTCCCCCATGTTTCCTCTCTTCATCTTCGTTTTTCTCCTCAAATCCTCCGTGCCCCTCCCTTTTCGTTCCGCCCCTTTGCCCCTCCCCTCGCAGTCCCCGTTCCGCCCTCCGCAACTCACCACCCCCATCGCGTCCGCGTTCCTCCGGGGCTCCTCTCTTCCGCCCACGCCCACGCCCGCAACCCCCACCCCCCCCGCCAACCCCCCGCAATCCCGCCGCCTGCTCCCCCACCTGTCCGTGTCGCGCGAGAGCACCGCACCGTCCCGCGCGCCGCCTTGTCCTGATGACGTGGAGGCCGTGAGCGTCGCGGCTGTGCTGCCGTGTGACGTCAGCAGCAACGGTAGATTCGGCGCATGGGGATGGGCAGCGCAGGGGCAAGGTAGTAACTTGTATGGCGGGAGCAGCGACGCGGAAGAGAGCTGCTTTGGGGATAAGCAAATGCACGGACCGGCGGCGGCGGCGGCGGCGGCGAATGCAGTGCATGGGCTGGCGCATGTTCCGGAAGGCAGCATCGTGGCGCACAGCAGCGGCAGCGGCAGCAGCAACAGCAGCGTGTGGGGCGGCAGCAGCAGCGGCAGCCGCGGCAGCAGCGGCAGCGGCAGCAGCAGCATCAGGAGGCGGAGCGACGAAGGGTCCTCCATTTCTGCCTCAGCCGCCGCCGCCGTTGCAGCTGTTCGCGCGGGGGGAAAGAAGGCGGAACGAGGGGGTGCGGAGTGGGGCGGGGGATGGATGGGCGGAAGGGGGATGGTGCGGTCGTCCACAACAGGGCAGGTGGCGGAATGGGGCGGGGGAGCCGGGGGAAGCGAGCTTGTGGGAATCGCGGAAGTGGTAGCAGGAGTGGCAGCAGCGGGAGCAGCGGGATCAGCGGTAGCAGGAGCGGGCGCGCGCGGTATGCGGAGGAGTTGCAGTGACGACGATGGTATGCGCGGGCATGGGCGTGGTAGCAAAGCGGGACCCATGTGGGGAAGCGGAGGGAGCGCGGAGGAGGCGGAGGAGGGGGAGGCGGAAGGGGAGAACACCTACAGCAGCAGCAGCAGCAGCAGCAACGATGGCAGTTCAGGATGGGGTTCGGAGGATGGTGTGGAAAAAACGCTGGTTGGCCGTGATGGTGGCATTATGGGTGGCCATGGTGGCACCGATCGAAGCGACGAGAGGCATGGGAATAGTCTCAGGACGATGTCTCTACCAGCGGCCAGGAGGCTCCCTGCCGTTCCAGTGGAAGGTATGTGTGTGTGTGTGGGAGAGGAGAGCGGGAGAACAGGGGTAAATGGTCGGGGGCATGGATTGGGGGGGCGTTTGAGGCACGGGATGGGGATGGGATTGGGGTGGGAGATGCAGTACGTATGCGAGGAAAGGTGTATGAGCTTTCATTTCTCGTCCCTCTCAGTGCTCTCGTCCCTCTCGCCCTCTCATTCCCCTCGTGCCACTCGTCCCTCTCTTTCCTCGTGTTTCTTCTTGCCAATGCAGGCCTATTGGCCCCGGAGCACGACCAGGAGTTTCCACGGGAGCTGCTGCTGCCCCAACACACCACGATGCTGCCACCGCATGCGCCTAACAATGCGAATTCCGGCAACCATGCCAATTTCGGCACCCATGCCAATTTCGGCAACCATGCCAACCACCCGCACCACGCCCGCTACCCTGTCTGTCGCGGTCCAGACTGCCAGCACACTTCGTGCGATGCAATGCCGATCGGGTCCCCTGCAGACTGCCTCAACTGGAAAGGTCAGCTCCTTACATCTTGGAACATTTCACCCTGAAAAATAGCCCTGAACCCAGCTCTTCATGTGTGAAACGACTAGACTTGAGTTGAGCATTTTTTGGCTGCGGCACCCTGATTTCCCTCGCCTTTCTCGTTCCCTTTGCATCACCTTGCAGCCGCTCCCTTTCTGCCCCCTCCCTCCCCCACCACGCAGAGGTGGAGGCGTTCTGTCGCAACATGGACAGCGCACGCGTGCGCATAGAGTCTATTGACATCCAGCACGAGTCACGGAACAAGACTGCCACACCGCATGGCATGCGAGGCGCAGCCCAGGCAGGCTTCCGAACCAAGGCCATGCACGGAGGGGATGGGGATGGGGAGGGCGGGGTGGCGGAGGAGGGACAAGGGGAGCAGGAGCAAGAGAATGGGAAGCGGAGGGAGAGGGAGGAGGTGGGGGGGATGGAGGCGTGCAGCCGAGTGCTGTTTGCAGTCAAGTTCCAAGGCATGTCGCTGTGGCACTACCCCGCCACTGACAGCGTGAAGCCATTGTTCCGCATGGCCTCTTGACACTCATTTATGAGGTGTTGAGAGGGGTGGATGGGAGGGGTACGGGGGAATGGGGATGGGGATATGGAAAAAACGGTTGTACCGTGGATGGGGAATGTGGGCGAGGGAGGGTAGAGAGCCACAGCAGATGTTGACACTGATAGCAATTTTTATTCTTTATTTATTTCTTCCTCTTCTTTTAGCGGCCTAGAGCGTGCGTCATGACTCATGAATACAAAGTTAGTAGCAGCCCCTGCTTTCATTCGTAGGTGATCAGGTCTGGTTGCAGAACACCTGTATCAGAGTCTGGAAAAAGTGGTGGTATGTATTTGTAGCACTGCTGTAACTTCTTGTAGTAGAGAAATTATCATAGCAGGTGCCCTAGCTATTGATGGATGTACACGTCAAGGACAAACGCGAATACGGTATTTTGACTTCAACAGCAGCTGATGCAACATCCACCATCTCACACTCGCCATTCTGCAAGCAAGCAGCACCTGCATAGTACATTGCAGAAAGAATGGTAGCTACATATAGCATACTCACCACACGGAATGCACAATTTCCAATTCCCCAATGGTAGTGCCTGGCCCTGGGAGTTACACTGGGATGTGTGAAAATAGACATGTGACGTTGATACGAAATGGTGAAGGGAGATGGTTAAGGCAGGCAGAGGCGAGCAGAGGCGGTAGGCAGAGGAGGTGGTGGCGATAGTAGTGGTGGCGATAGTAGTGGTGGCGATAGTAGTGGTACCGGTTATCACGATGGCGCCGTTGCGAGCGTGGAGGCTGCTGAACCACTCTTCCCCCCTGCGTGATGCCAGGAGGAGAGCAGCTGGCAGGTAAGCGGGGGGCGGGTCCGGGGTGGGGGGATAACAAGGAGTGAGTGAGGGCGAAAGAAGGGGTGGATGAGGAGTGAGTGAAGGGGGGTGACGGGAGAAAGAGGGGGGAATGAGAGATGGGCGGGGCAGGAGAAGTGGGGTGAGCGGGGGAGATGTGGGCTGCATGGGAAAGGGGGGGAGGGAGATGAAAATGAGACGAAAGAGGGAAAGATTAGGGGAGAGCGGAAGGGAGGTGAAGTTAGATGTGCGGGGACGGGGGAGAGATAAGGCGCGAGTGAGAGGATGATGAGGGGTGAGCGGGAGATGAGAAGAAAGGAGAGCGGGGGGACACCTGGTGATATGGGCAAAGGGCGGGGGGAACATGAGGGTAGAAGGGGGAGAGATGAGATGAGAGCGTGCGGGAACGAGGGGGGAGAGGGGGGCAATGGGCGGAGAAAGGAGAGCAGAGAGGAGATGAGGGCTGAAAGGTAAGGAGATGAACGGGGAGAAAACGAAAAAACAGTGCGGGGGGGAAGGGGGGGGGGAGGGAGGAAATGCGAGATGTCCGTTTTCTCGCCCTCTTCTTACCTCCACTTCTCCACCCCATCCCCCCCCCTCCCCCCCCCCACTCCTCCTCCCCTCCCTCATCCTTCCCCCCCTCCTCCCACCTGCATAACGGCATCGGATATGCGGCACTGACGACGACATTGGGTACGAAGCCAAGCTATTAACGCGAAGCAAAACTATAAACGCGTCTGCATGGTAAGTGCCCGCAAATTGATGGGGTTAATGTGTTTGCAAATCGAAAGTACGTAATTAATGTCTGCAAAAAAAAAAAAAAAAAAAAAAAAATCGTCCGCATCTTTACTGTACTACCCTGGTCGCGATGCATAAGTAGAGGAATACTGTATCGTATACAGGCTCTGGCTACGGTACAAACATCTGAAGCGGCTGTGGAGCAACTGGAGGTAAATAATTCGCTATGACGGGTCAGCGCGGCTAACACTACCTACGGTGCCAAGCCTTATTGCGCCAAGATCGGAAAGGTCATACGGGATGAAGTCCAAGATACGACGGTAGAGCGCTTAGATCTAATCTAGCAGATTGAATGCCAAGAGATGGCAAACAATCGCAACTAGAATGATGCGTGGATTGATGTTGCTGGTTGATATTGTACATAGATACATCTTTTTCAGTTTTAAATGAAAGAAAAACGGAAAACGCAGCCTCAAGAACACCCCAGTAGAACAGCACATAAGGAACCCCAAAAGACACCCCAACGAGATACCCCCAACGAGTCACCCCAACGAGACACCCCAACGAGACACCCCAACAATACGCCCCATCTAACCAAACCCCCCACCCCCCTCACCCAAACCCACCCTCTAAACCCGCATGTCCACCAAATAGGGCGCATCCGCCCACGGAGCATCCCATCCCATCTCCTCCTCAAAATCCTCCCGCTCCACCGAAACAGCCTCTGGGCCTCTCATCATCGACGCCGCGCGCAACAAGATCACACGCGCCTGAGCCCGCTGCAAAGCCACACCTATGGCCGCTTTAAGTGATCCAAGCAAGTAAGCCGAGAAACCTTTCCCCGTAGCTCTCGCCGCCCCTTTCGTCTTCGCTACCTCAATCTGCGCGTCGCCCTGTTTCTTAAGCCACCGCCCAAAACTCCCCTCCAGGCAACCCCATGTCTCAGCAATGAGAGGTGTAAACTGCACTCCCCTATGTCGCTGCAGAAGCAATTTGTAGTCCGCCGCCTTCCGCTTTTCCCTCTCTCTAGCGGCAAAACCCACCTTGCGACCAATCTGTCCATGGTGCTGCGCGGACAACGAGATAGGGTCCACCACACTAACCTCCAGCGCATCCACCCTCTTCCCTGGCAGCAACGTGTCGTCTTCCATGGTCACGACCCCACCCGCCCCTTTAGCTATCTTCGCCACCACAAACTTAACCGCGTCGTGAACACGAGAAGGTGCGTACTGGTACTTGCAGCGAAGGGCATGATGCGGGTCAGAGGGATCAGCAAACTCAAACCCACACGTGCACTTGCCGGCGACTATCAGCTGCTGTATGGGGAGGCCTAGGCGCATGGACGCACAGATGCTCCACTCGGCTGCGGTGAAGGTAGCCTCTTCGTGCGAAGGGACGGCGGAGACCCACGCCCCTGCCCCCGGGCCCTGAAGGGATGTCAAACGGGCCAGGGTGGCGTCGTCGTGGGCCATACCCCGAAGAGTCTGCAGACTCTCAACCGCTAGGCGACGGTGTTGTGTGGGGAAAAGCAGCACAGGGGGGTCAGCGGTGCATAAGGCTAGGGGTGGCATCTCCTGCCTGACCGACTGTGGCAGCAGCTCCACTGCTCTCGCAAACCAAGGATCCAGCAAGGTCGTAGCCTCGGGCGTGCGGAAAAACTCCTCAAACATCCGCTCCTCCCCTGCCACCCCCATCCGAGCCACATCGCTCACTGCCTGACACCAACCACATGCGTACGACAGAGGGCTAAGGTCAGCTGCAGATCGAATGCCAAACCCTCCAAGTCTGGCTGGAAGGTGCAGCTGTAGACGGGCCATCTGCGACCTTGCCGAATCATGATCCCAGGTGCTATCTGGAAACAGCTGCTCAAAACAATCCTCAAGCTTCGTGTCCCAGTCGCGGAAAGCCTCCACAACCTCAGGCCGTGGAGGCATCGTCCTTGTGAGGTAAATCGGGCGCGCTGACACTGCGATCGCCAGCAGATGGGACGCAATCTGTGGGTGGTCGAGCAAAGGAAGCCAAGGGACAGGTGCATGCAGCTGCATCAGCCGGCCTCGCAAGCTGGCCACCTCCCACTCCTCCTCCCCAATAGGAACCCCCACTACGGTGAGCCCCGTCCATGTTTGCTGCATGCCGGGCGGGACGGTCTCGTTCCTCTCCTCTCCCTCCTGGTCCACCCCTCGCTCCCAAAGCTTGCACTTATGCGGCTGCACCTCCAGACCAAGCCCGCCCAGTCGTTCCCGCAAGACCTCATAAGCTGCTAGCACCCGCTCCCTAGGCCCCAAGATGTACGTATCATCGGCGTGCCTGAGAAAGAGTAGGTCGGCGAATTCTTGTTTGGTGGGCTCCATAACCAGCTGCTGTATGAACACGAACAGAAACGGCCCCAATGGGTCCCCTTGCCTCGATCCTCGCTCTGAAGCCAAAGCTTCGACGAAGGGGCCCGCACGGAGGTAGAGGTCGCTAGGAGTGCCGTAGAAGACACGCAGGAACGGGATCAAACCCGCAAAAGGCGACTGTCGAAGTCCTTCAAACATTTCCCGTCGATGGAAGGAGTTGAAAGCGTTCGCCACGTCAATTTGAAGCGCGCACCATGACGGGTGAGTAGAGATGGCAGAACGAAAGGCATGTGCGAGGACTTCCACTCCCGACCTGGATCCGACTCCTAGCTGGTTACACGGCGCAAAGTGCGACATCATCTTCGGCCGAAGCACGATGCATAGGGCCCGAGATAGTATGCGGGGGAGCACCTCGCCTATAGCCACCGGGCGAACGTCACCATTCGGCTTCGACAGGCCCACAAGGTTGGACGCAGTGAGCCAGGGTCGCACGCGCTCCGCTACCTCTCCCTTGGTCCACTGGGTGAAGACTCCTAGCAGGTGAGGCAGGTATGCGGGCTCAGAGAGAAAAGTGTCGCGCAGGTGCTCCGTCACCCACCCCGACGGTCCTGGTGCCGACGCCCTAGCCGCAGAGTGGATCGCCTGACCAAGTACCTCCACTGAGAGCTGCGGGATAAGGGAAGGCTCAACTATCTCCTCCTGCAACCACTCCGGAATGGCGGTCTCGCTCGATGGGTGTTTCGCTCGCAGCGCGTCCACCATGTGCTGAGAGGGCTGAGCGATGCTACCGGCAGTAAGACACGCCAAACCCCGACTCCATTCTCCCACTTTGCACCTTGTGCGGCAGCGAGCCAGGCGCACCGCATCAGGATCATGCTCGGGGGGGGTGAAGGACAAAGGACGCGCCGCAGGTTGCATTACCGCCACCGCCAACTCAAACAGCTCCCGCCACTCCCCGACCCAAAACTTCTCCAACCGCTCCCTGATTGCCGCCCTATGCCCCTGGCCTTGCCCAGTTGGCATCCCCAAGATAAGACGAGGGAAGGCCAAAAAGACCAAGGACGCCGCCTCGTCTGCTGCCTTTAACTGTAGCCGCTTCAGGACACAAGACAGTGCATCAAGCACCCCCAATCTAGCGCGCTGTGGGATACGACACATGATTCTCCCTGGCACCAATTCGATCCAAAAAAACGACTCCCAGTCCCATGTAGGAACTGCGGCCCACACCTCTTCACTGATATCACGTGGTGGCGGGGGTTCGCCGTCCGAGTCATCTGTGACGTCGCGGGTCAACCCAAGCGCCTGAGCACAACGCTGGGCGTCCGCTGCCCTGCAGGCCGACATATGGCGTGTGGCCTTTCCTCTCTCCGTGAACGTGCGATAACAGGTTTCGCACGGAATGCGGGGCGGGGGTGTCAATGTAGGGTCTGGGTGCTCCTCTCCACTCGAACACACCGGCAAGACCCTCCTGCTAGACTCCGTCTCCATGCCCCCCTCTAACGGCCTTGCAAGCTCCATCCCTCCGCACTGCAGCTGCTGCTGCCCTCCGCTCTGCAACTGCTGCTGCCCTTCGCTCTGCAATTGCCGTTGCCCTCCGCTCTGCAGCTCCTGCTGCCCTCCGCTCTGCAGCTGCTGCTGCCCTCCGCTCTGCAGCTGCTGCTGCCCTCCGCTCTGCAGCTGCTGCTGCCCTCCGCTCTGCAGCTGCTGCTGCCCTCCGCTCTGCAGCTGCTGCTGCCCTCCGCTCTGCAGCTGCTGCTGCCCTCCGCTCTGCAGCTCCCGCTGCCCTCCGCTCGGCAGCTGCTGCTGCCCTCCGCTCTGCAGCTGCTGCTGCCCTCCTCTCTGCAGCTGCTGCTGCCCTCCGCTCTGCAGCTCCTGCTGCCCTCCGCTCTGCAGCTGCTGCTGCCCTCCGCTCTGCAGCTGCTGCTGCCCTCCGCTCGGCAGCTGGTGCCCTCCGCTCTGCAGCTGCTGCTGCCCTCCGCTCGGCAGCTGCTGCTGCCCTCCGCTCTGCAGCTGCTGCTGCCCTCCGCTCGGCAGCTGCTGCTGCCCTCCGCTCTGCAGCTGCTGCTGCTCTCCGCTCGGCAGCTGCTGCTGCCCTCCGCTCTGCAGCTGCTGCAGTTTGGTTGCCCGTCGCCTCCGGCCCCGGCCCCGCGCTCGGGGCCTTTCCGCTTGGTCCGGGGAATCAGGGTTGGCATTCTCCCCCTCCATGGGGCTTGATTCCAGCTCATCGGTGCAAGCCTCGTCCGCCATCTCCACATCCAACACCCAAACCGGCTCTTGCTGCCCTCCGCTCTGCAGCTGCTGCTGCCCTCCGCTCTGCAGCTCCCGCTGCCCTCCGCTCGGCAGCTGCTGCTGCCCTCCGCTCTGCAGCTGCTGCTGCCCTCCGCTCTGCAGCTGCTGCTGCCCTCCGCTCTGCAGCTCCTGCTGCCCTTCGCTCTGCAGCTCCTGCTGCCCTCCGCTCTGCAGCTGCCGCTGCCCTCCGCTCGGCAGCTGCCGCTGCCCTCCGCTCGGCAGCTCCTGCTGCCCTCCGCTCTGCAGCTGCTGCTGCCCTCCGCTCGGCAGCTGCTGTTGCCCTCCGCTCTGCAGCTCCTGCTGCCCTCCGCTCTGCAGCTCCTGCTGCCCTCCGCTCTGCAGCTCCTGCTGCCCTCCGCTCTGCAGCTCCTGCTGCCCTCCGCTCTGCAGCTCCTGCTGCCCTCCGCTCTGCAGCTGCTGCTGCCCTCCGCTCGGCAGCTGCTGCTGCCCTCCGCTCGGCAGCTGCTGCTGCCCTCCGCTCTGCAGCTGCTGCTGCCCTCCGCTCGGCAGCTGCTGCTGCCCTCCGCTCTGCAGCTGCTGCTGCCCTCCGCTCGGCAGCTGCTGCTGCCCTCCGCTCTGCAGCTGCTGCTGCCCTCCGCTCGGCAGCTGCTGCTGCCCTCCGCTCTGCAGCTGCTACAGTTTGGTTGCCCGTCGCCTCCGGCCCCGGCCCCGCGCTCGGGGCCTTTCCGCTTGGTCCGGGGAATCAGGGTTGGCATTCTCCCCCTCCATGGGGCTTGATTCCAGCTCATCGGTGCAAGCCTCGTCCGCCATCTCCACATCCAACACCCAAACCGGCTCTTGCTGCCCTCCGCTCTGCAGCTGCTGCTGCCCTCCGCTCTGCAGCTGCTGCTGCCCTCCGCTCTGCAGCTGCTGCTGCCCTCCGCTCTGCAGCTGCTGCTGCCCTCCGCTCTGCAGCTGCTGCTGCCCTCCGCTCTGCAGCTGCTGCTGCCCTCCGCTCTGCAGCTCCTGCTGCCCTCCGCTCTGCAGCTGCTGCTGCCCTCCGCTTTGCAGCTCCTGCTGCCCTTTGCTCTGCAGCTCCTGCTGCCCTCCGCTCTGCAGCTGCTGCTGCCCTCCGCTCTGCAGCTGCTGCTGCCCTCCGCTCTGCAGCTCCTGCTGCCCTCCGCTCTGCAGCTCCTGCTGCCCTCCGCTCTGCAGCTGCTGCTGCCCTCCGCTCTGCAGCTGCTGCTGCCCTCCGCTCTGCAGCTGCTGCTGCCCTCCGCTCTGCAGCTCCTGCTGCCCTCCGCTCTGCAGCTGCTGCTGCCCCCCGCTCTGCAGCTCCTGCTGCCCTCCGCTCTGCAGCTCCTGCTGCCCCGTCCCCACCGGCGGCTGCCGGCTCCTCTCCCGGGCCCCCTGCTGCCCGCCCACCTGCGGGTCACGCTGACCCCCCACTAGTGGCTCCTGCTGCCTGTCTTTCCCCGCCGCACTCCGGCGCCTCCGCTCCTGCCGCCATGCGAGACGTGGCACGACCGGGGGGATTGCGGCGTCGGCCGAGCCGGCGCCGTGCAACATTGCCCTCACAGGTAGGCAGCGTCTGCGAGTGTCATGCTGTTGTTGCAAGCGCCTACGGTGTTCCTCCCAGGCTGCCCTCGCTACCTCCGATGCCACCCGTGGTACAACCGCCGCCTCGTCGACTGGACCCTTTTCGGTTGTTGCTCCCCCCCTTTCTCCGATGATGGCCGAAGGTACAGGGTAATCGCCGTCAGACCCGGTGTTGGGAGGGTCTTCGAGAGGTTGGCCGCATGTCAGTACTGAAATCGAACGGCCTGCTTCACAACACCGTCTCTTGGCTGGTTTGCCAAAGAGGCACAGAAGGTCTTCGTGGTGGAGGCGACGAATGCGTGGGCTCTGGAGCGCACTCTCAGCCCCCCCCCGTCTTTTGTGACCGGTCAATAGGTGGAGCGACCCACCAGCTGCTACTGTGCTTACCCCCCCTTCACCCCCGAAGGCTCCCGTCACGTCGCTGTCAAGGCCGCCCCCCACCCGGCCCCCGGGATCCCCGGGGTCCGGGTCGTCCGCCATGGCTCAAGGATCTGGCTAAGGCTTGTTCGCTTACTCTCTGCTACTGCTCTTACTCTACGGTGCTGCTATGGCGCGGGTTTCGCTGCTATGGCGCGGGTTTCGCTACTAAGGTGCGGTCTTCACTGCTACGGCACAGATCACACTCTTATGGCGCGGGTTTCACTGCGATGGCCCAGGCGCGGCTGCTATGGCGCGGATTCCGTTGCTGAGGGGCGGATTTCGGTGCTAAGACACGGCTTTCGCTGCTATGGCGCAAACCACGTTGTTATGGCGAGGATCTCGCGGCTATAGCTCGGATTTCACTGCTATGGCGCGGATCTCGCTGCTATGGCTTGGATCTCGCTGCTATGGCTCGGATCTCACTGCTGTGGCACGGACTTCGCTGCCGTGACGCAGATTTCGCTGATGTGGCGCGGACTTCGCTGCTGTGGCGCGTTTTTCGCTGCTGTGACGCAATTCTGCTGCCAGTACGTGAAACGAGCCTGCTATGGCGCCAGTTCTGCTGCCTAACGGCGCTGCGGGCGGCCTAATCGCTGGCTCTGCGGCTAGATCACGGGCTGGTCGGCTAGATCGCTGCCAAGCGGCTAAATCGCGAACCTGGCGGCTAAATCGCGGGCTCCGCGGCGAGATCGCGGACTAGGCGGCTAGATCACGGGCTCGGCTGCGAGGTACCGGGCTACGCGGCTGGATCACGGGCCTAGGAGCTCGTTCGCGGGCTGGGCGGCGAGATTGCGGGCTGGGTCGCGGGCTACGTGGCGCGATCGCGCTGCTACTAGCGAGGTAAATGCTGCTGCCTACCAGGAATCGCGCTGCTGCTGCCTAGCGGGAATCGCGCTGCTCGTGCCTAGCGGGAATCGCGCCACTGTTGATATGTTTCATTTGATATTGTCGTGGTTGGAGAAACGCTCTCGATTCTTATTGGCTCGTGTACTTACTCTCTCAACCACCCCTCGCTGCTTCAGCTGCCCTAAAAAAGGTTTTGCGAGTTCAGCCAATTAGTTTTTTCAACCATTCCTACACCATCCCGCACCTAAAAAAGCACAGACACTTTTAACAAACAGTGCCACGTCAGCTTCCTCATGGAAAGTTCCCACCTGCCCCAGCTTTAAACTAAATAGTAGGGTGCAGCCACCTAACCACCAGAAATACGCGCCCTGATAAGATTCGTTTGCTTCAAAACAACAAAAACCGAACCCATCATAATAAACAAGATGTGAACTTTCTACAGTGCTGTATTTGAAAGTGGAACTGTTTGGATGTTATGCATGTGGTGTACACAATTCGACCACCTCCCCCAGGATTTCCACACTGACAATTCCATGTGCGAAATCATTTTGCCCCAGCCAGAATAACGACACGGCACGGCACAAACCATCACACGATTCACTGCTCCATGCCACAGCTCGGCAAAATCCTCACCGTTGACGGCGGCAACCATTCTTCAACACCACCCATTCAAATTGCTTCCCGCAACCCAACCAATGCCAGTTCTTCCCGCACTCTACCACAAAAGCAGCCGCGCCGTGTCGCACCCCACTCCACCCAGAAACACATCACATCTGATTTGAAAACGCGCTACCAGCGGCGGCCAACGCCAAACACAAAGCGCGAATCAAGGCAGCTGGTCGGCTTACTCCTTCCTCCAGCAGACGCATCTTCTCTGTTGTCCTCTCAGCTCATCTTTCCTCGCATTCCTTCCACCGAAACCTGGTATAGTCCCACGGCTGAGTCCATTTTCGCATTTTTTTTTCCTTCACAATCTCAACGAAGGATGTTCAGAGAAGCTCCTCCCTAACGAGCTCTCTAATACGGATTTCAAGCTACTAGCTCCACGGAGCATTCCGTGCTACATGAAGCCAACCGGCTAGTACAAGGGGAACACCTGGCATGCAGCAGCGCTGAGGTAGCGTAGAGTAGTATAGAGAGTCGTGGGTGGGATGGGTTGGGTAGTATAGAGAGTCTAGCGAGCTGCTTGCGTGCCATGGTCGGAACCTTGTACGACGCCCTGGGTTGGTTGGTTGTCGCGGCAACACCTTCACCGCGATAGCCTTCTCGTAAACTCGTCACAGCAAGATCTTCAGTACGCGGCGAGATAATCAGTACGCGGCGAGATCTTCAATGATACGCGACGAGATCTTCAGTCGCGGCGAGATATACAGTACGCGGCGAGAACTTCCGTACGCGACTTCAGTACGTGACGAGAATGCAAGAAGAAAAAATCTTCACGGAAAGAAGCCAAAGCTCAAACAGAGCCCAACGAACGGAGCGCCATCCAGCCACGTCAAGACCGGTGGCGTTTCTCCCCGTTGCGACGCGTCAGCTGTTCACGTCTTCACGCCAAAATGAAGACGCTTGACGTAAGTGCAGTCCTCTGAATATTTTTTTCATTACGCTTCTTCTGCTTCGAAGCTTAGATGTTCTTCTGAGAAGCATTTTTGCTCACGCCTTCTTTTATGCTTTCCCTGCAGGCAACCATACTGCCCAACGACCTGAGAGCCGCCAACCATCTGGACGATTCCAAGTCCAACTGAAGCCAAGTCAAGTCAAGACTTGAGAGCCCAAGTCATGCCACCTGAACGTCGATGGAAGCGTGACCGTTGGATCGATGGAAGCGCTTTTCTCCTCACCGTCGACCCTTCAATTGTTCAACTGTCATGCCGGCTCTCGGCTCTCGGCGTCGCACGGAATTTCACTTCCCTTCGGCGACGCTTGGTTTTCCTTCAAGCGTCACCACAACAAAGGCAAGTGCGGTTCGATTTCCAAGCTCTTTAACTACCTTCACAAGTTTCCTAAATAATATGCTAACGAATTTGTCTTTTCCTGCAGATTCGGGGTGAATACATCCGAGCGAGTGGCTCATTTATCGTCGCAAGCGGCAAACCATCTTCACTCAACGACGAGAGGCGCTTCTCCTGCGGTGGCCGGATCCTTCGCATGGCAATTCTCCCGTCGCTTGTGGCGCATGCCGGCTCTCGGCTCTCGGCGTCGCATGGCGCTGCTCGCCCGTCGCACGGATCTTCACTTCCCGTCAACGTCGCCTGGTTTTCCTTCAAGCGTCACCACAAACAAGGCAAGTGCGGATCCGTTTCTAAGCTCTTGAACTACCTTCACAAGTTTTTTTTTATATATATAAGTTCTAATTAATTTGTCGTCTCCTGCAGATTCGGGCGAGCGAGCGGCTCTTCCATTTTCGCTCAACGACGAGAGGCGGCGATATCACACGGATGACATCACTCATCACTCTTTCCGTCGCATTCGTCCGTCGCTGGTGGCGCATGCCGGCTCTCGGAACTTCACTTTCCGCTTGTCGACGCTTTGGCGACGTTTTTTTCAGCCGCACAACGCTGAAGGTAATTGTTATTTCAATTTCGTCTTGCTCTTGTTAACATTTTTCACCCGGGTCGTTTCAATTTCGTCGTTCGTCCTGCAGACTTCCTGCAAGTGAAGCCTACCCGGGTCTTCACTGGGTGTGATTCCCGTGGCACGAAAGTTCACTTACCGCTTGCCGACGCCTGGACTGTCTTCACGCCGTTGGCGTTGGTTCAAATCAAGCCTCACCGCGATGAAAGTAAGTGCAGTCTCGTTTTCAAGTTCTTGAACTATTCTAGTTTTTACTTCCTTCTAAGAAAGCACTAACTAATTCGTCGTTTCCTGCAGATCCGCTTCGCGACATGGAGACATGGAGACATGACCGAGAGTGGCGCTTCTCTCATCGCACGGCGTCGCTTTGACGCGGGTGGCGCTTCTATCGTAGCAAGCGTCGCGAGGCATGGCGTTTCCATTGTCGCGAGAGTCGCTTCCATCGTCGCATGGCGTTAGGCGACGGCGCGTGCCGCTGATGACGGTTCTACCGTCGCTAGTGGCGCTTTGATTGCCGGATGGTAAGAACGCGGTAACACTACCAGCAGTTTCGATGCTTTTTCAACGGTTATTCGTCCTCCTTTCAACGGTTCAGCTAACGGTTTCCCTTGATCCCTGCAGATGGTGAGGAGATCCGTCGATGACGCTTCACACGTCGCGCGGCGTCGCTTCGTCCGAGGCATGGCGACGAGTATCCCGTCGCACGGCGTATCCCGTCGCACGGCGTCGCTTAAGCGGGAGCATGGCGGCTCTTCACCGTTCGCGCGGCTCTTCGCGCGGCTCTGGCGACGCCTCTCAGATTTGTCGTCGTTATTTCGTTTTGTCATCTTTCTACGTGACGGCCTTTCTCACTCGTGGCATAGTCGATGCGCAGCCTCCAGGAATGAAGGAAGGCCAAGACTATGAAGACGGCCAAGACTATGAAGACGGCCAAGACTAAGACGGCCAAGACTATGAAGACGGCCAAGACCATGAAGGCGGCCAAGACCATGAAGGCGGCCAAGACGATGAAGGCGGCCAAGACGATGAAGGCGGCCAAGACGATGAAGGCGGCCAAGACGATGAAGGCGGCCAAGACGATGAAGGCGGCCAAGACGATGAAGGCGGCCAAGACGATGAAGGCGGCCAAGACGATGAAGGCGGCCAAGACGATGAAGGCGGCCAAGACGATGAAGGCGGCCAAGACGATGAAGGCGGCCAAGACGATGAAGGCGGCCAAGACGATGAAGGCGGCCAAGACGATGAAGGCGGCCAAGACGATGAAGGCGGCCAAGACGATGAAGGCGGCCAAGACGATGAAGGCGGCCAAGACGATGAAGGCGGCCAAGACGATGAAGGCGGCCAAGACGATGAAGGCGGCCAAGACGATGAAGGCGGCCAAGACGATGAAGGCGGCCAAGACGATGAAGGCGGCCAAGACGATGAAGGCGGCCAAGACGATGAAGGCGGCCAAGACGATGAAGGCGGCCAAGACGATGAAGGCGGCCAAGACGATGAAGGCGGCCAAGACGATCAAGGCGGCCAAGACGATGAAGGCGGCCAAGACGATGAAGGCGGCCAAGACGATGAAGGCGGCCAAGACGATCAAGGCGGCCAAGACGATGAAGGCGGCCAAGACGATGAAGGCGGCCAAGACGATGAAGGCGGCCAAGACGATGAAGGCGGCCAAGACGATGAAGGCGGCCAAGACGATGAAGGCGGCCAAGACGATCAAGGCGGCCAAGACGATGAAGGCGGCCAAGACGATCAAGGCGGCCAAGACGATGAAGGCGGCCAAGACGATCAAGGCGGCCAAGACGATGAAGGCGGCCAAGACGATCAAGGCGGCCAAGACGATGAAGGCGGCCAAGACGATCAAGGCGGCCAAGACCATCAAGGCGGCCAAGACGATCAAGGCGGCCAAGACCATCAAGGCGGCCAAGACCATGAAGGCGGCCAAGACCATCAAGACGGCCAAGACCATGAAGGCGGCCAAGACCATGAAGGCGGCCAAGACCATGAAGGCGGCCAAGACCATGAAGGCGGCCAAGACCATGAAGGCGGCCAAGACCATCAAGACGGCCAAGACCATCAAGACGGCCAAGACCATCAAGGCGGCCAAGACCATCAAGACGGCCAAGACCATCAAGGCGGCCAAGACCATCAAGGCGGCCAAGACCATCAAGACGGCCAAGACCATCAAGGCGGCCAAGACCATCAAGGCGGCCAAGACCATCAAGACGGCCAAGACCATCAAGACGGCCAAGACCATCAAGACGGCCAAGACCATCAAGACGGCCAAGACCATCAAGACGGCCAAGACCATCAAGACGGCCAAGACCATCAAGACGGCCAAGACCATCAAGACGGCCAAAGCCATCAAGACGGCCAAAGCCATCAAGACGGCCAAGACCATCAAGACGGCCAAGACCATCAAGACGGCCAAGACCATCAAGACGGCCAAAGCCAACAAGACGGCCAAAGCCAACAAGACGGCCAAGACCATCAAGACGGCCAAGACCATCAAGACGGCCAAGACCATGAAGACGGCCAAGACCATGAAGACGGCCAAAGCCAACAAGACGGCCAAGACCATCAAGACGGCCAAGACCATCAAGACGGCCAAGACGATGAAGGCGGCCAAGACGATGAAGGCGGCCAAGACGATGAAGGCGGCCAAGACGATGAAGGCGGCCAAGACCATCAAGGCGGCCAAGACCATCAAGGCGGCCAAGACCATCAAGGCGGCCAAGACCATCAAGGCGGCCAAGACCATCAAGGCGGCCAAGACCATCAAGGCGGCCAAGACCATCAAGGCGGCCAAGACCATCAAGGCGGCCAAGACCATGAAGGCGGCCAAGACCATGAAGGCGGCCAAGACCATGAAGGCGGCCAAGACCATGAAGGCGGCCAAGACCATGAAGGCGGCCAAGACCATGAAGGCGGCCAAGACCATGAAGGCGGCCAAGACCATGAAGGCGGCCAAGACCATGAAGGCGGCCAAGACCATCAAGGCGGCCAAGACCATCAAGGCGGCCAAGACCATCAAGGCGGCCAAGACCATCAAGGCGGCCAAGACCATCAAGGCGGCCAAGACCATCAAGGCGGCCAAGACCATCAAGGCGGCCAAGACCATGAAGACGGCCAAGACCATGAAGACGGCCAAGACCATCAAGACGGCCAAGACCATCAAGACGGCCAAGACCATCAAGACGGCCAAGACCATCAAGACGGCCAAGACCATCAAGACGGCCAAGACCATCAAGACGGCCAAGACCATCAAGACGGCCAAGACCATCAAGACGGCCAAGACCATGAAGACGGCCAAGACCATCAAGACGGCCAAGACCATCAAGACGGCCAAGACCATCAAGACGGCCAAGACCATCAAGACGGCCAAGACCATCAAGACGGCCAAGACCATCAAGACGGCCAAGACCATCAAGACGGCCAAGACCATCAAGACGGCCAAGACCATCAAGACGGCCAAGACCATGAAGACGGCCAAGACCATGAAGACGGCCAAGACCATGAAGACGGCCAAAGCCAACAAGACGGCCAAGACCATCAAGACGGCCAAGACCATCAAGACGGCCAAGACCATCAAGACGGCCAAGACCATCAAGACGGCCAAGACCATCAAGACGGCCAAGACCATCAAGACGGCCAAGACCATGAAGACGGCCAAGACCATGAAGACGGTCAAGACCATGAAGACGGCCAAGACCATGAAGACGGCCAAGACCATGAAGACGGCCAAGACCATGAAGACGGCCAAGATCATGAAGACGGCCAAGACCATCAAGACGGCCAAGACCATCAAGACGGCCAAGACCATGAAGACGGCCAAGACCATGAAGACGGCCAAGACCATCGAGACGGCCAAGACCATGAAGACGGCCAAGACCATGAAGACGGCCAAGACCATCAAGACGGCCAAGACCATCAAGACGGCCAAGACCATCAAGACGGCCAAGACCATCAAGACGGCCAAGACCATCAAGACGGCCAAGACCATCAAGACGGCCAAGACCATGAAGACGGCCAAGACCATGAAGACGGCCAAGACCATCAAGACGGCCAAGACCATCAAGACGGCCAAGACCATCAAGACGGCCAAGACCATCAAGACGGCCAAGACCATCAAGACGGCCAAGACCATCAAGACGGCCAAGACCATGAAGACGGCCAAGACCATGAAGACGGCCAAGACCATCAAGACGGCCAAGACCATGAAGACGGCCAAGACCATCAAGACGGCCAAGACCATCAAGACGGCCAAGACCATCAAGACGGCCAAGACCATCAAGACGGCCAAGACCATGAAGACGGCCAAGACCATGAAGACGGCCAAGACCATGAAGACGGCCAAGACCATGAAGACGGCCAAGACCATGAAGACGGCCAAGACCATCAAGACGGCCAAGACCATCAAGACGGCCAAGACCATCAAGACGGCCAAGACCATCAAGACGGCCAAGACCATCAAGACGGCCAAGACCATCAAGACGGCCAAGACCATCAAGACGGCCAAGACCATCAAGACGGCCAAGACCATCAAGACGGCCAAGACCATCAAGACGGCCAAGACCATCAAGACGGCCAAGACCATCAAGACGGCCAAGACCATCAAGACGGCCAAGACCATCAAGACGGCCAAGACCATCAAGACGGCCAAGACCATCAAGACGGCCAAGACCATCAAGACGGCCAAGACCATGAAGACGGCCAAGACCATCAAGACGGCCAAGACCATGAAGACGGCCAAGACCATCAAGACGGCCAAGACCATCAAGACGGCCAAGACCATGAAGACGGCCAAGACCATGAAGACGGCCAAGACCATCAAGACGGCCAAGACAATGAAGACGGCCAAGACCATGAAGACGGCCAAGACCATGAAGACGGCCAAGACCATGAAGACGGCCAAGACCATGAAGACGGCCAAGACCATGAAGACGGCCAAGACCATGAAGACGGCCAAGACCATGAAGACGGCCAAGACCATGAAGACGGCCAAGACCATGAAGACGGCCAAGACCATGAAGACGGCCAAGTCAAGACGGCCAAGACCATGAAGACGGCCAAGACCATGAAGACGGCCAAGACCATCAAGACGGCCAAGACCATGAAGACGGCCAAGACCATGAAGACGGCCAAGACCATCAAGACGGCCAAGACCATCAAGACGGCCAAGACCATCAAGACGGCCAAGACCACCAAGACGGCCAAGACCATCAAGACGGCCAAGACCATGAAGACGGCCAAGACCATCAAGACGGCCAAGACCATCAAGACGGCCAAAGCCAACAAGACGGCCAAGACCATCAAGACGGCCAAGACCATCAAGACGGCCAAGACCATCAAGACGGCCAAGACCATCAAGACGGCCAAGACCATGAAGACGGCCAAGACCATGAAGACGGCCAAGACCATCAAGACGGCCAAGACCATGAAGACGGCCAAGACCATCAAGACGGCCAAGACCATCAAGACGGCCAAGACCATCAAGACGGCCAAGACCATCAAGACGGCCAAGACCATGAAGACGGCCAAGACCATGAAGACGGTCAAGACCATGAAGACGGCCAAGACCATGAAGACGGCCAAGACCATGAAGACGGCCAAGACCATGAAGACGGCCAAGATCATGAAGACGGCCAAGACCATCAAGACGGCCAAGACCATCAAGACGGCCAAGACCATGAAGACGGCCAAGACCATGAAGACGGCCAAGACCATCAAGACGGCCAAGACCATGAAGACGGCCAAGACCATGAAGACGGCCAAGACCATCAAGACGGCCAAGACCATCAAGACGGCCAAGACCATCAAGACGGCCAAGACCATCAAGACGGCCAAGACCATCAAGACGGCCAAGACCATCAAGACGGCCAAGACCATCAAGACGGCCAAGACCATGAAGACGGCCAAGACCATGAAGACGGCCAAGACCATCAAGACGGCCAAGACCATCAAGACGGCCAAGACCATCAAGACGGCCAAGACCATCAAGACGGCCAAGACCATCAAGACGGCCAAGACCATCAAGACGGCCAAGACCATGAAGACGGCCAAGACCATGAAGACGGCCAAGACCATCAAGACGGCCAAGACCATGAAGACGGCCAAGACCATCAAGACGGCCAAGACCATCAAGACGGCCAAGACCATCAAGACGGCCAAGACCATGAAGACGGCCAAGACCATGAAGACGGCCAAGACCATGAAGACGGCCAAGACCATGAAGACGGCCAAGACCATGAAGACGGCCAAGACCATCAAGACGGCCAAGACCATCAAGACGGCCAAGACCATCAAGACGGCCAAGACCATCAAGACGGCCAAGACCATCAAGACGGCCAAGACCATCAAGACGGCCAAGACCATCAAGACGGCCAAGACCATCAAGACGGCCAAGACCATCAAGACGGCCAAGACCATCAAGACGGCCAAGACCATCAAGACGGCCAAGACCATCAAGACGGCCAAGACCATCAAGACGGCCAAGACCATCAAGACGGCCAAGACCATCAAGACGGCCAAGACCATCAAGACGGCCAAGACCATGAAGACGGCCAAGACCATCAAGACGGCCAAGACCATGAAGACGGCCAAGACCATCAAGACGGCCAAGACCATCAAGACGGCCAAGACCATGAAGACGGCCAAGACCATGAAGACGGCCAAGACCATCAAGACGGCCAAGACAATGAAGACGGCCAAGACCATGAAGACGGCCAAGACCATGAAGACGGCCAAGACCATCAAGACGGCCAAGACCATGAAGACGGCCAAGACCATGAAGACGGCCAAGACCATGAAGACGGCCAAGACCATGAAGACGGCCAAGACCATGAAGACGGCCAAGACCATGAAGACGGCCAAGACCATGAAGACGGCCAAGACCATGAAGACGGCCAAGACCATCAAGACGGCCAAGACCATGAAGACGGCCAAGACCATGAAGACGGCCAAGACCATCAAGACGGCCAAGACCATGAAGACGGCCAAGACCATGAAGACGGCCAAGACCATCAAGACGGCCAAGACCATCAAGACGGCCAAGACCATCAAGACGGCCAAGACCACCAAGACGGCCAAGACCATCAAGACGGCCAAGACCATGAAGACGGCCAAGACCATCAAGACGGCCAAGACCATCAAGACGGCCAAGACCATCAAGACGGCCAAGACCATCAAGACGGCCAAGACCATCAAGACGGCCAAGACCATCAAGACGGCCAAGACCATCAAGACGGCCAAGACCATCAAGACGGCCAAGACCATGAAGACGGCCAACACCATGAAGACGGCCAAGACCATGAAGACGGCCAAGACCATGAAGACGGCCAAGACCATGAAGACGGCCAAGACCATCAAGACGGCCAAGACCATCAAGACGGCCAAGACCATCAAGACGGCCAAGACCATCAAGACGGCCAAGACCATCAAGACGGCCAAGACCATGAAGACGGCCAAGACCATCAAGACGGCCAAGACCATGAAGACGGCCAAGACCATGAAGACGGCCAAGACCATGAAGACGGCCAAGACCATCAAGACGGCCAAGACCATCAAGACGGCCAAGACCATGAAGACGGCCAAGACCATCAAGACGGCCAAGACCATGAAGACGGCCAAGACCATCAAGACGGCCAAGACCATCAAGACGGCCAAGACCATCAAGACGGCCAAGACCATGAAGACGGCCAAGACCATGAAGACGGCCAAGACCATCAAGACGGCCAAGACCATGAAGACGGCCAAGACCATGAAGACGGCCAAGACCATGAAGACGGCCAAGACCATCAAGACGGCCAAGACCATGAAGACGGCCAAGACCATCAAGACGGCCAAGACCATCAAGACGGCCAAGACCATCAAGACGGCCAAGACCATCAAGACGGCCAAGACCATCAAGACGGCCAAGACCATCAAGACGGCCAAGACCATCAAGACGGCCAAGACCATCAAGACGGCCAAGACCATCAAGACGGCCAAGACCATCAAGACGGCCAAGACCATCAAGACGGCAAAGCAACAAGACGGCCAAGACCATCAAGACGGCCAAGACCATCAAGACGGCCAAGACCATGAAGACGGCCAAGACCATCAAGACGGCCAAGACCATCAAGACGGCCAAGACCATGAAGACGGCCAAGACCATGAAGACGGCCAAGACCATGAAGACGGCCAAGACCATGAAGACGGCCAAGACCATGAAGACGGCCAAGACCATCAAGACGGCCAAGACCATCAAGACGGCCAAGACCATCAAGACGGCCAAGACCATCAAGACGGCCAAGACCATGAAGACGGCCAAGACCATGAAGACGGCCAAGACCATGAAGACGGCCAAGACCATCAAGACGGCCAAGACCATCAAGACGGCCAAGACCATCAAGACGGCCAAGACCATGAAGACGGCCAAGACCATGAAGACGGCCAAGACCATCAAGACGGCCAAGACCATCAAGACGGCCAAGACCATCAAGACGGCCAAGACCATGAAGACGGCCAAGACCATCAAGACGGCCAAGACCATGAAGACGGCCAAGACCATCAAGACGGCCAAGACCATCAAGACGGCCAAGACCATCAAGACGGCCAAGACCATGAAGACGGCCAAGACCATGAAGACGGCCAAGACCATCAAGACGGCCAAGACCATGAAGACGGCCAAGACCATGAAGACGGCCAAGACCATCAAGACGGCCAAGACCATCAAGACGGCCAAGACCATGAAGACGGCCAAGACCATCAAGACGGCCAAGACCATGAAGACGGCCAAGACCATCAAGACGGCCAAGACCATGAAGACGGCCAAGACCATCAAGACGGCCAAGACCATCAAGACGGCCAAGACCATGAAGACGGCCAAGACCATGAAGACGGTCAAGACCATGAAGACGGCCAAGACCATCAAGACGGCCAAGACCATGAAGACGGCCAAGACCATGAAGACGGCCAAGATCATGAAGACGGCCAAGACCATCAAGACGGCCAAGACCATCAAGACGGCCAAGACCATCAAGACGGCCAAGACCATGAAGACGGCCAAGACCATCAAGACGGCCAAGACCATGAAGACGGCCAAGACCATGAAGACGGCCAAGACCATCAAGACGGCCAAGACCATCAAGACGGCCAAGACCATCAAGACGGCCAAGACCATCAAGACGGCCAAGACCATCAAGACGGCCAAGACCATCAAGACGGCCAAGACCATCAAGACGGCCAAGACCATCAAGACGGCCAAGACCATCAAGACGGCCAAGACCATCAAGACGGCCAAGATCATCAAGACGGCCAAGACCATGAAGACGGCCAAGACCATCAAGACGGCCAAGACCATGAAGACGGCCAAGACCATGAAGACGGCCAAGACCATGAAGACGGCCAAGACCATGAAGACGGCCAAGACCATCAAGACGGCCAAGACCATCAAGACGGCCAAGACCATCAAGACGGCCAAGACCATGAAGACGGCCAAGACCATGAAGACGGCCAAGACCATGAAGACGGCCAAGACCATGAAGACGGCCAAGACCATGAAGACGGCCAAGACCATGAAGACGGCCAAGACCATGAAGACGGCCAAGACCATGAAGACGGCCAAGACCATCAAGACGGCCAAGACCATCAAGACGGCCAAGACCATCAAGACGGCCAAGACCATCAAGACGGCCAAGACCATCAAGACGGCCAAGACCATCAAGACGGCCAAGACCATCAAGACGGCCAAGACCATCAAGACGGCCAAGACCATCAAGACGGCCAAGACCATCAAGACGGCCAAGACCATCAAGACGGCCAAGACCATCAAGACGGCCAAGACCATCAAGACGGCCAAGACCATGAAGACGGCCAAGACCATGAAGACGGCCAAGACCATGAAGACGGCCAAGACCATCAAGACGGCCAAGACCATCAAGACGGCCAAGACCATGAAGACGGCCAAGACCATGAAGACGGCCAAGACCATCAAGACGGCCAAGACCATCAAGACGGCCAAGACCATGAAGACGGCCAAGACCATGAAGACGGCCAAGACCATCAAGACGGCCAAGACCATGAAGACGGCCAAGACCATGAAGACGGCCAAGACCATGAAGACGGCCAAGACCATGAAGACGGCCAAGACCATGAAGACGGCCAAGACCATGAAGACGGCCAAGACCATGAAGACGGCCAAGACCATGAAGACGGCCAAGACCATCAAGACGGCCAAGACCATGAAGACGGCCAAGACCATGAAGACGGCCAAGACCATCAAGACAGCCAAGACCATCAAGACGGCCAAGACCATGAAGACGGCCAAGACCATCAAGACGGCCAAGACCATGAAGACGGCCAAGACCATCAAGACGGCCAAGACCATCAAGACGGCCAAGACCATCAAGACGGCCAAGACCACCAAGACGGCCAAGACCATCAAGACGGCCAAGACCATCAAGACGGCCAAGACCATCAAGACGGCCAAGACCATCAAGACGGCAAGACCATCAAGACGGCCAAGACCATCAAGACGGCCAAGACCATCAAGACGGCCAAGACCATCAAGACGGCCAAGACCATGAAGACGGCCAAGACCATGAAGACGGCCAAGACCATCAAGACGGCCAAGACCATCAAGACGGCCAAGACCATCAAGACGGCCAAGACCATCAAGACGGCCAAGACCATCAAGACGGCCAAGACCATCAAGACGGCCAAGACCATGAAGACGGCCAAGACCATCAAGACGGCCAAGACCATGAAGACGGCCAAGACCATGAAGACGGCCAAGACCATGAAGACGGCCAAGACCATGAAGACGGCCAAGACCATGAAGACGGCCAAGACCATGAAGACGGCCAAGACCATGAAGACGGCCAAGACCATGAAGACGGCCAAGACCATCAAGACGGCCAAGACCATCAAGACGGCCAAGACCATCAAGACGGCCAAGACCATCAAGACGGCCAAGACCATGAAGACGGCCAAGACCATCAAGACGGCCAAGACCATCAAGACGGCCAAGACCATCGCAAGACCATACGGCCAAGACCATCAAGACGGCCAAGACCATCAAGACGGCCAAGACCATGAAGACGGCCAAGACCATGAAGACGGCCAAGACCATCAAGACGGCCAAGACCATCAAGACGGCCAAGACCATCAAGACGGCCAAGACCATCAAGACGGCCAAGACCATCAAGACGGCCAAGACCATCAAGACGGCCAAGACCATCAAGACGGCCAAGACCATCAAGACGGCCAAGACCATGAAGACGGCCAAGACCATGAAGACGGCCAAGACCATGAAGACGGCCAAGACCATGAAGACGGCCAAGACCATGAAGACGGCCAAGACCATGAAGACGGCCAAGACCATCAAGACGGCCAAGACCATCAAGACGGCCAAGACCATCAAGACGGCCAAGACCATGAAGACGGCCAAGACCATCAAGACGGCCAAGACCATCAAGACGGCCAAGACCATCAAGACGGCCAAGACCATCAAGACGGCCAAGACCATGAAGACGGCCAAGACCATCAAGACGGCCAAGACCATCAAGACGGCCAAGACCATGAAGACGGCCAAGACCATGAAGACGGCAAAGACCATGAAGACGACCAAGACCATGAAGACGGCCAAGACCATGAAGACGGCCAAGACCATCAAGACGGCCAAGACCATCAAGACGGCCAAGACCATCAAGACGGCCAAGACCATCAAGACGGTCAAGACCATCAAGACGGCCAAGACCATGAAGACGGCCAAGACCATCAAGACGGCCAAGACCATCAAGACGGCCAAGACCATGAAGACGGCCAAGACCATGAAGACGGCCAAGACCATCAAGACGGCCAAGACCATCAAGACGGCCAAGACCATCAAGACGGCCAAGACCATCAAGACGGCCAAGACCATCAAGACGGCCAAGACCATCAAGACGGCCAAGACCATCAAGACGGCCAAGACCATGAAGACGGCCAAGACCATGAAGACGGCCAAGACCATCAAGACGGCCCAAGACCATGAAGACGGCCAAGACCATGAAGACGGCCAAGACCATGAAGACGGCCAAGACCATGAAGACGGCCAAGACCATGAAGACGGCCAAGACCATTCAAGACGGCCAAGACCATCAAGACGGCCAAGACCATCAAGACGGCCAAGACCATCAAGACGGCCAAGACCATCAAGACGGCCAAGACCATCAAGACGGCCAAGACCATCAAGACGGCCAAGACCATCAAGACGGCCAAGACCATCAAGACGGCCAAGACCATCAAGACGGCCAAGACCATGAAGACGGCCAAGACCATCAAGACGGCCAAGACCATGAAGACGGCCAAGACCATGAAGACGGCCAAGACCATCAAGACGGCCAAGACCATCAAGACGGCCAAGACCATCAAGACGGCCAAGGACCATCAAGACGGCCCCGAAACGGCAAGACCATCAAGACGGCCAAGACCATCAAGACGGCCAAGACCATCAAGACGGCCAAGACCATCAAGACGGCCAAGACCATCAAGACGGCCAGACGGCCAAGACCATCAAGACGGCCAAGACCATGAAGACGGCCAAGACCATCAAGACGGCCAAGACCATGAAGACGGCCAAGACCATCAAGACGGCCAAGACCATGAAGACGGCCAAGTCCATCAAGACGGCCAAGACCATGAAGACGGCCAAGACCATGAAGACGGCCAAGACCATGAAGACGGCCAAGACCATCAAGACGGCCAAGACCATCAAGACGGCCAAGACCATCAAGACGGCCAAGACCATCAAGACGGCCAAGACCATCAAGACGGCCAAGACCATCAAGACGGCCAAGACCATGATGACGGCCAAGACCATCAAGACGGCCAAGACCATCAAGACGGCCAAGACCATCAAGACGGCCAAGACCATGAAGACGGCCAAGACCATCAAGACGGCCAAGACCATGAAGACGGCCAAGACCATGAAGACGGCCAAGACCATCAAGACGGCCAAGACCATCAAGACGGCCAAGACCATGAAGACGGCCAAGACCATGAAGACGGCCAAGACCATGAAGACGGCCAAGACCATGAAGACGGCCAAGACCATCAAGACGGCCAAGACCATGAAGACGGCCAAGACCATCAAGACGGCCAAGACCATCAAGACGGCCAAGACCATCAAGACGGCCAAGACCATCAAGACGGCCAAGACCATCAAGACGGCCAAAGCCATCAAGACGGCCAAAGCCATCAAGACGGCCAAGACCATCAAGACGGCCAAGACCATCAAGACGGCCAAGACCATGAAGACGGCCAAGACCATGAAGACGGCCAAGACCATGAAGACGGCCAAGACCATGAAGACGGCCAAGACCATGAAGACGGCCAAGACCATGAAGACGGCCAAGACCATGAAGACGGCCAAGACCATGAAGACGGCCAAGACCATCAAGACGGCCAAGACCATGAAGACGGCCAAGACCATGAAGACGGCCAAGACCATCAAGACAGCCAAGACCATCAAGACGGCCAAGACCATGAAGACGGCCAAGACCATCAAGACGGCCAAGACCATGAAGACGGCCAAGACCATCAAGACGGCCAAGACCATCAAGACGGCCAAGACCATCAAGACGGCCAAGACCACCAAGACGGCCAAGACCATCAAGACGGCCAAGACCATCAAGACGGCCAAGACCATCAAGACGGCCAAGACCATCAAGACGGCCAAGACCATCAAGACGGCCAAGACCATCAAGACGGCCAAGACCATCAAGACGGCCAAGACCATCAAGACGGCCAAGACCATCAAGACGGCCAAGACCATGAAGACGGCCAAGACCATGAAGACGGCCAAGACCATCAAGACGGCCAAGACCATCAAGACGGCCAAGACCATCAAGACGGCCAAGACCATCAAGACGGCCAAGGACCATCAAGACGGCCAAGACCATCAAGACGGCCAAGACCATGAAGACGGCCAAGACCATCAAGACGGCCAAGACCATGAAGACGGCCAAGACCATGAAGACGGCCAAAGACCATGAAGACGGCCAAGACCATGAAGACGGCCAAGACCATGAAGACGGCCAAGACCATGAAGACGGCCAAGACCATGAAGACGGCCAAGACCATGAAGACGGCCAAGACCATCAAGACGGCCAAGACCATCAAGACGGCCAAGACCATGAAGACGGCCAAGACCATGAAGACGGCCAAGACCATGAAGACGGCCAAGACCATGAAGACGGCCAAGACCATCAAGACGGCCAAGACCATCAAGACGGCCAAGACCATGAAGACGGCCAAGACCATCAAGACGGCCAAGACCATCAAGACGGCCAAGACCATGAAGACGGCCAAGACCATCAAGACGGCCAAGACCATGAAGACGGCCAAGACCATGAAGACGGCCAAGACCATGAAGACGGCCAAGACCATCAAGACGGCCAAGACCATGAAGACGGCCAAGACCATGAAGACGGCCAAGACCATCAAGATGGCCAAGACCATCAAGCCGGCCAAGACCATGAAGACGGCCAAGACCATGAAGACGGCCAAGACCATCAAGACGGCCAAGACCATCAAGACGGCCAAGACCATCAAGACGGCCAAGACCATCAAGACGGCCAAGACCATCAAGACGGCCAAGACCATCAAGACGGCCAAGACCATGAAGACGGCCAAGACCATGAAGACGGCCAAGACCATCAAGACGGCCAAGACCATGAAGACGGCCAAGACCATCAAGACGGCCAAGACCATGAAGACGGCCAAGACCATCAAGACGGCCAAGACCATGAAGACGGCCAAGTCCATCAAGACGGCCAAGACCATCAAGACGGCCAAGACCATCAAGACGGCCAAGACCATGAAGACGGCCAAGTCCATCAAGACGGCCAAGACCATGAAGACGGCCAAGACCATGAAGACGGCCAAGACCATGAAGACGGCCAAGACCATCAAGACGGCCAAGACCATCAAGACGGCCAAGACCATCAAGACGGCCAAGACCATCAAGACGGCCAAGACCATCAAGACGGCCAAGACCATCAAGACGGCCAAGACCATGATGACGGCCAAGACCATCAAGACGGCCAAGACCATCAAGACGGCCAAGACCATCAAGACGGCCAAGACCATGAAGACGGCCAAGACCATCAAGACGGCCAAGACCATGAAGACGGCCAAGACCATGAAGACGGCCAAGACCATCAAGACGGCCAAGACCATCAAGACGGCCAAGACCATGAAGACGGCCAAGACCATGAAGACGGCCAAGACCATGAAGACGGCCAAGACCATGAAGACGGCCAAGACCATCAAGACGGCCAAGACCATGAAGACGGCCAAGACCATCAAGACGGCCAAGACCATCAAGACGGCCAAGACCATCAAGACGGCCAAGACCATCAAGACGGCCAAGACCATCAAGACGGCCAAGACCATCAAGACGGCCAAGACCATCAAGACGGCCAAGACCATCAAGACGGCCAAGACCATCAAGACGGCCAAAGCCATCAAGACGGCCAAAGCCATCAAGACGGCCAAGACCATCAAGACGGCCAAGACCATCAAGACGGCCAAGACCATCAAGACGGCCAAGATCATCAAGACGGCCAAGACCATGAAGACGGCCAAGACCATCAAGACGGCCAAGACCATGAAGACGGCCAAGACCATGAAGACGGCCAAGACCATGAAGACGGCCAAGACCATGAAGACGGCCAAGACCATCAAGACGGCCAAGACCATCAAGACGGCCAAGACCATCAAGACGGCCAAGACCATGAAGACGGCCAAGACCATGAAGACGGCCAAGACCATGAAGACGGCCAAGACCATGAAGACGGCCAAGACCATGAAGACGGCCAAGACCATGAAGACGGCCAAGACCATGAAGACGGCCAAGACCATGAAGACGGCCAAGACCATCAAGACGGCCAAGACCATCAAGACGGCCAAGACCATCAAGACGGCCAAGACCATCAAGACGGCCAAGACCATCAAGACGGCCAAGACCATCAAGACGGCCAGACCATTCAAGACGGCCCAAGACATCAAGACGGCCAAGACCATCAAGACGGCCAAGACCATCAAGACGGCCAAGACCATCAAGACGGCCAAGACCATTCAAGACGGCCAAGACCATTCAAGACGGCCAAGACCATGAAGACGGCCAAGACCATGAAGACGGCAAGACCATGAAGACGGCCAAGACCATCAAGAGGCCAAGACATCAAGACGGCCAAGCCATCAAGACGGGCCAAGACCATGAAGACGGCCAAGACCATGAAGACGGCCAAGACCATCAAGACGGCCAAGACCATTCAAGACGGCCAAGACCATGAAGACGGCCAAGACCATGAAGGACGGCCAAGGACCATCACGACGGCCAAGACCATGAAGACGGCCAAGACCATGAAGACGGCCAAGACCATGAAGACGGGCCAAGACCATGAAGGACGGGCCAAGACCATTGAAGACGGCCAAGACCATCAAGGGGGGGGGGGGCCAAGACTTACTGGCCAAGACCATGAAGACGGCCAAGACCATGAAGACGGCCAAGACCATCAAGACGCCCAGACCATCAAGACAGTGCCAAGACCATCAAGACGCCAAGACCATGAAGACGGCCAAGACCATCAAGACGGCCAAGACCATGAAGACGGCCAAGACCATCAAGACGGCCAAGACCATCAAGACGGCCAAGACCATCAAGACGGCAAGACCACCAAGACGGCCAAGACCATCAAGACGGCCAAAGACCATCAAGACGGCCAAGACCATCAAGACGGCAAGACCATCAAGACGGCCAAGACCATCAAGACGGCCAAGACCATCAGACGGCCAAGACCATCAAGACGGCCAAGACCATCAAGACGGCCAAGACCATCAAGACGGCCAAGACCATGAAGACGGCCCAAGACATGCAAGACGGCCAAGACCATCAAGACGGCCAAGACCATTCCAAGACGGCCAAGACCCATCAAGACGGCCAAGACCATCAAGACGGCCAAGACCATCAAGACGGCCAAGACCATCAAGACTAAGACGGCCAAGACCATCAAGACGGCCAAGACCATCGAAGACGGCCAAGACCATGAAGACGGCCAAGACCATGAAGACGGCCAAGACCCTGAAGACGGCCAAGACCATGAAGACGGCCAAGACCATGAAGACGGCCAAGACCATGAAGACGGCCAAGGACCATGAAGACGGCCAAGACCATGAAGACGGCCCAAGACCATGAAGACGGCCAAGACCATCAAGACGGCCAAGACCATCAAGACGGCCAAGACCATGAAGACGGCCAAGACCATGAAGACGGCCAAGACCATGAAGACGGCCAAGACCATGAAGACGGCAATGACCATCAAGACGGCCAAGGACCATCGAAGACGGCCTAAGACCATCAAGACGGCCAAGACCATCAAGACGGCCAAGACCATCGAAGACGGCCAAGACCCATCAAGACGGCCAAGACCATCAAGACGGCCAAGACCATGCAGACGGCCAAGACCATGAAGACGGCCAAGACCATGAAGACGGCCAAGCACCATGAAGACGGCCAAGACCATCAAGACGGCCAAGACCATGAAGACGGCCAAGACCATGAAGACGGCCAAGACCATCAAGACGGCCAAGACCATCAAGACGGCCAAGACCATCAAGACGGCCAAGACCATCAAGACGGCCAAGACCATCAAGACGGCCAAGACCATGAAGACGGCCAAGACCATCAAGACGGCCAAGACCATCAAGACGGCCAAGACCATCAAGACGGCCAAGACCATCAAGACGGCCAAGACCATGAAGACGGCCAAGACCATGAAGACGGCCAAGACCATGAAGACGGCCAAGACCATGAAGACGGCCAAGACCATCAAGACGGCCAAGACCATCAAGACGGCCAAGACCATCAAGACGGCCAAGACCATGAAGACGGCCAAGACCATGAAGACGGCCAAGACCATGAAGACGGCCAAGACCATGAAGACGGCCAAGACCATGAAGACGGCCAAGACCATGAAGACGGCCAAGACCATGAAGACGGCCAAGACCATCAAGACGGCCAAGACCATGAAGACGGCCAAGACCATGAAGACGGCCAAGACCATGAAGACGGCCAAGACCATGAAGACGGCCAAGACCATGAAGACGGCCAAGACCATCAAGACGGCCAAGACCATGAAGACGGCCAAGACCATCAAGACGGCCAAGACCATCAAGACGGCCAAGACCATGAAGACGGCCAAGACCATGAAGACGGCCAAGACCATCAAGACGGCCAAGACCATGAAGACGGCCAAGACCATGAAGACGGCCAAGACCATGAAGACGGCCAAGACCATGAAGACGGCCAAGACCATGAAGACGGCCAAGACCATGAAGACGGCCAAGACCATCAAGACGGCCAAGACCATGAAGACGGCCAAGACCATGAAGACGGCCAAGACCATCAAGACGGCCAAGACCATGAAGACGGCCAAGACCATCAAGACGGCCAAGACCATCAAGACGGCCAAGACCATCAAGACGGCCAAGACCATGAAGACGGCCAAGACCATGAAGACGGCCAAGACATGAAGACGGCCAAGACCAATGAAGACGGCCAAGACCATGAAGACGGCCAAGACCATGAAGACGGCCAAGACCATGAAGACGGCCAAGACCATGAAGACGGCCAAGACCATGAAGACGGCCAAGACCATGAAGACGGCCAAGACCATCAAGACGGCCAAGACCATGAAGACGGCCAAAGATCCATCGAAGACGGCCAAGTACCATGAAGACGGCCAAGATGACCATGAAGACGGCCAAGACCATGAAGACGGCCAAGACCATGAAGACGGCCAAGACCATGAAGACGGCCAAGACCATCAAGACGGCCAAGACCATCAAGACGGCCAAGACCATCAAGACGGCCAAGACCATCAAGACGGCCAAGACCATCAAGACGGCCAAGACCATCAAGACGGCCAAGACCATCGATGACGGCCAAGACCATCAAGACGGCCAAGACCATCAAGACGGCCAAGACCATCAAGACGGCCAAGACCATGAAGACGGCCAAGACCATCAAGACGGCCAAGACCATGAAGACGGCCAAGGACCATGAAGACGGCCCAAGACCATCAAGACGGCCAAGACCATCAAGACGGCCCAAGACCATGAAGACGGCCAAGCCATGACGACGGCCAAGACCATGAAGACGGCCAAGACCGATGAAGACGGCCCAAGACCATCAGACGGCCAAGACCATGAAGACGGCCAAAGACCATCAAGACGGCCAAGGACCATCAAGACGGCCAAGGACCATGAAGACGGCCAAGACCATCAAGACGGCCAAGACCATGAAGACGGCCAAGACCATGAAGACGGCAAGACCATGAAGACGGCCAAGACCATCAAGACGGCCAAGACCATGAAGACGGCCAAGACCATGAAGACGGCCAAGACCATCAAGATGGCCAAGACCATCAAGACGGCCAAGACCATCAAGACGGCCAAGACCATCAAGACGGCCAAGACCATCAAGACGGCCAAGACCATGAAGACGGCCAAGACCATCAAGACGGCCAAGACCATCAAGACGGCCAAGACCATCAAGACGGCCAAGACCATGAAGACGGCCAAGACCATGAAGACGGCCAAGACCATGAAGACGGCCAAGACATGAAGACGGCCAAGACCATGAAGACGGCCAAGACCATGAAGACGGCCAAGACCATCAAGACGGCCAAGACCATCAAGACGGCCAAGACCATGAAGACGGCCAAGACCATGAAGACGGCCAAGACCATCAAGACGGCCAAGACCATGAAGACGGCCAAGTCCATCAAGACGGCCAAGACCATGAAGACGGCCAAGACCATGAAGACGGCCAAGACCATGAAGACGGCCAAGACCATGAAGACGGCCAAGACCATGAAGACGGCCAAGACCATGAAGACGGCCCAAGACCATGAAGACGGCCAAGACCATCAAGACGGCCAAGACCATCAAGACGGCCAAGACCATGAAGACGGCCAAGACCATCAAGACGGCCAAGACCATGAAGACGGCCAAGACCATCAAGACGGCCAAGGACCATCAAGACGGCCAAGACCATCAAGACGGCCAAGACCATGAAGGACGGCCAAGACCATGAAGACGGCCAAGACCATGAAGACGGCCAAGACCATGAAGACGGCCAAGGACCATGAAGACGGCCAAGACCATGAAGACGGCCAAGACCATCAAGACGGCCAAGACCATGAAGACGGCCAAGACCATGAAGACGGCCAAGACCATGAAGACGGCCAAGACCATGAAGACGGCCAAGACCATGAAGACGGCCAAGACCATGAAGACGGCCAAGACCATGAAGACGGCCAAGACCATGAAGACGGCCAAGACCATCAAGACGGCCAAGACCATGAAGACGGCCAAGTCCATCAAGACGGCCAAGACCATGAAGACGGCCAAGACCATGAAGACGGCCAAGACCATGAAGACGGCCAAGACCATGAAGACGGCCAAGACCATCAAGACGGCCAAGACCATCAAGACGGCCAAGACCATCAAGACGGCCAAGACCATCAAGACGGCCAAGACCATCAAGACGGCCAAGACCATCAAGACGGCCAAGACCATGATGACGGCCAAGACCATCAAGACGGCCAAGACCATCAAGACGGCCAAGACCATCAAGACGGCCAAGACCATGAAGACGGCCAAGACCATCAAGACGGCCAAGACTATGAAGACGGCCAAGACCATGAAGACGGCCAAGACCATCAAGACGGCCAAGACCATCAAGACGGCCAAGACCATGAAGACGGCCAAGACCATGAAGACGGCCAAGACCATGAAGACGGCCAAGACCATGAAGACGGCCAAGACCATCAAGACGGCCAAGACCATGAAGACGGCCAAGACCATCAAGACGGCCAAGACCATCAAGACGGCCAAGACCATGAAGACGGCCAAGACCATCAAGACGGCCAAGACCATGAAGACGGCCAAGACCATGAAGACGGCCAAGACCATGAGACGGCCAAGACCATGAAGACGGCCAAGACCATGAAGACGGCCAAGACCATGAAGACGGCCAAGACCATGAAGACGGCCAAGACCATCAAGACGGCCAAGACCATCAAGACGGCCAAGACCATCAAGACGGCCAAGACCATCAAGACGGCCAAGACCATCAAGACGGCCAAGACCATCAAGACGGCCAAGACCATCAAGACGGCCAAGACCATCAAGACGGCCAAGACCATGAAGACGGCCAAGACCATGAAGACGGCCAAGACCATGAAGACGGCCAAGACCATGAAGACGGCCAAGACCATGAAGACGGCCAAGACCATGAAGACGGCCAAGACCATGAAGACGGCCAAGACCATCAAGACGGCCAAGACCATGAAGACGGCCTAAGACCATGAAGACGGCCAAGACCATGAAGACGGCCAAGACCATGAAGACGGCCAAGACCATCAAGACGGCCAAGACCATGAAGACGGCCAAGACCATGAAGACGGCCAAGACCATCAAGACGGGCCAAGACCATGAAGACGGCCAAGACATGAAGACGGCCAAGACCATCAAGACGGCCAAGACCATGAAGACGGCCAAGACCATGAAGACGGCCAAGACCATCAAGACGGCCAAGACCATGAAGACGGCCAAGACCATGAAGACGGCCAAGACCATCAAGACGGCCAAGACCATCAAGACGGGCCAAGACCATCAAGACGGCCAAGACCATCAAGACGGCCAAGACCATGCAAGACGGCCAAGACCATGAAGACGGCCAAGACCATGAAGACGGCCAAGACCATGAAGACGGCCAAGACCATGAAGACGGCCAAGACCATGAAGACGGCCAAGACCATGAAGACGGCCAAGACCATCAAGACGGCCAAGACCATGAAGACGGCCAAGACCATCAAGACGGCCAAGACCATGAAGACGGCCAAGACCATCAAGACGGCCAAGACCATCAAGACGGCCAAGACCATCAAGACGGCCAAGACCATCAAGACGGCCAAGACGCAAGACCATGAAGACGGCCAAGACCATCAAGACGGCCAAGACCATGAAGACGGCCAAGACCATCAAGACGGCCAAGACCATGAAGACGGCCAAGACCATGAAGACGGCCAAGACCATGAAGACGGCCAAGACCATCAAGACGGCCAAGACCATGAAGACGGCCAAGACCATCAAGACGGCCAAGACCATGAAGACGGCCAAGACCATGAAGACGGCCAAGACCATGCAAGACGGCCAAGACCATGAAGACGGCCAACAGACCATCAAGACGGCCAAGACCATGAAGACGGCCAAGACCATCAAGACGGCCAAGACCATCAAGACGGCCCCAAGACAATCAAGACGGCCAAGACCATCAAGACGGCCAAGACCATCAAGACGGCCAAGACCATCAGACGGCCAAGACCATCAAGACGGCCAAGACATCAGACGGCCAAGACCATCAAGACGGCCAAGACCATCAAGACGGCCAAGACCATCAAGACGGCCAAGACCATCAAGACGGCCAAGACCATCAAGACGGCCAAGACCATCAAGACGGCCAAGACCATCAAGACGGCCAAGACCATCAAGACGGCCAAGACCATCAGACGGCCAAGACCATCAAGACGGCCAAGACCATCAAGACGGCCAAGACCATCAAGACGGCCAAGGACCATCAAGACGGCCAAAGACCATCAAGACGGCCAAGACCATCAAGACGGCCAAGACATCAAGACGGCCAAGACCATCCAAGACGGCCAAGACCATCAAGACGGCCAAGACCATCAAGACGGCCAAGACCATCAAGACGGCCAAGACCATGAAGACGGCCAAGACCATCAAGACGGCCAAGACCATGAAGACGGCCAAGACCATGAAGACGGCCAAGACCATGAAGACGGCCAAGACCATGAAGACGGCCAAGACCATGAAGACGGCCAAGACCATGAAGACGGCCAAGACCATGAAGACGGCCACCAGACCATCTACGACGGGCCATAGTGGACCATGAGACGGCCAAGACCATTCAAGACGGCCAAGACCATCAAGACGGCCAAGACCATCAAGACGGCAAGACCATCAAGACGGCCAAGACCATCAAGACGGCCAAGACCATGAAGACGGCCAAGACCATCAAGACGGCCAAGACCATGAAGACGGCCAAGACCATCAAGACGGCCAAAAACCATCAAGACGGCCAAGACCATCAAGACGGCCAAGACCATGAAGACGGCCAAGACCATCAAGACGGCCAAGACCATCAAGACGGCCAAGACCATGAAGACGGCCAAGACCATGAAGACGGCCAAGACCATGAAGACGGCCAAGACCATGAAGACGGCCAAGACCATGAAGACGGCCAAGACCATGAAGACGGCCAAGACCATGAAGACGGCCAAGACCATGAAGACGGCCAAGACCATGAAGACGGCCAAGACCATGAAGACGGCCAAGACCATGAAGACGGCCAAGACCATGAAGACGGCCAAGACCATCAAGACGGCCAAGACCATGAAGACGGCCAAGACCATGAAGACGGCCAAGACCATCAAGACGGCCAAGACCATCAAGACGGCCAAGACCATGAAGACGGCCAAGACCATCAAGACGGCCAAGACCATCAAGACGGCCAAGGACCATGAAGACGGCCAAGACCATCAAGACGGCCAAGACCATGAAGACGGCCAAGACCATCAAGACGGCCAAGACCATGAAGACGGCCAAGACCATCAAGACGGCCAAGACCATGAAGACGGCCAAGACCATCAAGACGGCCAAGACCATCAAGACGGCCAAGACCATGAAGACGGCCAAGACCATCAAGACGGCCAAGACCATGAAGACGGCCAAGACCATCAAGACGGCCAAGACCATCAAGACGGCCAAGACCATCAAGACGGCCAAGACCATGAAGACGGCCAAGACCATGAAGACGGCCAAGACCATCAAGACGGCCAAGACCATCAAGACGGCCAAGACCATCAAGACGGCCAAGACCATCAAGACGGCCAAGACCATCAAGACGGCCAAGACCATCAAGACGGCCAAGACCATCAAGACGGCCAAGACCATCAAGACGGCCAAGACCATCAAGACGGCCAAGACCATCAAGACGGCCAAGACCATGAAGACGGCCAAGACCATCAAGACGGCCAAGGACCATGAAGACGGCCAAGACCATCAAGACGGCCAAGACCATGAAGACGGCCAAGTCCATCAAGACGGCCAAGACCATCAAGACGGCCAAGACCATCAAGACGGCCAAGACCATGAAGACGGCCAAGACCATGAAGACGGCCAAGACCATCAAGACGGCCAAGACCATCAAGACGGCCAAGACCATCAAGACGGCCAAGACCATCAAGACGGCCAAGACCATCAAGACGGCCAAGACCATCAAGACGGCCAAGACCATCAAGACGGCCAAGACCATCAAGACGGCCAAGACCATGAAGACGGCCAAGACCATCAAGACGGCCAAGACCATGAAGACGGCCAAGACCATCAAGACGGCCAAGACCATGAAGACGGCCAAGACCATCAAGACGGCCAAGACCATGAAGACGGCCAAGACCATCAAGACGGCCAAGACCATCAAGACGGCCAAGACCATGAAGACGGCCAAGACCATCAAGACGGCCAAGACCATCAAGACGGCCAAGACCATGAAGACGGCCAAGACCATGAAGACGGCCAAAGACCATGAAGACGGCCAAGACCATGAAGACGGCCAAGACCATGAAGACGGCCAAGACCATGAAGACGGCCAAGACCATGAAGACGGCCAAGACCATGAAGACGGCCAAGACCATGAAGACGGCCAAGACCATGAAGACGGCCAAGACCATCAAGACGGCCAAGACCATGAAGACGGCCAAGACCATCAAGACGGCCAAGACCATGAAGACGGCCAAGACCATGAAGACGGCCAAGACCATCAAGACGGCCAAGACCATCAAGACGGCCAAGACCATGAAGACGGCCAAGACCATCAAGACGGCCAAGACCATCAAGACGGCCAAGACCATCAAGACGGCCAAGACCATGAAGACGGCCAAGACCATCAAGACGGCCAAGACCATCAAGACGGCCAAGACCATCAAGACGGCCAAGACCATGAAGACGGCCAAGACCATGAAGACGGCCAAGACCATCAAGACGGCCAAGACCATCAAGACGGCCAAGACCATCAAGACGGCCAAGATCATCAAGACGGCCAAGACCATCAAGACGGCCAAGACCATCAAGACGGCCAAGACCATCAAGACGGCCAAGACCATCAAGACGGCCAAGACCATGAAGACGGCCAAGACCATCAAGACGGCCAAGACCATGAAGACGGCCAAGACCATCAAGACGGCCAAGACCATGAAGACGGCCAAGACCATCAAGACGGCCAAGACCATGAAGACGGCCAAGACCATCAAGACGGCCAAGACCATCAAGACGGCCAAGACCATGAAGACGGCCCAAGACCATGAAGACGGCCAAGACCATCAAGACGGCCAAGACCATCAAGACGGCCAAGACCATCAAGACGGCCAAAGACCATCAAGACGGCCAAGACCATCAAGACGGCCAAGACATCAAGACGGCCAAGACCATCAAGACGGCCAAGACCATCAAGACGGCCAAGACCATCAAGACGGCCAAGACCATCAAGACGGCCAAGACCATCAAGACGGCCAAGACCATCAAGACGGCCAAGACCATCAAGACGGCCAAGACCATCAAGACGGCCAAGGACCATCAAGACGGCCAAGACCATCAAGACGGCCAAGACCATCAAGACGGCCAAGACCATCAAGACGGCCAAGACCATCAAGACGGCCAAGACCATCAAGACGGCCAAGACCATCAAGACGGCCAAGACCATCAAGACGGCCAAGACCATCAAGACGGCCAAGACCATCAAGACGGCCAAGACCATGAAGACGGCCAAAGACCATCAAGACGGCCAAGACCATCGAAGACGGCCAAGACCATCAAGACGGCCAAGACCATCAAGACGGCCAAGACCATCAAGACGGCCAAGACCATGAAGACGGCCAAGACCATCAAGACGGCCAAGACCATCAAGACGGCCAAGACCATCAAGACGGCCAAGACCATCAAGACGGCCAAGACCATCAAGACGGCCAAGACCATCAAGACGGCCAAGACCATCAAGACGGCCAAGACCATCAAGACGGCCAAGACCATCAAGACGGCCAAGACCATCAAGACGGCCAAGACCATCAAGACGGCCAAGACCATCAAGACGGCCAAGACCATCAAGACGGCCAAGACCATCAAGACGGCCAAGACCATGAAGACGGCCAAGACCATGAAGACGGCCAAGACCATGAAGACGGCCAAGACCATGAAGACGGCCAAGACCATGAAGACGGCCAAGACCATGAAGACGGCCAAGACCATGAAGACGGCCAAGACCATCAAGACGGCCAAGACCATCAAGACGGCCAAGACCATCAAGACGGCCAAGACCATGAAGACGGCCAAGACATCAAGACGGCCAAGACCATCAAGACGGCCAAGACCATCAAGACGGCCAAGACCATGAAGACGGCCAAGACCATCAAGACGGCCAAGACCATGAAGACGGCCAAGACCATCAAGACGGCCAAGACCATCAAGACGGCCAAGACCATCAAGACGGCCAAGACCATCAAGACGGCCAAGACCATGAAGACGGCCAAGACCATGAAGACGGCCAAGACCATGAAGACGGCCAAGACCATGAAGACGGCCAAGACCATGAAGACGGCCAAGACCATGAAGACGGCCAAGACCATGAAGACGGCCAAGACCATGAAGACGGCCAAGACCATGAAGACGGCCAAGACCATGAAGACGGCCAAGACCATGAAGACGGCCAAGACCATGAAGACGGCCAAGACCATGAAGACGGCCAAGACCATGAAGACGGCCAAGACCATGAAGACGGCCAAGACCATGAAGACGGCCAAGACCATGAAGACGGCCAAGACCATCAAGACGGCCAAGACCATGAAGACGGCCAAGACCATGAAGACGGCCAAGACCATGAAGACGGCCAAGACCATGAAGACGGCCAAGACCATGAAGACGGCCAAGACCATGAAGACGGCCAAGACCATGAAGACGGCCAAGACCATGAAGACGGCCAAGACCATGAAGACGGCCAAGACCATGAAGACGGCCAAGACCATCAAGACGGCCAAGACCATCAAGACGGCCAAGACCATCAAGACGGCCAAGACCATCAAGACGGCCAAGACCATCAAGACGGCCAAGACCATCAAGACGGCCAAGACCATCAAGACGGCCAAGACCATGAAGACGGCCAAGACCATCAAGACGGCCAAGACCATGAAGACGGCCAAGACCATCAAGACGGCCAAGACCATGAAGACGGCCAAGACCATCAAGACGGCCAAGACCATCAAGACGGCCAAGACCATCAAGACGGCCAAGACCATGAAGACGGCCAAGACCATCAAGACGGCCAAGACCATCAAGACGGCCAAGACTATCAAGACGGCCAAGACCATGAAGACGGCCAAGACCATCAAGACGGCCAAGACCATCAAGACGGCCAAGACCATGAAGACGGCCAAGACCATCAAGACGGCCAAGACCATCAAGACGGCCAAGACCATCAAGACGGCCAAGACCATCAGGCCAAGACCATCAAGAAGGCCAAGACCATGAAGACGGCCAAGACCATGAAGACGGCCAAGACCATGAAGACGGCCAAGACCATCAAGACGGCCAAGACCATGAAGACGGCCAAGACCATCAAGACGGCCAAGACCATGAAGACGGCCAAGACCATGAAGACGGCCAAGACCATCAAGACGGCCAAGACCATGAAGACGGCCAAGACCATGAAGACGGCCAAGACCATGAAGACGGCCAAGACCATGAAGACGGCCAAGACCATGAAGACGGCCAAGACCATGAAGACGGCCAAGACCATGAAGACGGCCAAGACCATGAAGACGGCCAAGACCATGAAGACGGCCAAGACCATCAAGACGGCCAAGACCATGAAGACGGCCAAGACCATGAAGACGGCCAAGACCATCAAGACGGCCAAGACCATGAAGACGGCCAAGACCATCAAGACGGCCAAGACCATCAAGACGGCCAAGACCATCAAGACGGCCAAGACCATGAAGACGGCCAAGACCATGAAGACGGCCAAGACCATCAAGACGGCCAAGACCATGAAGACGGCCAAGACCATGAAGACGGCCAAGACCATGAAGACGGCCAAGACCATGAAGACGGCCAAGACCATGAAGACGGCCAAGACCATGAAGACGGCCAAGACCATGAAGACGGCCAAGACCATGAAGACGGCCAAGACCATGAAGACGGCCAAGACCATCAAGACGGCCAAGACCATGAAGACGGCCAAGACCATGAAGACGGCCAAGACCATCAAGACGGCCAAGACCATGAAGACGGCCAAGACCATCAAGACGGCCAAGACCATCAAGACGGCCAAGACCATCAAGACGGCCAAGACCATGAAGACGGCCAAGACCATGAAGACGGCCAAGACCATGAAGACGGCCAAGACCATCAAGACGGCCAAGACCATGAAGACGGCCAAGACCATGAAGACGGCCAAGACCATCAAGACGGCCAAGACCATGAAGACGGCCAAGACCATCAAGACGGCCAAGACCATCAAGACGGCCAAGACCATCAAGACGGCCAAGACCATGAAGACGGCCAAGACCATGAAGACGGCCAAGACCATGAAGACGGCCAAGACCATCAAGACGGCCAAGACCATGAAGACGGCCAAGACCATGAAGACGGCCAAGACCATGAAGACGGCCAAGACCATGAAGACGGCCAAGACCATCAAGACGGCCAAGACCATGAAGACGGCCAAGACCATGAAGACGGCCAAGACCATGAAGACGGCCAAGACCATGAAGACGGCCAAGACCATCAAGACGGCCAAGACCATCAAGACGGCCAAGACCATCAAGACGGCCAAGACCATCAAGACGGCCAAGACCATCAAGACGGCCAAGACCATCAAGACGGCCAAGACCATGAAGACGGCCAAGACCATGAAGACGGCCAAGACCATCAAGACGGCCAAGACCATCAAGACGGCCAAGACCATCAAGACGGCCAAGACCATCAAGACGGCCAAGACCATCAAGACGGCCAAGACCATCAAGACGGCCAAGACCATCAAGACGGCCAAGACCATCAAGACGGCCAAGACCATCAAGACGGCCAAGACCATCAAGACGGCCAAGACCATCAAGACGGCCAAGACCATCAAGACGGCCAAGACCATCAAGACGGCCAAGACCATCAAGACGGCCAAGACCATCAAGACGGCCAAGACCATGAAGACGGCCAAGACCATCAAGACGGCCAAGACCATCAAGACGGCCAAGACCATCAAGACGGCCAAGACCATGAAGACGGCCAAGACCATCAAGACGGCCAAGACCATGAAGACGGCCAAGACCATCAAGACGGCCAAGACCATCAAGACGGCCAAGACCATGAAGACGGCCAAGACCATCAAGACGGCCAAGACCATCAAGACGGCCAAGACCATCAAGACGGCCAAGACCATCAAGACGGCCAAGACCATCAAGACGGCCAAGACCATCAAGACGGCCAAGACCATCGAAGACGGCCAAGACCATCAAGACGGCCAAGACCATCAAGACGGCCAAGACCATGAAGACGGCCAAGACCATCAAGACGGCCAAGACCATGAAGACGGCCAAGACCATCAAGACGGCCAAGACCATCAAGACGGCCAAGACTATCAAGACGGCCAAGACCATGAAGACGGCCAAGACCATCAAGACGGCCAAGACCATCAAGACGGCCAAGACCATGAAGACGGCCAAGACCATCAAGACGGCCAAGACCATCAAGACGGCCAAGACCATCAAGACGGCCAAGACCATCAAGAAGGCCAAGACCATGAAGACGGCCAAGACCATGAAGACGGCCAAGACCATGAAGACGGCCAAGACCATCAAGACGGCCAAGACCATGAAGACGGCCAAGACCATCAAGACGGCCAAGACCATGAAGACGGCCAAGACCATGAAGACGGCCAAGACCATCAAGACGGCCAAGACCATGAAGACGGCCAAGACCATGAAGACGGCCAAGACCATGAAGACGGCAAGACCATGAAGACGGCCAAGACCATGAAGACGGCCAAGACCATGAAGACGGCCAAGACCATGAAGACGGCCAAGACCATGAAGACGGCCAAGACCATGAAGACGGCCAAGACCATCAAGACGGCCAAGACCATGAAGACGGCCAAGACCATGAAGACGGCCAAGACCATCAAGACGGCCAAGACCATGAAGACGGCCAAGACCATCAAGACGGCCAAGACCATCAAGACGGCCAAGACCATCAAGACGGCCAAGACCATGAAGACGGCCAAGACCATGAAGACGGCCAAGACCATGAAGACGGCCAAGACCATCAAGACGGCCAAGACCATGAAGACGGCCAAGACCATGAAGACGGCCAAGACCATCAAGACGGCCAAGACCATGAAGACGGCCAAAGACCATCAAGACGGCCAAGACCATCAAGACGGCCAAGACCATCAAGACGGCCAAGACCATGAAGACGGCCAAGACCATGAAGACGGCCAAGACCATGAAGACGGCCAAGACCATCAAGACGGCCAAGACCATGAAGACGGCCAAGACCATGAAGACGGCCAAGACCATGAAGACGGCCAAGACCATGAAGACGGCCAAGACCATCAAGACGGCCAAGACCATGAAGACGGCCAAGACCATGAAGACGGCCAAGACCATGAAGACGGCCAAGACCATGAAGACGGCCAAGACCATCAAGACGGCCAAGACCATCAAGACGGCCAAGACCATCAAGACGGCCAAGACCATCAAGACGGCCAAGACCATCAAGACGGCCAAGACCATCAAGACGGCCAAGACCATGAAGACGGCCAAGACCATGAAGACGGCCAAGACCATGAAGACGGCCAAGACCATGAAGACGGCCAAGACCATCAAGACGGCCAAGACCATCAAGACGGCCAAGACCATGAAGACGGCCAAGACAATGAAGACGGCCAAGACCATCAAGACGGCCAAGACAATGAAGACGGCCAAGACCATGAAGACGGCCAAGACCATGAAGACGGCCAAGACCATGAAGACGGCCAAGACCATGAAGACGGCCAAGACCATCAAGACGGCCAAGACCATCAAGACGGCCAAGACCATCAAGACGGCCAAGACCATCAAGACGGCCAAGACCATGAAGACGGCCAAGACCATGAAGACGGCCAAGACCATCAAGACGGCCAAGACCATGAAGACGGCCAAGACCATCAAGACGGCCAAGACCATGAAGACGGCCAAGACCATGAAGACGGCCAAGACCATGAAGACGGCCAAGACCATGAAGACGGCCAAGACCATGAAGACGGCCAAGACCATGAAGACGGCCAAGACCATGAAGACGGCCAAGACCATGAAGACGGCCAAGACCATCAAGACGGCCAAGACCATGAAGACGGCCAAGACCATCAAGACGGCCAAGACCATCAAGACGGCCAAGACCATGAAGACGGCCAAGACCATCAAGACGGCCAAGACCATGAAGACGGCCAAGACCATGAAGACGGCCAAGACCATCAAGACGGCCAAGACCATCAAGACGGCCAAGACCATCAAGACGGCCAAGACCATCAAGACGGCCAAGACCATCAAGACGGCCAAGACCATCAAGACGGCCAAGACCATGAAGACGGCCAAGACCATGAAGACGGCCAAGACCATGAAGACGGCCAAGACCATGAAGACGGCCAAGACCATGAAGACGGCCAAGACCATGAAGACGGCCAAGACCATGAAGACGGCCAAGACCATGAAGACGGCCAAGACCATGAAGACGGCCAAGACCATCAAGACGGCCAAGACCATCAAGACGGCCAAGACCATCAAGACGGCCAAGACCATGAAGACGGCCAAGACCATGAAGACGGCCAAGACCATCAAGACGGCCAAGACCATCAAGACGGCCAAGACCATGAAGACGGCCAAGACCATGAAGACGGCCAAGACCATGAAGACGGCCAAGACCATGAAGACGGCCAAGACCATGAAGACGGCCAAGACATGAAGACGGCCAAGACCATGAAGACGGCCAAGACCATCAAGACGGCCAAGACCATGAAGACGGCCAAGACCATGAAGACGGCCAAGACCATGAAGACGGCCAAGACCATGAAGACGGCCAAGACCATGAAGACGGCCAAGACCATGAAGACGGCCAAGACCATGAAGACGGCCAAGACCATCAAGACGGCCAAGACCATGAAGACGGCCAAGACCATGAAGACGGCCAAGACCATCAAGACGGCCAAGACCATGAAGACGGCCAAGACCATCAAGACGGCCAAGACCATCAAGACGGCCAAGACCATCAAGACGGCCAAGACCATCAAGACGGCCAAGACCATCAAGACGGCCAAGACCATCAAGACGGCCAAGACCATCAAGACGGCCAAGACCATCAAGACGGCCAAGACCATCAAGACGGCCAAGACCATCAAGACGGCCAAGACCATGAAGACGGCCAAAACCATCAAGACGGCCAAGACCATGAAGACGGCCAAGACCATGAAGACGGCCAAGACCATGAAGACGGCCAAGACCATCAAGACGGCCAAGACCATCAAGACGGCCAAGACCATGAAGACGGCCAAGACCATGAAGACGGCCAAGACCATGAAGACGGCCAAGACCATCAAGACGGCCAAGACCATCAAGACGGCCAAGACCATCAAGACGGCCAAGACCATCAAGACGGCCAAGACCATGAAGACGGCCAAGACCATGAAGACGGCCAAGACCATGAAGACGGCCAAGACCATGAAGACGGCCAAGACCATGAAGACGGCCAAGACCATGAAGACGGCCAAGACCATCAAGACGGCCAAGACCATCAAGACGGCCAAGACCATCAAGACGGCCAAGACCATCAAGACGGCCAAGACCATCAAGACGGCCAAGACCATCAAGACGGCCAAGACCATCAAGACGGCCAAGACCATCAAGACGGCCAAGACCATCAAGACGGCCAAGACCATCAAGACGGCCAAGACCATCAAGACGGCCAAGACCATCAAGACGGCCAAGACCATCAAGACGGCCAAGACCATCAAGACGGCCAAGACCATCAAGACGGCCAAGACCATCAAGACGGCCAAGACCATCAAGACGGCCAAGACCATCAAGACGGCCAAGACCATCAAGACGGCCAAGACCATCAAGACGGCCAAGACCATCAAGACGGCCAAGACCATCAAGACGGCCAAGACCATCAAGACGGCCAAGACCATCAAGACGGCCAAGACCATCAAGACGGCCAAGACCATCAAGACGGCCAAGACCATCAAGACGGCCAAGACCATGAAGACGGCCAAGACCATGAAGACGGCCAAGACCATGAAGACGGCCAAGACCATGAAGACGGCCAAGACCATCAAGACGGCCAAGACCATCAAGACGGCCAAGACCATCAAGACGGCCAAGACCATCAAGACGGCCAAGACCATCAAGACGGCCAAGACCATCAAGACGGCCAAGACCATCAAGACGGCCAAGACCATCAAGACGGCCAAGACCATCAAGACGGCCAAGACCATCAAGACGGCCAAGACCATCAAGACGGCCAAGACCATCAAGACGGCCAAGACCATCAAGACGGCCAAGACCATCAAGACGGCCAAGACCATCAAGACGGCCAAGACCATCAAGACGGCCAAGACCATCAAGACGGCCAAGACCATCAAGACGGCCAAGACCATGAAGACGGCCAAGACCATGAAGACGGCCAAGACCATGAAGACGGCCAAGACCATCAAGACGGCCAAGACCATCAAGACGGCCAAGACCATCAAGACGGCCAAGACCATCAAGACGGCCAAGACCATCAAGACGGCCAAGACCATCAAGACGGCCAAGACCATCAAGACGGCCAAGACCATGAAGACGGCCAAGACATGACCAACGTCTACGTCAACGACAATTTACTAAATTTCTCTGGTGAGCTCGTCCTTTCAGATTTCCTTTTGCTTTTCCTTCAATTTACTTACTTTCTCTTGTTTTTCCTTGTTTGTGAAGCGGCAGGAGCGCGGAGGGAGCGGGAGCGCAGAGGAAGAATAACAATTCATGGTAAGCTTGTCGTTCGAGTTTAGCTTCAATTCTTCCTTCACGTTTACTTACTTTCTCTTGTTTTTTTCCTTTGTTTGTGAAGTGGCAGGAGAGCGGAGGGAGCAGGAGTGCAGAGGAAGAACAACACCTTTCATGGTAAGCTCGTCGTTCCAGTTAACTTCTTTTATTCCTTCACGTTTACTAATTTCTTCTTGTATTTCCTTGGTTTGTGAAGTGGCAGGAGCGCGGAGGAAGCGGGAGCGAGTGGAAGAACAACATTCTTTCGTGGTAAGCTTGTCGTTTCAGTTGGTTTCGTTTTCTCCTTCGCATATACTAACTCTCTCTCGTTTTTCCTTGTTTTGTTTAGCAGCAGGAGCGCAGAGGAAGCGGGAACGCGGATCGGGAGCGGGAGGAAGAACAACACCTTTCAAGGTAAGCTCGTCGTTCCAGTTAGTTTCGTTTTTTTCTTCACGTATACTTACTTTCTCTTGTTTCTCCTTTGTCTGTGAAGTGGCAGGAGCGCGGCGGGAAGCTGGAGGAAGAACAACACTTATCGAGGTAAGCTCGTCGTTTCAGTTAGTCTCGTCGTTTTTCCTTCACATTTACTAACTTCCTCTTGTTTTCCCTTTGTTTTTGAAGCAGGAGCTGGTGGGAGCCGGAGAGGGATCGGGAGCGGGAGCACGAGCGGGAGCGTCTATCAGGTGATGTAATGCCCAAGGCTATTATAATGGCGGTTACAAGGCTTTTATAATATTCCAATACAAAATAGTAGCCTAAACTAGCCTAAAAAAGCCTTGGAGATGAAGATCTTCTTGATGCCTTTGATGAAAAGCACTTAGAGTAGTAGTGTAGGGAAGCTTGTGAGAGAGCCTAAAGGACTTAGCCCAATAATCCCATTTCCAATTGTTTAGTTGGAGTGGGAGGTTGAGAATGAGCTTGCTTAGCTCAGACCCCCTCAATACACCCCTTGGGGAACCATCCCAACCATGGTTTCCATGGTGGGATGGCTCCTAGGCTTGGAGCCTATGTGGCAATTGTGTTGGGTTGGAAAACCCAACTTAGAACCATTCAATGGTTGTGTTTAGGATAGAGTAGATTGTTACAATTGTTTGGCAGTTTCTGATTGGTTGGAAATCCAACCTTCAAATCTCAACTTTGATGGGTTGGAGTTTCCCAATCCTCTTGGTTGAGGTTTGGAGAACCAATCCAATCCTAACATCCCAACCAAACCCAACCTTCTTCTCCAAGTCCCTCATTGTCGAGAAAACTCTCGACATTTGACTAGAGGGAAGTTGGTTGGTGAGCTTAGCTAGGGCAATGTGTTACACTCCTCCCCCCCCAGGTGGCAACGTCCCCATTGCCCTAGGGTGCTTCTGAGGACGAGTGCTTTGAGCACGGCGCACCACATTACGACCAGGGTCAACCCTATCCACTGGTTGTGGGCCTGCTCGTAGAGCCAAGTCTTCCATATACGCTTGAACCGCTGCTTCGGTCAAGTGTTCCTCAGGCTCCCAAGAGTTGTGTTCCGGCCCATAGCCTTTCCACTGAATTAGGAACTCACGAACTGTTTTGCGGCCGCGTTGTCGATCACGGTGCGTTAGCACACGCTCGACTTCATAAAAGAGTTCCTCCCCGAGAACGATGGTTGGTGGTGGTAAGTACTTGCCTTCTGCAACATACTTATTCAACAGAGACACGTGGAAGACGTTGTGAATCTGCAATGTCGCAGGCAACTTGAGCCTGTATGCGACCTCACCAACTCGCGCAATCACCTTGAAGGGCCCAATCCAACGAGGGAAGAGCTTTCGTGCTCCCGGGATCTTGAGACGAATATTCTTCGCACTCAGTAATACTTTGTCGCCAACTGCAAAGACGACTTCCCGGCGTTTCATGTCGGCATAGGACTTTTGCCTCTGTTGGGCAAGCTGCAGCCAATGGCGAGCGGACTTCAACGCCGCTTGCTGTTTTCCAATAAAGTCCTTTGCGGCTGGGATTTTGAGGTTCTTAATCCCATGCGTCGCAGGGGTTGTGGGGTGCCGACCACAGTTCAAGACAAAGGGTTTCTCATGTGTGCTTTCATGCACAGAATTGTTCACAGCGAATTCTACGACTGGCAACAATTCATCCCACTCGTCCTGAGTTGGGCTTATGAAAGAACGAAGCATTTGCTCAAGAGTGCGGTTGGTCCGCTCTGTCTGTCCATCCGTTTGTGGGTGGAACGCAGACGACATCTTGAGTTTCGTTCCGAGTGTCTTAATGACCTCTTGCCAGAATCGGCTTGTGAAGCGAGGGTCTCGGTCAGACACCATCACACGAGGCAAACCGTGTAAGCGGAAAACGTGCGTCACAAACAACTTTGCCGTATCCTCTGCAGACACGTCAGTCGTCGTGGGCATGAAGTGCACCATTTTGGTCAAGCGATCTACAAACACTAGTATCGCCGTATGACCATCTCGCGTCCTGGGGAGATCGGTGATAAAATCCATCGATACACTCTCCCAAGGTTCATCGGGAATCTCAAGTGGTTGAAGCAAACCACCAGGCTTCTGTGTGCTCGGCTTGTTCCGTGCACACGTGTCACAGCGAGTTACAAACTGCTGGACCTCAATGCCCAATCCCGGCCACCAGTATACATCACTGAGGGCCCACCGGGTTTTCTTGACACCCAGGTGTCCTCCATACTTAGTGGCGTGCACCTCTGCTAGAATATCATTCCGCAGGTTTCCCACATGTGGGACAACAATTTCTTTCTTGTGCCACCAGAGCTCATGCTCCCACAAGAGATCCTTTGTATTCTGTGGGTTCCAAAACCAAGGGTCAATATCATACCCTGCGCGAATGCGTTTCAGAAAACCATCAAAGGCAATCTCACTCACTCGAGCAGCTGCGAAGATGTTGAAACAAGCAGCAAACACTGCTTCATGTTCAGTATTATCAACACCCGTTGCTGCACCAATCGGCTGTCTGCTCAGAGGATCAGCCATGTTCGTCGAGCCCGCTCGATATCGAATATCATATGTGAACCCACTAAGGAGTTCAGCCCATCGAGCTTGACGACGGGTGAGTGTGGCTTGAGTGGCAAAATAGGTGTTCGGACAGTGGTCGGTCGTGACCACAAAGTCAACACCTTCGAGATAACATCTCCATGTTCGTAGCGCATGCACAACTGCCAACAATTCTTGTTCGGAAGTTGTATAGCGCTGCTCAGCTGGTGAAAGCTTTCTACTCTCAAATGCCACGGGGCGTCCTTCTTGCAAAAGAACTGCTCCAATCCCTACTGTCGAGGCATCAGTTACCACCTCGTAGGGCTTGGACGGGTCTGGCAAAGCCAGCACTGGAGCATTGGTCAGCATGGTTTTCACTTCCTCAAATGCCTTCTGGCATTGATCGGTCCACTGCCAAGCATTTCCTTTACGAGTGAGGGCAGTCAGTGGAGCGACTACGGAGGAATAATTTTCCAAGAAACGGCGAAAATAGTTCGCAAGTCCAAGAAATGATCTGACCTGTCCCACGTCCTGTGGAACGGGCCACTGTTGGACTGCCGCCACTTTCTTTGGATCAACTTTGAGGCCATCGTTGCCTACCAAGTGACCCAGGTATTCCAACTCGCGTTTGTAGAAGTGACACTTCCACAACCGAGCAAAGAATTTATGCTCTCGCAGTTTTCCTAACACCCATTTCAGGTGTTGCGTGTGTTCTTCTTCAGTCTTCGAGTACACGAGGATGTCATCCAAGTATACCAGGACAAATTGGCCAATTTCTTCCCGAAACACATCATTCATTGCTCGCTGAAATGACGCGGGAGCATTTGTCAAGCCAAAACTTAACACACGCCACTGAAAATGCCCGAATGGCGTTCTGAAAGCCGTTTTTGGAACATCTTCTTCGGTGATTCGTAGCTGATGATACCCCTGAGCTAAGTCCAGCGCACTGAACCACTGAGCTCCTTGGAGCCGATCGAACAGATCCTCAATTCGTGGTAGAGGGTATCTGTTCTTCACCGTAATCTTGTTCAAGGCACGATAATCTACGCACATGCGTAATCCTCCGCCCTTCTTGTTAACGAATAAAATCGGTGCTCCGTAAGGGGATGCACTGGGTTCAATCCATCCTTTTCTGAGGTATTCATCGATCTGTTGTTTGGCCTCTTCGTACTCAGCAGGACTGAGGCGATACAGAGGTCGAAAGGGTGGAACCTTTCCTGGTTCAACAGGGATGGTGTGACCCACTGCGCGGTCAGGCGGAAGTCCATCAGGGATGGTTTCAAACACTTCCTTAAATTCCTCTGCCAGTATTTGCATCTGAGGAGGAAATTCCTCAATTGCTGGCTCCGAGGCCTCAGCACTCTCAAGCTGTACCACGAACAGTGTATCAGCCGACTTAACAGAATGCCCGAACTGGTTGGCCAATACACACAGCACGCTGGGGCGTTCAAGCGTCTGTGTTTCAGTGGGCAAAGTATCATTGACTTGCCACTGGATTGCCTTTCCGTTCTTGTTGAACGAGACAATGTTGTACTGGAAGTCCAGAATGACTTCGTTGGCTCGCAACCAATCCATGCCCAGGATGAGGTCGACACCTGACAAAAGTGGTAGGACATACACGCGAACTGTTTCGCTATAGTCCTGTACATTCATGTCGATATGTGTCTGTCCTTTACTTGGAATGACACGATCGTCACCCAAGCGGATGGGACATGACGGTCCTACAACGAGGACGTTGCGTGTCGTAACCCAAGTTTCATCAACAAGGGAAACCGACGCGCCTGTATCGACGAGAATCCTTGCTTCGTCTCCATTCATGCGTCCAGATAACAGTAGATTCTGTTGGAATCTTGGACGGATGGGACAAGCGACAACAAGTTTAGGAGGTCGATAGTACACCCTAAATTTGTTGTGAGCACGTCCAAACCTTTGGGATGTGGTCCACCAAACATGGTGTCCTTTGTTCCATGTTGCCAGGATGTGCCATTCGTGAAATCGGCGGAACAACTCTCCTTTCACGATTCGAGTCACCAATCCCACTGACGTGAGCGGGTGCTCTTGGACACAACGGTCCACAACATTCATGATTGCTGGCAACTCGTTAAACGAGCAAGAGATGATTGAAAATTTATCTCTCAAGGATTCAATTGAGATGTTTTCAAGTGGGTATGATCGAGTTTTAAAAACAGATTTTTCATTAATAGAAGAGGCATACAAACAAGCGATTTTGCATGATGCAAGTTTCTCTAGCTTTAGCAAATCTCATCACGAAGGACATAAGCCTCATCTACTCGATCTCGCTCACCAACTAGGTACCCACCCCCTAGTTGGACTTCGGAAAATCCTTCGGGCCCGAAGGGCCAGAACCATTCGGCTTCTTGCCCTGGTTGGGCTTGCCGGAGTTCTTGACGGACTTCCTCCAACGGCAGTGGTAGGACTTGTGGCCGAGCTTGCCACAGATGCGGCAGCCCGCCGGGGGCTTATCCTCATCCTGAGGATCCTTGGCAGGCCCAGCATGGGCCCTCTTGGACTGAGTCCCAGAGGATTCCCCCTTCTGCTGATAGGGCCTCTTCCAAGAGCCACCGCCCCTGTGTGCCTGAGTCCTGTTACCACCCCCCCTAGGGCCTTCGGCACTAGGCTGCTGCTGAGCACGAGCATGAGTCATGTACGCACGGAAATTCACATCCGTGTCAATGACCTGCTCCTTGCACTCCTTGTAGGTCCTCCACTGGTGCTCCCCGCGCACAACATGCACACGCTTGATGTGCTCAGGGAGTCCCTTGAAGAACTGGTGGATGACCTCGCTCTCAGGAAGAGCAGTCTTCAGCAGCGACAGAGTTTTCTCAAACTCCTTGGCGTATTCGCGTACAGGCTGGTCACCGCACTGGATGTTCTCCAGGCGGCTACGCACCTCGAGCGCCGGGGGCTGACTCAGGAATGCCGCCAGCATGGCAGCTTTGAACTCCTCCCAGCCAAAAGGATGGCCATTAGCCTCTGCGTGGCGCTTGTTGGCATACACCAACTTGCTCGCAGTGTCATCCAGGGCAAGGGTTGCAGCAACCACGCGAGCCTCGCTACGCACATTGTGGATGGACATAAAGTCCTCCGCAATGGAGAGCCAAGTCTCGACGTCGGTCTTGCCATGGACAAAACGAGGCAGGGCCGAAGGGCAGGAGCCAAAGGCAGTTGCTGCTGCAGTAGGAGGAGGAACAGCAGGAGGTGCATCAGCAGGTGCAGCACGGCTGTTAGCGGCGTTGGCGACTCGCTCTGCTGCAGGAGCAGGCTGGTAGAGGTTTCCACGCCGGATCTCCCTGTACTGGGTCTGAAGCACAGAGATGCTTTTCTCCTGCTTCTTGAGCTGATCCTGCACGAACTGAAGAGTGTTGTGCAGGTCCTGGATGAGGCTGGAGGTGTCGTTCTCCTTAGGGATCGACTGCACCTCCCTGGTCAGCTTCTCAATCAAGGCCTGAAGCTTTACAGCATCAGCCTCCAAGTTCTGGATGCGGCAGTGCTGCTCTCCAATGAGAATATTCTGCTCCGTGATTTGAGTCTGGAGCTTAACAGCGATGTCCTCAGTCTCATTAGAGACACCCTCAGCAGAGCCAGCCTCATCCTCATTGTCAGCATCAGCCTCAAGGTCAGCTTCACTTCCATTGATCTCCATGTCAACCACGAAGTCCTCAAGGTTGAGATCAATGTCAGCAGCAGTAGCAGCATTATCTCCTTCATTGCCAACAACAGGCACCTCCTTAGTAGCATCCATCTCTTGACCAGAAGCCATGAAATAGGTTAAGGAGAGGAGATCCCAACAGATCCAAGAATAGTCTTTAAGAAATCTGATTACTCTTATAGAATAATCCAATACAGAATTTCTTAAGATTGACTTGTTTGCTAAATCTCTCTATCACCTCAATGATAGAGCAAGATATACTCCAAAAGATTAATCCTCAACAAGTCCTTGTAGATCTGGAGATACACTCTTCTACACAAGGTAGATCAAGAGTCTTCCACCAAAGGTGGGTAAGAGAAATTAATCTCTTCAAATTTCTTCTCAATGTTAATGAAGAAATATGAGCTCCTTGTAGATCTTGCACTCCAGTGAAGTATTGAAGTAGTTGTAGCTTGGAGTTTGTAGATCTTTGTAGAAGCTTTGTAGATCTTGAAATTTCTTCAAAATCTTCAAAGATCTTGATAGCTCCTTGGATGAAATCCTGGATCCACAAGCTAGGATCCTCTAAAAAAAATAGTCCAAGTAGCAAATGGCCACACAAGGCCAAGGAAGAACCTTGCTCTAGATACCAATGTAATGCCCAAGGCTATTATAATGGCGGTTACAAGGCTTTTATAATATTCCAATACAAAATAGTAGCCTTAACTAGCCTCAAAAAGCCTTGGAGATGAAGATCTTCTTGATGCCTTTGATGAAAAGCACTTAGAGTAGTAGTGTAGGGAAGCTTGTGAGAGAGCCTAAAGGACTTAGCCCAAATAATCCCATTTCCAATTGTTTAGTTGGAGTGGGAGGTTGAGAATGAGCTTGCTTAGCTCAGACCCCCTCAATACACCCCTTGGGGAACCATCCCAACCATGGTTTCCATGGTGGGATGGCTCCTAGGCTTGGAGCCTATGTGGCAATTGTGTTGGGTTGGAAAACCCAACTTAGAACCATTCAATGGTTGTGTTTAGGATAGAGTAGATTGTTACAATTGTTTGGCAGTTTCTGATTGGTTGGAAATCCAACCTTCAAATCTCAACTTTGATGGGTTGGAGTTTCCCAAACCTCTTGGTTGAGGTTTGGAGAACCAATCCAAACCTAACATCCCAACCAAACCCAACCTTCTTCTCCAAGTCCCTCATTGTCGAGAAAACTCTCGACATTTGACTAGAGGGAAGTTGGTTGGTGAGCTTAGCTAGGGCAATGCGTTACAGGTGTTTGGATTCCGTTAATCAAATCCTGCCCGCGGGCAGTAAACTAACCTTCCCTCTCCCACTCCCATCCCAAGCCCCCACCCCCCGCCCCCCCAAACAGGGTCCCGCACGAATGACCTCCACCTCAACGCGGTGTGCGGGTGTAACGCTAGAGGCTTTTGCCTCTAGCGGCCAAGAGGGGTCAAATGAAGACGGAGTTCGGGCAGCTCAACACTTGAGTCGGTTCAACACTTCAAGCAGTTCTACACTTGGAGTGGCGCAACACTTGGAGTGGCGCAACACTTGGAGTGGCGCAACACTTGGAGCGGTTCAGCGGTTGAACACTCCAACACTTGAAGAGGCTCTTGAGTTGACTCAATACTTGGAGCGGTCAACGCTCGGCCGTAAAGGCAGAGCAGTTCAACACTTCGAGCGGCTGGCGTTCCGCAGAAGAAGTAGTTGAAGAGTTAGGAACTTACCGATGCTTTGTGACTTGATATTTAAATCTATATAATGCATAAATGGTTACCACCCTGGAACATTAGGATGCTTCGTTCTCCAAACATGTTCGAACGATTGATGCGAGATGCTTCAGTCTCTGTTACGCTAGATCTAAGCGCGAAGCGCAAGTTTACCGTTTATGAGCGCAAGTTAATGCTTAGCACCGCAGATGATGTCAGTCGCGGTTATCAGCCGTATATTAGTCTTCGACTTCAGGTAGTGAACCAAGTACCGCCAGTTGCGTGCTTCAGAAATTTGCAAAGTAGCCAGTAGCACGCGTTTTTTTTTTAACCGATGCATTGCGGAACGTCGATTCGCGGGCACAATAGTACCATTTGCGGACGCATTATTAGCCTCGGTTCGTATGCGCGCGATTAGCGTCGGCTATGCGGCCGGTTTAATGTCCGTTAACAAGCGAAGGCACATCCAAGCTAGGTGGTGACTGAAGGGAAAGATTGGGAGGGGAGTGTGGGGAGAGAGGGATTGGGGGGGAGGGGAGTGTGGGGAGAGAGGAATTGGGGGGGAGGAGAGGGGGGAAAATGTTCCATCTCTCCCCGCTCTTCCCTCGTCCCCACCCGCTCTCCCCTCATTTTCCCGCTCCCCTTCATTTTCTCCCGATCTCCTCTCGCCCTCCCCCGCTCTCCACTTATCTCCCCTCCGCCCCCCATTTTTCCTCTCCCGCCCACCCGTCATCACCCTCTCCCTCACCCCTCATCCTCTTTCCCAACCCACCTCCTCTCTAACCTCATCTGTCCTGCCCGCTTCTGCCCTCCTCTCATCTCTCAACCCTTCATCTCCACCCCTCTTCTCCCCTCCGCTCACTCCCTCGCCAACACTCACCCCATTTTCTCCCACGCACTCTCCATTCCCCATCCCATCATCCCCAGACGTGCATACCCCTCATTATACAACCCCTCATCGCCCCCCCTTCTCACTCGCCACGCAGCCCCACTTCCCCCGCCTCTCCCCCCCTTCCTCTTCCCCCTCCCCCTTTCCCCCAACTTACCTCTCATCTCCCCCACACTTTCCCCTTACTGTTCCCCAACCTTACATCTCTTACCCGATTCAAGATCTCCCTTTTTCGTTGCATCTCTCCCCCCTCGACCTCCCTGGACTATCTTCCATACCCAGGCTCCTCCTGCCCTGCCTATCATCTCCAGCCCTCATCACCCTCCGTTATTGCCTGCATCTTCCCTCAACCTCCCTCATCTACCTTTACCCAGGCTCCTGCCCTACCTACCTACGGTACATGACTCTGAATTGTCTTCGTGGCTTTGTCTTCGCAACAGAGGAGGCGCAGCAACTCGTGCGTGTTAGTTCGTCGATTTGTTAGTCAAGTCAGTAGAAGCCTGCCTTACTGTATAGTGTGACTGCTGGAAGCCCATGTATTTATGTTCCATCTCAAATAATCTGGATATCAATTCACTAGTGTGTTGTGCTGGCGTGGAAATCATCCATTGTCCACTGTCCATCCACTGATTGACAAACATCATATGCATGTGCTCAAGCCTATATCTACACAACGTCCACAAGTTCTACAGCTACGCCACCATAAAAACCCATTTCTTTCAAGTCGTCTGCCGCCATCAGTTGAAATAAAGGCATATGCTATCTGGTAACAGCCGGGCTAAGCGGCTTCATAGGCACGGGTGAAGACATGTTCCTTGCAAACAACTCCGCCTTGCGCTGCTTGATCGACGGAATGCTCCCATTTGAACCATTCTCCACCGCACTGGTCCCACTTTTCGTAGCAGACCCAGGCGTATCTGTAAACTCCTCAAACTCAAGCCGGGCTACAGGCATGGAAGCATCTGAAGATGCTGTGGATGCAGATGAGTTGAAGGAGCTCGAAGCAGCAAAGGAAGGAATGGTGGTTCCAGAGTCTAGGGATTCGCGTAGAGCCTTGTCCTTTTCCTCCTTAAACTGCAGGTAGAACGCCATGATTGACGCTGTGAGCATAAGAATCATCTTGGGTCGCACCTGGGGAGGGGGAAGAAACAGACGAGCGGCCAGAGGAATGTCAAACAGAGAGAAGATGGAGAGGTGGGAGGATTGAGGGATCGAGGGATTGAAGCACAGACGTTTTGGACCAGGAACACAGAGCACCCAACACAGAGCACCCAACACAGAGCACCCAACACAGAGCCCCCATACAGAGAACCCCCAACACAGAGCCCCCAGCTACTTTTATGACTCAGAGACTCTCGCTTGACTGCTCCGCACGCACCTTGACAATGTCGTTGGGTACCAGGAACACGGAGCACCCCAGCTTCCTGGCCACGCTGATCACATAGTGCGCGTTCTGCAGCTTCTCCTCCTCTGCAAGGGCGCAGGGAGGGGATGGGGAGAGCAGAACGAAGGGGTTGGACATTGGTGATGGGGAAAAGAACGTCGGGTGGAAGGAAACGATGGGGAGAACTGCACGAGGGGTGCAAGGCAAACAGGGGCAAAGAGGAGGATGTTAGTGAGAGGCTGTCAGGGTACATGCTGTGGGTTGTGCGTGTGTCGGTGGTTGACACGTGGACACTCTCAAAAGCCAACATCCAAACCAACCAGACACACCAACCCACCATTGGCGCCGTGGGTGACAATTTCCCAGTTGATCACTCGTGGCTCCACTGCAAACATGAGGTCCAGGAAGAACAGCCCTGACGACAGCCTCGGATCCTGCATTGCCGAGGCACGGCAGCAGGTTCGGGGGAGAGGGTTGGAAGGGAAGAAGGAGGGTTGGGGAAAGGGGCAACGAAGTGCAGTGGTGGGGTGTGTGGGACAGGGCAAGATGGCGGGAGATGCAGGAAGTACGCGAGGCGCAGAAATACGAGCGGATTCAGCCAGAAAGAAAGGATGGCGGGAGGGAGGAGGGGATGAGGTGAGGTGACGTAAGGGAAGGGGCCAAGTGGGTGCGGGGTGGGGGGTGGTGGGTGGTGGGAGAGAGGGGGGAAGAGGTGGGGAGAGGGAAAGAGGGGGGGAGAGTAGTGAACGACGTCCTTTTGCTCTTGCTCACATACCTTGAAGCTCTGCATGCGTGACGAGCGCTTTGCCTTCTCCACCCGCTCATTCGCCCACTGCAGAATATCCCCATCGCTTAGCTCATGGTTGTGCCTCATGGTTGCACTCTGTTCGCATACCTTGAAGCTCTGCATTCGGGATGAGCGCTTAGCCTTCTCCACCCGCTCATTCGCCCACTGCAGAATATCCCCATCGCTCAGCTCATGGTTGTGCCTCAGGTGCTGCAGCAGCGACACCATGTGCAGATGCATCAGCTGCCATAGAAACCCTAGAATCAGCTTCCGGTTCCCCGATACGATATCGTTGCCACCCGTGCCGACCAGGTTCAGCTTCAGCTGCCGCCCGACCCGCAGCGCCTGCTCGCAGTTCTCGATTTTTTTGTACACTGCCCGCAAGTGCTGCTGCCCGCCTGAGGGGCGTGCGACTGTTTTCCACTCCACACACCCTGGGCGGATCTTATCCATAACCTCCAGAAGAACAATGCTGCTCCAAAGGGTTTCAGGGTTTCAACAGGGGAGAGAGGGGAGGATAGGGGGAACCGAGGTAGGAGAGGTGGAGGGAAGAGAGGGGGAGAGGGGAGAGAGATGAGGAAGCGGGTATGGGGAAAGGAGAGGGACAAATGGGAGAGGCGAGGGGGAAAGGGGGGAGAGGAGAGTAGGTTTAACTGTGTTTCTTTCGTCAGGGAGGCAACACAGTGTACCAGTCATTCCGGAACCACGGGAACCTCCCTTCCACACTGTCTCGCACCCCCCCTCCCTCCCCCCCGACTTCCACATTCAGCCAGGCCCGGCATACCCATGGTGCACACATCAACCCACTAACCCCCCAACCAACCACCCACCCACCCACCCACCCACCCACCCACCCACCCACCCACTCACCCACCCACCCACCCACCCACCGACTCACCCACCCACCCACCGATCCACCGACCAGCCAGGCCCGGCATACCCGTCGCGCACATCACGAAAGAGGTCACAGACAGGAGTGGACACGCCCACACTGTTAATTTAAAAGCGATACACCCGCTTCGTCCCACCCACCCAATATCGTGCAAGTTCCCCCTTCTCCCTTTCCCCCTCCCCCCCAAGACATTCTGCATACCCGTCGCGCACGTCACGGAAGAGGTCACAGACGGGAGTTGAAACGCCCACGCTGTTGATCCAGAAGCGGTACACGCGCTCCTCGTCACTGTCCAGACTGCGATCCACCTCCAGCTCTTCATTCATACCGCTCTCCTTTCCGCAAAACCCAGACGACACTCCCACACACGTTTCTGCCCCTTCCTTGCCGCAAGGCATTCTGCGCCCCCCTGACCCTCCCGGGCCCCAACCCACCGACCAGCCAGCCAGCCCTCCTTACCCGTCGCGCACGTCCCGGAAGAGATCGCAGACAGGAGTTGAAACACCCACGCTGTTGATCCAGAAGCGGTACACGCGCTCCTCGTCACTGTCCAGACTGCGATCCACCTCCAGCTCTGCCTGCTGCACCACTCCCAACCGCACCGCACCTGCCCCTGCTGCAGCTGCAGCTGCTGCTTCTGCGTTCTCAACCCCCGATTTGTCGTCCGCTGCATTCGCCTCCTCCTGTGCCTTGAGTGTGTGCCTGGGGGGGATGAGAGAGGGATGGGCGCGATTATAGGAGATGGTGATGGTGTAAAGGGCAAGTGAGAGGGTGGAGGGATTCAGAGGGGACCATTTCCTTATGTGCCTTCAGTGTGAGTTTGGGAGTGGGAATGGTACAAAGGAGCACCCACATCCACACCCACGCACCCATCCACCCACACACCCACAAAGCCACGCACTTGCGCACACAACCACCCAACCTCCAACACACCCACAACCCCTCCTCCCCCCTCTCTCCCCCCCCCCCCCCCCCCCCCCTCACACACACACCCACGCACCTCATGTGAAAGAGGTTGGCAACAAATGCGAGGTTGAGATTCGTGCTGCCATCCACGATATCCTGCGCCTGCACGTACTTGCACTCACACCCACATCCACACCCACACACACCTACGCAAACACTTGCACCCATACCCATACTTGTCCACACACACAACTCACCTCATGTGGAAGAGGTTGGCAACAAATGCGAGGTTGAGATTCGTGCTGCCATCCACGATATCCTGACCCTGCACGTACTTGCAGCACCCTATCCTATCCGCCTGCTTCAGCACCTGCTGCGCCCGCTCCAAACCCGGCTGATACTGCATCGGCGACAAATCACACATGTCTGGCGACAGCTGGTTCAGCAGGAGGGTATACGCCTCGCCGTCTTTGATATCATGGCTGAAATTGGACACTTCCTTGTGGTAGTTGGCTTTCTTTAGGTGCATGTTCATCCACCGCAGCAGCAGCTGCTCGCTCGACTCGTGCCGCACGTCTTCCCCTGACTGGCAGGTGGCGGCAGGGAGGAGGGGGGTGAAGGGAGACGCACTGGTTAGGCCATGGCTCTCAATACAAAGCTTGGGTTGAAGAATGAGCTTGAACTTAAAAAAGGAGATCTGATTCTTGAGATGGTTGAGTAGGCTTCGAGCTTTGCTCATGCATACATTCATTTGATAGGGCATGGAAACCAGACAAACGCGACGCATCCATATGTCACACACACAGGGGTACTGTGGCCACAGCAGCAGCAGCAGCAGCAGCAGCAGCAGCAGCAGCAGCAGCAGCAGCAGCAGCAGCAGCAGCAGCAGCAGCAGCAGCAGCAGCAGCAGCAGCAGCAGCAGCAGCAGCAGCAGCAGCAGCAGCAGCAGCAGCAGTAGCAGCAGCAGCGGTATCTCACCTCTTTCTCCAATTCTTCGATGAGCTCAGGGGCAGCAGACACGCTGACGAATGACAGCAGATGCACCTGCAATAGAGAGCAGACACCGGTGCATGGGGGCGAGGGAGGAAGGGATGGTGGGGGAGGGAGCAATGCGTGAGGTACGTGGGTGGGAGGAGGCAAGAGGGGAAGACGGGGGAAAGAGGGGAAGGGGTGGGTTTGTCAGGGAGGAGGGTGGGAAGTTCGTGCAGTTGCATGCAGTTCGTTCATTTGTCACGGGCAAGAACGGACACACACACAGTCCCTCATCTGTGTCGTACGCCTCTACTAAACGGTACCACGTTCCGAGTCGACTAAAATATCAGTCACTGTGTGCATGCCTCCCTACTACATCATACCTTGATGATTTGTGCGATGAGGCCCAAGAGCAAGTGTTCCTGCCAGAATCAGGCGAACACGAGGGGGAAACGAAAGGGGAAAAGAAACAAAATACAGGAATTTGGGCAAGGCAAGCAAACTGCTGATAGTTTTCTTTCCTTCTTCTTAAAGCTGACGTGGCACCAAATCCACCGGTTACATGCCAGCTGTCCTCCTTGTACTGCTGTGCGTGCACCCCGTCCACCCTCGTCACTCATCCTCTTTGCGAATGCCAACCAACCACCCAACACGTGACTGACACCTGGGCACCTTGGCTCGCTTACCTCCCGCTCACTCTCTCCTTTAATCCTTCCTCGCCCTCCTCCCTTCTTCCTCGCCCCTCTCCCCTTTCCCCCGCACACACCCTTCGCCCTGCAATGTCCTGTCCGCTATTGTTGACCACCTGGCACCCCAGCGCAGGTGGGGAGCTAAAAGCGACACACGTGAAAAAAACGTGATGCCACCTCCTCCCTTCATCCTCGCACCCCCCTCCCATCCTCGCCCCCTCTCCCTTCATCCTCTCCCCCTCTCCCTTCATCCTCGCCCCCTCTCCCTTCATCCTCGCCCCCTCTCCCTTCATCCTCGCCCCCCCCCCCCACCTTCATCCTCGCTCCCAACTCTCATCCTCGGCCCCCCCCTCTCTCATCCTCGCCCCCCCCCCCTTCATCCTCGCTCCCCCCATCCTCGCCTCTCCCACCCCCTTCCCCCCCCCCTCCCCCCGCACGCACCCGGCGCTCTGCAATGTCCTGTCCGCTGATATTGACCACCTGGCACCCCAGCGCGCGCGCCGAGTTGAGCGCGAGAGTGTGGTTCTCGCTGCGCTGCCACGCGTTCAGCTGCGCCTTGCTGTTAATGGCGCGTTCGTCTATGGTTCCAGGCGCTGCCAGGTTCACCAGCTTGCTGGCGGAATTTTATTCGGTAGGGGGAGAAGACGGAAGCAACGGAAGTATAAGCGAGGCAGGGACAGGAAGTTTGAGGCTGCGTGCAGCAACGCCCGTTGACTAGCACGGGTGCACATGTGTGCTGCCGAACCAAGAGCTAACGGTGCAAACCGAACCTGACCGCACGCTGCTTACCAAAGCAAAACGCCTGACTGCACTTTATCCAGCAGGTCCCCCCCCTCGGGCGCAATCGGCAGCAGCGCCGCGACATGCTGATCCTCCGCCATGTTCGCATTGATATGCTCGATATACGCGCGTTTCTCGGATTCGTTAATGACGTGCACTGTAGACGTGACTGGCGAGCGCATAAAATCCTTGGCTGCAGAATTGCGAGGCTTGCTGAGCGGGGAGAAGTATGACGTGCCCTTGTCTATGTCCGCTTGGAGCTGGTGGGGGAATAACGGCAAGTGATAGTAACGGGGGTAGTAGAGGAAGCAGGGAAACTCATGACGAGAGTGTTAACAACGAAAAACGGAGGAGGACGGCAGAAAGACGGAGAGCTGTTAACAGGCCGAACAAAAAAGCAGGTTCATAAGGCCCGTCGGGCTGAAACGGATGGCGTGACATGGTAATTCACAATCAGACTCGAAGATTGATTCGAGTTTTGTGAACTCACGCGAAGGTACCCTTCGAACGTAAGCACGCCCTTGTCCTTGCTCCCGAATTCCGCAATCACGCGATCAGCATCGGGTTCGCTCAGCGGCGTCGAGAAACCCAGACGGACGGAATTCGCCCGTATGCTGGCCGGCGTCAGGGGGGTTCCGGGCGAAGGAGACGCGCCGTCGAACTGGAAATAGTTGACAAGATATACGGGGTGGATGCGGAAAGAAGCGTGGGAGAGGAATTGGCGGGAACAGAGTGACAGACGCGAAAAGGGTTGAATCGATAAGAAGGCTGTGTGCGAAACAAATGGGTCGGGAAGTGCTGAATCGATATTCTAATATGATATTATTAGCCTAATTCCTTGACACGCTCACGGGATTGTTGAATTACAAATGCTCGAAATGAATCTGGTGTTGGTAGGGAAGATCTGGCACACTAATCATGAGAATTTGAATAAGGACTGACGATGCTAAAGATACGCACGGATCTGCGACACATTGTAAACCGACGAAAGGGTAAGAAGGGAATGACGACCGAAATGGTTGGAGCAGCACCTGCGATTTGAGCTTTCGTAGTTCGCCTTGCGTGAACTGGTTCGCTAAGTTCGCATCCGCCACGTCGATGCTTGAAAACAACATGTCGGCGGGAATTTGCAATTAAGAATTGCCGAGCAGGAAAGGCTAATGTGATCGGATATTAATCAGCAAAAGCGCAATCAGTCTGGATTGTTCCAGCACTGTAATTACTGAATTCAGTGCCTGATGAAGAAGGCTGACATGGCCAGAGAGACCCAAGAACGGTCTTTATTCAAGCAGTCGTCTATAGTCACCGTTTCATGTACGTCACTCTGTCCTGGTGCTGCTGCTGATGGTGTGCGAAACGTCAGGGAAGGCGACGTGACGTGAAACCCAGTGACCACGGAGATTCCCTTCTCCCATGGACGGGGAAAGTGTGGGAACGAAAGCTGGATTATGGATGATCCAGAGGAAGAAAGGGGAGGGTGAAGAGGGAAAGGGACCTCGGGATTCTCTTCCTCACTGTGTGTGCTGCTCCTGCTTGAGAGAGATTGTAAAAGTTCAGCTGTGCCAAGGAATTGCCGTGTCCAAAGCTCTCCATCTTCTTGACTCTTCCCGAGTCGCCAGAACCAGCTTCCTCCCTCTTGGGATCTTCTCTGCCCATAAATAACCTCCATCTGTCAGGCTGAATGGCACCCATGTGGCCTTGAGATGGTCGGTTTCGATTGACCCTCTCGGGATGGTCGTCCAATGGGCAGGGTTATGGATTTCCCGCTCAATCGAAGGGCTGAGGAGGGAAGAGTTGTGCGACCGTCTAAACTCTGCTTTGTGGGCAAAAGTTCCGACACTGAGCTGACGGGAAACATCGGAGTTGCATACACTGCTGCTACAACGCACTTTATACTTTATGAGCTGTATTGAAAAGTTTTGAGCTCTAGAAGAGCTGTGGAATCAAATCAGCCATGGCAATGAATGACGGCGGAATCTCCTAGAAATAAATACGCGATATCCTCGGCGGTTCTTGTTCCCGAAATAAATCCCGCTAGGCACGAGCAGCGCGATTCCCGCTAGGCAGCAGCAGCGCGATTCCTGGTAGGCAGCAGCATTTACCTCGCTAGTAGCAGCGCGATCGCGCCACGTAGCCCGCGACCCAGCCCGCAATCTCGCCGCCCAGCCCGCGAACGAGCTCCTAGGCCCGTGATCCAGCCGCGTAGCCCGGTACCTCGCAGCCGAGCCCGTGATCTAGCCGCCTAGTCCGCGATCTCGCCGCGGAGCCCGCGATTTAGCCGCCAGGTTCGCGATTTAGCCGCTTGGCAGCGATCTAGCCGACCAGCCCGTGATCTAGCCGCAGAGCCAGCGATTAGGCCGCCCGCAGCGCCGTTAGGCAGCAGAACTGGCGCCATAGCAGGCTCGTTTCACGTACTGGCAGCAGAATCGCGTCACAGCAGCGAAAAACGCGCCACAGCAGCGAAGTCCACGCCACATCAGCGAAATCTGCGTCACGGCAGCGAAGTCCGTGCCACAGCAGTGAGATCCGAGCCATAGCAGCGAGATCCGAGCCATAGCAGCGAGATCCGCGCCATAGCAGTGAAATCCGAGCTATAGCCGCGAGATCCGCGCCATAACAACGTGGTTTGCGCCATAGCAGCAAAAGCCGTGTCTTAGCACCGAAATCCGCCCCTCAGCAACGGAATCCGCGCCATAGCAGCCGCGCCTGGGCCATCGCAGTGAAACCCGCGCCATAAGAGTGTGATCTGTGCCGTAGCAGCGAAGACAGCACCTTTGCAGCGAAACCCGCGCCATAGCAGCACCGTAGAGTAAGAGCAGTAGCAGAGAGTAAGCGAACAAGCCTTAGCCAGATCCTTGAGCCATGGCGGACAACCCGGACCCCGGGGATCCCGGGGGCCGGGTGGGGGGCGGCCTTGACAGCGACGTGACGGGAGCCTTCGGGGGTGAAGGGGGGGTAAGCACAGTAGCAGCTGGTGGGTCGCTCCACCTATTGACCGGTCACAAAAGACGGGGGGGGGCTGAGAGTGCGCTCCAGAGCCCACGCATTTGTCGCCTCCACCACGAAGACCTTCTGTGCCTCTTTGGCAAACCAGCCAAGAGACAGTGTTGTGAAGCAAGCCGTTCGATTTCAGTACTGACATGCGGCCAACCTCTCGAAGACCCTCCCAACACCGGGTCTGACGGCGATTACCCTGTACCTTCGGCCATCATCGGAGAAAGGGGGGGAGCAACAACCGAAAAGGGTCCAGTCGACGAGGCGGCGGTTGTACCACGGGTGGCATCGGAGGTAGCGAGGGCAGCCTGGGAGGAACACCGTAGGCGCTTGCAACAACAGCATGACACTCGCAGACGCTGCCTACCTGTGAGGGCAATGTTGCACGGCGCCGGCTCGGCCGACGCCGCAATCCCCCCGGTCGTGCCACGTCTCGCATGGCGGCAGGAGCGGAGGCGCCGGAGTGCGGCGGGGAAAGACAGGCAGCAGGAGCCACTAGTGGGGGGTCAGCGTGACCCGCAGGTGGGCGGGCAGCAGGGGGCCCGGGAGAGGAGCCGGCAGCCGCCGGTGGGGACGGGGCAGCAGGAGCTGCAGAGCGGAGGGCAGCAGGAGCTGCAGAGCGGGGGGCAGCAGCAGCTGCAGAGCGGAGGGCAGCAGGAGCTGCAGAGCGGAGGGCAGCAGCAGCTGCAGAGCGGAGGGCAGCAGCAGCTGCAGAGCGGAGGGCAGCAGCAGCTGCAGAGCGGAGGGCAGCAGGAGCTGCAGAGCGGAGGGCAGCAGGAGCTGCAGAGCGGAGGGCAGCAGCAGCTGCAGAGCGGAGGGCAGCAGCAGCTGCAGAGCGGAGGGCAGCAGGAGCTGCAGAGCAAAGGGCAGCAGGAGCTGCAAAGCGGAGGGCAGCAGCAGCTGCAGAGCGGAGGGCAGCAGGAGCTGCTGAGCGGAGGGCAGCAGGAGCTGCAGAGCGGAGGGCAGAGGCAGCTGCAGAGCGGAGGGCAGCAGCAGCTGCAGAGCGGAGGGCAGCAGGAGCTGCAGAGCGGAGGGCAGCAGGAGCTGCAGAGCGGAGGGCAGCAGCAGCTGCAGAGCGGAGGGCAGCAGCAGCTGCAGGGCGGAGGGCAGCAGGAGCTGCAGAGCGGAGGGCAGCAGGAGCTGCAGAGCGGAGGGCAGCAGGAGCCGGTTTGGGTGTTGGATGTGGAGATGGCGGACGAGGCTTGCACCGATGAGCTGGAATCAAGCCCCATGGAGGGGGGGAATGCCAACCCTGATTCCCCGGACCAAGCGGAAAGGCCCCGAGCGCGGGGCCGGGGCCGGAGGCGACGGGCAACCAAACTGCAGCAGCTGCAGAGCGGAGGGCAGCAGCAGCTGCCGAGCGGAGGGCAGCAGCAGCTGCAGAGCGGAGGGCAGCAGCAGCTGCCGAGCGGAGGGCAGCAGCAGCTGCAGAGCGGAGGGCAGCAGCAGCTGCCGAGCGGAGGGCAGCAGCAGCTGCAGAGCGGAGGGCAGCAGCAGCTGCCGAGCGGAGGGCAGCAGCAGCTGCAGAGCGGAGGGCAGCAGCAGCTGCCGAGCGGAGGGCAGCAGCAGCTGCAGAGCGGAGGGCAGCAGCAGCTGCCGAGCGGAGGGCAGCAGCAGCTGCAGACCGGAGGGCAGCAGCAGCTGCCGAGCGGAGGGCAGCAGCAGCTGTAGAGCGGAGGGCAGCAGGAGCTGCAGAGCGGAGGGCAGCAGGAGCTGCAGAGCGGAGGGCAGCAGGAGCTGCAGAGCGGAGGGCAGCAGGAGCTGCAGAGCGGAGGGCAGCAGGAGCTGCAGAGCAGAGGGCAACAGCAGCTGCCGAGCGGAGGGCAGCAGCAGCTGCAGAGCGGAGGGCAGCAGGAGCTGCCGAGCGGAGGGCAGCGGCAGCTGCCGAGCGGAGGGCAGCGGCAGCTGCAGAGCGGAGGGCAGCAGGAGCTGCAGAGCGAAGGGCAGCAGGAGCTGCAGAGCGGAGGCCAGCAGCAGCTGCAGAGCGGAGGGCAGCAGCAGCTGCCGAGCGGAGGGCAGCGGGAGCTGCAGAGCGGAGGGCAGCGGGAGCTGCAGAGCGGAGGGCAGCAGCAGCTGCAGAGCGGAGGGCAGCAAGAGCCGGTTTGGGTGTTGGATGTGGAGATGGCGGACGAGGCTTGCACCGATGAGCTGGAATCAAGCCCCATGGAGGGGGAGAATGCCAACCCTGATTCCCCGGACCAAGCGGAAAGGCCCCGAGCGCGGGGCCGGGGCCGGAGGCGACGGGCAACCAAACTGCAGCAGCTGCAGAGCGGAGGGCAGCAGCAGCTGCCGAGCGGAGGGCAGCAGCAGCTGCAGAGCGGAGGGCAGCAGCAGCTGCCGAGTGGAGGGCAGCAGCAGCTGCAGAGCGGAGGGCAGCAGCAGCTGCCGAGCGGAGGGCAGCAACAGCTGCAGAGCGGAGGGCAGCAGCAGCTGCCGAGCGGAGGGCAGCAGGAGCTGCAGAGCGGAGGGCAGCAGCAGCTGCAGAGCGGAGGGCAGCAGCAGCTGCAGAGCGGAGGGCAGCAGCAGCTGCCGAGCGGAGGGCAGCGGGAGCTGCAGAGCGGAGGGCAGCAGCAGCTGCAGAGCGGAGGGCAGCAGCAGCTGCAGAGCGGAGGGCAGCAGCAGCTGCAGAGCGGAGGGCAGCAGCAGCTGCAGAGCGGAGGGCAGCAGCAGCTGCAGAGCGGAGGGCAGCAGGAGCTGCAGAGCGGAGGGCAACGGCAATTGCAGAGCAAAGGGCAGCAGCAGTTGCAGAGCGGAGGGCAGCAGCAGCTGCAGTGCGGAGGGATGGAGCTTGCAAGGCCGTTAGAGGGGGGCATGGAGACGGAGTCTAGCAGGAGGGTCTTGCCGGCGTGTTCGAGTGGAGAGGAGCACCCAGACCCTACATTGACACCCCCGCCCCGCATTCCGTGCGAAACCTGTTATCGCACGTTCACGGAGAGAGGAAAGGCCACACGCCATATGTCGGCCTGCAGGGCTGCGGACGCCCAGCGTCGTGCTCAGGCGCTTGGGTTGACCCGCGACGTCACAGATGACTCGGACGGCGAACCCCCGCCACCACGTGATATCAGTGAAGAGGTATGGGCCGCAGTTCCTACATGGGACTGGGAGTCGTTTTTTGGGATCGAATTGGTGCCAGGGAGAATCATGCGTCGTATCCCACAGCGCGCTAGATTGGGGGTGCTTGATGCACTGTCTTGTGTCCTGAAGCGGCTACAGTTAAAGGCAGCAGACGAGGCGGCGTCCTTGGTCTTTTTTACCTTCCCTCGTCTTATCTTGGGGATGCCAACTGGGCAAGGCCAAGGGCATAGGGCGGCAATCAGGGAGCGGTTGGAGAAGTTTTGGGTCGGGGAGTGGCGGGAGCTGTTTGAGTTGGCGGTGGCGGTAATGCAACCTGCGGCGCTTCCTTTGTCCTTCACCCCCCCCGAGCATGATCCTGATGCGGTGCGCCTGGCTCGCTGCCGCACAAGGTGCAAAGTGGGAGAATGGAGTCGGGGTTTGACGTGTCTTACTGCCGGTAGCGTCGCTCAGCCCTCTCAGCACATGGTGGACGCGCTGCGAGCGAAATACCCATCGAGCGAGACCGCCTTTCCGGAGTGGTTGCAGGAGGAGATAGTTGAGCCTTCCCTTATCCCGCAGCTCTCAGTGGAGGTACTTGGTCAGGCGATCCACTCTGCGGCTAGGGCGTCGGCACCAGGACCGTCGGGGTGGGTGACGGAGCACCTGCGCGACACTTTTCTCTCTGAGCCCGCATACCTGCCTCACCTGCTAGGAGTCTTCACCCAGTGGACCAAGGGAGAGGTAGCGGAGCGCGTGCGACCCTGGCTCACTGCGTCCAACCTTGTGGGCCTGTCGAAGCCGAATGGTGACGTTCGCCCGGTGGCTATAGGCGAGGTGCTCCCCCGCATACTATCTCGGGCCCTATGCATCGTGCTTCGGCCGAAGATGATGTCGCACTTTGCGCCGTGTAACCAGCTAGGAGTCGGATCCAGGTCGGGAGTGGAAGTCCTCGCACATGCCTTTCGTTCTGCCATCTCTACTCACCCGTCATGGTGCGCGCTTCAAATTGACGTGGCGAACGCTTTCAACTCCTTCCATCGACGGGAAATGTTTGAAGGACTTCGACAGTCGCCTTTTGCGGGTTTGATCCCATTCCTGCGTGTCTTCTACGGCACTCCTAGCGACCTCTACCTCCGTGCGGGCCCCTTCGTCGAAGCTTTGGCTTCAGAGCGAGGATCGAGGCAAGGGGACCCATTGGGGCCGTTTCTGTTCGTGTTCATACAGCAGCTGGTTATGGAGCCCACCAAACAAGAATTCGCCGACCTACTCTTTCTCAGGCACGCCGATGATACGTACATCTTGGGGCCTAGGGAGCGGGTGCTAGCAGCTTATGAGGTCTTGCGGGAACGACTGGGCGGGCTTGGTCTGGAGGTGCAGCCGCATAAGTGCAAGCTTTGGGAGCGAGGGGTGGACCAGGAGGGAGAGGAGAGGAACGAGACCGTCCCGCCCGGCATGCAGCAAACATGGACGGGGCTCACCGTAGTGGGGGTTCCTATTGGGGAGGAGGAGTGGGAGGTGGCCAGCTTGCGAGGCCGGCTGATGCAGCTGCATGCACCTGTCCCTTGGCTTCCTTTGCTCGACCACCCACAGATTGCGTCCCATCTGCTGGCGATCGCAGTGTCAGCGCGCCCGATTTACCTCACAAGGACGATGCCTCCACGGCCTGAGGTTGTGGAGGCTTTCCGCGACTGGGACACGAAGCTTGAGGATTGTTTTGAGCAGCTGTTTCCAGATAGCACCTGGGATCATGATTCGGCAAGGTCGCAGATGGCCCGTCTACAGCTGCACCTTCCAGCCAGACTTGGAGGGTTTGGCATTCGATCTGCAGCTGACCTTAGCCCTCTGTCGTACGCATGTGGTTGGTGCCAGGCAGTGAGCGATGTGGCTCGGATGGGGGTGGCAGGGGAGGAACGGATGTTTGAGGAGTTTTTCCGCACGCCCGAGGCTACGACCTTGCTGGATCCTTGGTTTGCGAGAGCAGTGGAGCTGCTGCCACAGTCGGTCAGGCAGGAGATGCCACCCCTAGCCTTATGCACCGCTGACCCCCCTGTGCTGCTTTTCCCCACACAACACCGTCGCCTAGCGGTTGAGAGTCTGCAGACTCTTCGGGGTATGGCCCACGACGACGCCACCATGGCCCGTTTGACATCCCTTCAGGGCCCGGGGGCAGGGGCGTGGGTCTCCGCCATCCCTTCGCACGAAGAGGCTACCTTCACCGCAGCCGAGTGGAGCATCTGTGCGTCCATGCGCCTAGGCCTCCCCATACAGCAGCTGATAGTCGCCGGCAAGTGCGCGTGTGGGTTTGAGTTTGCTGATCCCTCTGACCCGCATCATGCCCTTCGCTGCAAGTACCAGTACGCACCTTCTCGTGTTCACGACGCGGTTAAGTTTGTGGTGGCGAAGATAGCTAAAGGGGCGGGTGGGGTCGTGACCATGGAAGACGACACGTTGCTGCCAGGGAAGAGGGTGGAAGTGGCGGTGCGGAGACTGAGGGAGGGGGAGGAGCATGCGCTGGAGGTTAGTGTGGTGGACCCTATCTCGTTGTCCGCGCAGCACCATGGACAGATTGGTCGCAAGGTGGGTTTTGCCGCTAGAGAGAGGGAAAAGCGGAAGGCGGCGGACTACAAATTGCTTCTGCAGCGACATAAGGGAGTGCAGTTTACACCTCTCATTGCTGAGACATGGGGTTGCCTGGGGGGGAGTTTTGGGCGGTGGCTTAAGAAACAGGGCGACGCGCAGATTGAGGTAGCGAAGACGAAAGGGGCGGCGAGAGCTACGGGGAAAGGTTTCTCGGCTTACTTGCTTGGATCACTTAAAGCGGCCATAGGTGTGGCTTTGCAGCGGGCTCAGGCGCGTGTGATCTTGTTGCGCGCGGCGTCGATGATGAGAGGCCCAGAGGCTGTTTCGGTGGAGCGGGAGGATTTTGAGGAGGAGATGGGATGGGATGCTCCGTGGGCGGATGCGCCCTATTTGGTGGACATGCGGGTTTAGAGGGTGGGTTTAGGTGAGGGGGGTGGGGGGTTTGGTTAGATGGGGCGTATTGTTGGGGTGTCTCGTTGGGGTGTCTCGTTGGGGTGTCTCGTTGGGGGTATCTCGTTGGGGTGTCTTTTGGGGTTCCTTATGTGCTGTTCTACTGGGGTGTTCTTGAGGCTGCGTTTTCCGTTTTTCTTTCATTTAAAACTGAAAAAAAAAAGTTAATGTTTTTCTAGCTCGATCACTTTTTGTGGTATCATTATATATGGTTTATGCTTATTATAAATTTATTCATACTTTTATGTCCAGAAAATTTCTTTATTATTCTTTCAACCTTCTGGTTATTAAAGTGCTATATAAATATGATTGCTTTGTGTTGCTGTCATTCAGATAACATCTTGTTCAAGTTTACTGTTCATCAGCCAACTATTTCAGGACCCCCACAACAGTTCCTCACGAACAGGCCCGCAAACCATCACGCGTCTTTTTCCCACGACAGCCCATACCCCCGCCTTCATCGCCTGGAACGCCGCCAACGGTCGTTCCCGTTTAATCTCCGACATATCGCTCGCATCATCGTCACTCCATCACACCGTCGGTGGTAAACATGCCGTACGAATCGCTCCCTCCATTCGTTCTGATCGCGTCGATGCTGTGCGCCGCGGGTGGCATCCAGCACCTTGTCAACCGGACCCTGTACGGCAAGGTACACCTCTTCAAAAGGCCTCCTCATTTCCGTTCCATTTCTATGTTTGTTATTTGGAATGGGGGCTCGCGCGTCGCGGGCAAAACGTCGGTTCTAGGTAACCCTAATGTAGAAACTTAGGGTTGGATTTGCACAACTTGGGGCTCTCGAGCCGCTGTCGCTAACTGGCTCCTTGCTTCCACAGCTTTCGTTCGAGGGATCGGCCCGAGGAGGAAGGCTGATAGTTGGTCTGGGTTGCACAACAAGGGTAGTCCAGGTCCATATGTTGTAGGGACGGAACCACCCACTTGTGCGGGGTGGCTCACTTGGGACGGAACTACTTACTGCTTGCATGTCAACTTTCATGGATCCGCCTTGAGCGCTTGATGCGCACTGTTGCTGACAGTGGTATCGTTACTCCCGGCTTGTTGTCCTGGGCGTGCCATGCGTACGGGGGACTTATTTGCCTGTGCGTTTCGTGCGGTGTGTGCGATGCGTGCGACGGTGCGTTGCCATGCGTGGTGAGTGCAGCCGAAGCACCCGAACTCGGACGCATGGGACTACGCCATGGAGGCCCGTGACAAGCGGCTGGTGGAGGAAACACGTGCTCGGGTATGAGCCGTCGAGCCTCGCCTTTGCTCATCTCATTGATGCTGTTGCTCTTTAGGCCCCTGCTATTGTCATGTTCAAATTGGATCCAGAGTGACTTTACATGCTGAGCATTCTGTTGTTATTCCTTTCTTGCGTTCATTCCTGTCTCCCCATGCTACAGCGTTGACACCATTGGGCTTCCAGTATTCATCTTTCCATGTGATCTAGCATGAAGCGGGTACAGTACCGTACATCGTGCGTTGTCTGAAATGTTCAGCATATTGTAAGAAATAAGAATCTTCTACTGTCTGATAGGTTGGGGGTGGGCAGGGTCGTGACTCGTGGTGCTGCTGTGATTGCCCTTGAATTGTGCTGCTACTTGGAGCATTAAAGCGACCCAATCTGAACACTGGTTCTCTGATGGCGTTGTGTTTCCTGGTGGAGAGGTCCAGCCGCCATACACATCGAAAATCATGCTGGTGGTAATGTAATTGGATGCATTGACTTGTTTTCTGTGGGCACTTTGTCCTGGTATGGTTGGTACCATAAGTATGCATGCCTGGTGCCGCACTGACCAGGATTAGTCCTCCTGCCAGATGTATCGTATTTACGCGGAACTTTGTCGAAGGGGCAAATTATCGCAGCCTTCAATTGGAAGGCTACAAAGCAATGCTACACCGGAGGAGGCCTAACTGTGTCAGGTTACACCAAGGCCAAGGTACTTTGTGCTGGCACAGTCTACACTTATCAAAATGTGACTTCAGCTGGGCATGTGGAACTCAAGGTAATTAGAGGGGTCAAGGTGATGGGCTCCTAATTGCCACCAGAGTTTCATAAAATGTTGCTGTTGCACTTGTATTTCTTTCTGGTCTAAATGAAAGCACCAAGCATATGACTCACCGAAACGTTCCGTTCCGATACACGAGTGTTCCACATTGGACCAATCACTCCCGTCGAAATGATTTTTATCCACCCCGTACAGCGACTTCCAGGTCATCGCACTGCCTTGAAATGGTAGAAATATCAGAAACTCGAATCTGACGGTTGTTTCCAGTTTACCCCTCTCTAGCTCGCTCCCCGCAAGCTGCCTTCAACGGCTCGTTTCGTTTCGCTGGGCTAAATTCATCTGCCACTGACAGGCAGGACCTGCCCGTTGATTCAAGCGGCGTCGCTTGTGTCAGACGGGCGTCGGTTTGACGAAACTTCCGTCAAGATGGTGTTCATTCGGATTGCCCAGACGAATTGCTGATTTGGACCACCCGAACTAGAAAGATCGTGTAACCAATCAGAAATCTCCAGAAGGTTGAAGGTGTGGGGGAAATTGTCGCACAAAGCCGCTCTCGACGGAGTACACGTCAGGCTTGACCCCGTTTGTGTGGGGTTTCGCTCTCCTTCACTGGCGCAGGCACAACTGGATGGCTGTGCGACTCAGCGGCACGAACCATCCTTGTCGTCTGCACTGAACCCTTCCTCATCTGGCGCCCGACGACAGTCCGCTTGCGCTTTTGCGACCGATGAAAGTCCAGCCAGCGTCGCAGGCGATCAGTGCAGTGAGCGGACTTTCTCTACCCTCCTTCGCCAGCAACCAGCCTCCCCGACTACGCAGCTCGCAATTCGTAAATTCCCTTTCGCGTCGGAAAGGAACTCGTCGTGTCGCCGTCAGCGTGTCGCACGGAGGAAGTGCGGGAAACAAGAGCAATTCGGAAAGGCGCCTTTTCCTCCTCTGCCCTCCCCACCCCATCCCATCCCATCCCATAATCCCTTCCTCTGCCTCTTTTCTTTTCGCGCGCTGCTGAATTGAGTTGAATAGACAAGCTCTCGAAAGAGCAGACCAGGGAAGAGGAAGCTGACCATGACGCAAGCATGCTGATTCATGATGCCAGATATAGAGAGCCACCATCCTACACTCTCTTTTGAGTTGTGTGTCTGCCAAATAGTCTCTGCAAGCTAGAGCATGTCTCTCCAGCTAAGGATTCTTCCACTAGAGAGCGAGTTTTAGTTGTCTAGTACGACAGCTGGTAGTTCCATTAACTACCATCTATCCCCTCGGGTCCCGCAGCTGCTGTGCTCGTGGCGGATCATTCCCGCTTCTTTCAATAAGCTAAGCTTATACTCGTGCAACTCCCTTTAGCAGCTCGCTTCTCAGCAATAGTAGCCCGCGAATAACACTTACGTCCCATCACGTCCCTAAGAAAAAGCTTTATTCCAGCGCACCTTTGTGTCGCATCTTATTGGCTGCGAGGCACGCAGCACCCCGCGACCGGCCGACCAAAATCAGCCGTCTCACAACCATCTTGCGATTACCTCTAGCCCTGCTGCGAATTCCTGATAGTATTTCCACGCTAGAGAAGGTCGCGAGGCGAGGGCCATCAGCATAACCTTGAGAAGCATAGCCTCCAGAGCTCACCCAACCCGCGCTCGCCCGTCCGCAAGCAGGAAGCGGAAGTCCCCGCAACAATGGGCGCGGCTATCGCGCAACCAGCCGGGGACGGCTGTAACCGAAAGGCGGGCGCGCGCAAGCGGGCCGTCGTTCTAAGCCATGGCGGCCCCTGGGTTCGTCGCGCGCAGTCTCTCGGTCGCCTGTGGTGGCCGCTCCTCCCGCTCTTGCTCTTCGTCATGATTATCACACACGGCCAGCTTCTCGCATTCCTCTTCCTCCGCATTCCCCCGCACCCCATCTCCGCATCCTCCGCTGCGTCTTCCGATTCTTCCGTCTCCGCCGCAGCCGCTGGGCTCATCCTCTCTGTCCGTCAAGGCCTCTCGGCGTTCTCGTCCTTCTCCTCCGCAGCCGCAGCCGCAGCTGCCGGCGCCGGCGGAATCGCGTGGTCGTTCGCGGTGGTTCTTATCCGCGGCGTGTGCGAGCCGATAGCAGCGCTACTGCTGCTCGATTCGCTACTGCTCACGCTCTCCGGTCTCGTGCTCTGGCACAGGGCGCGGCGGCAAGAGCGCCTGCAGACAGCAGCCGCAATCCACGCCAGAGCTAATAAGAGAGCTACTAACGGGGTAGCTAGCGCGGATGTTGGTAGTGGTGACGTGTGGGAGGAGAGTGGTAACAGCATGGCGGTTAACTTGGGCGTCGCTGCGTCCGCCGGGTGCGACTGGGACGGCGCCGCCGCGTCCGCCGCGTCCGGCGGCGCGCTCCCCGCGACGTCCACGTGGCCGTCCGTGCTGGTGCAGCTGCCGATGTACAACGAACGCGAGGTGTACGCGCGGGCGATCGCCGCGGCTTGTAATCTGGAATGGCCGCGGGGGCGGCTCGTGGTGCAGGTGCTAGACGACAGCACGGACGAGGAGATTTCGCGCGGAATGTGCGCGGAGGTTGCGCGGTGGCGGAGCAAGCTGAGGTGCGGGGGCGCGAGCAAGGGCGCGCGGAACAGCTTCGGCGGAAGCATCGACGTGCGGTACCGCCACCGCACGGACCGCGCGGGGTACAAGGCGGGGAATCTCCGCGAGGGACTGACGGAACCGTACGCGCGCGCATGCGCGTTCGTCGCGATTCTCGACGCGGATTTCGAGCCTTCCCCCGACTGGCTCCTCCGCTCCGTCGCGCCGCTCGCGCGCGACCCGCAGCTTGCGCTCGTGCAGACGCGCTGGGCGTTCAGTAACGAGTCGGAGTGCCTACTAACGCGTCTGCAGGCCGTGGAGCTCAAGTGGCACTTCTTAGCGGAGCAGCTGTTCAGCTCATCCGCGTTACAGTGCTTCGGCTTCAACGGCACCGCGGGCGTGTGGCGCACAGCGGCAATCGCGGACGCGGGGAGCTGGCGCGACGATACGACCGTCGAGGATATGGATATCGCGGTTTGCTCCGCGGCGAAGGGATGGCGCATGCGGCTCGAGCCCACCGTGGAATGCGCGAGCGAGGTCCCCGCAGGTTACGGCGCGTACAGGAAGCAGCAGCACCGGTGGACGAGCGGCCCCGCGAATCTCCTGCGCCTGCGCGGCGGGGTCGTACTTACCGCGGAGCGGTCCGCGCTAAGCTGGCCCGCCAAGCTGTACTTTGTGGGGATCTACATGTTTCTTCGCCGGGCTGCCCGTCACTTGATAGGAATCTCCTTCTGGCTCTTCGTCCTGCCCGCGTATCTCTTCTCCTCCGCGCTCCCGTCCGCCTTTTCCTCCGCCTCCGCTTCCGCCTCCGCGTTCCCCTTCCCCTGGGCAATGGCGGCGCTAGTGCTTGTATACCCACTCTGCCTGTTCGCATTCTCCCCCTCGAAGCTCCGCCTGCTGCCTGCGTACTTCCTGTTCCTCGGCGCGCTTCTCCCGCTGCGCGCATATGCCACGGTGGCAGGGCTGCTCAACCTATCCAGCTCGCACACGTGGGACGTGACTCAGAAGCTGGGCCGGCGCGGCGCGGGCGGCGCGAAAGGAGAGGAGGAGGCGCATGGGGATGTGGAGGGTGAGGGGGAAGAGGAGACGAGCGAGGAGGAGGTTTCGTTGAGTGGGGGTGAAACGAGTGAGGAGGAGGGGGGAGAAGAGGGGGATACAGAGGAACAGGAGGCACATGATTCAGAGGAGGGTGAAAGGGAGAGTGCTCTCGGCGAACGGGAGCTGAGATTGCGGCCGAAGCGGGCTAGTAAGGCAAGCCGCGACGCATCCATGACGTCAGCAGCATCATGCTCCTCATTTTCCTCCTCTTCTTCCAGTGCTCCCTCCCTCTCCTCCTCCACCACCTCCTCTGCTCCATCCTCTCCTGCCCCTCTCTCCCCGCAACCCTCGACAGTGGAGTTGATGTCTCTCTCTGCTCCGTCCACAGCAGCTGCAGTAGCAGCAGCACTGGCAGCACAAGAAGCAACTGTGAGAAAAGCAGGAACTGCATTTGTGCCAGAGCTGCTGTTCGGCTGTTACCTGCTGGTGGTTGCTGCTGCGGTGGTGGGGACGAAGGGGGTTGGAGCTTTGGTGCGGCCAGGAGAGGGCTCAGGAGATGCTGCCTGGTGGCTAACAACAGGATTAGTGGCCTTGCAAGGAGGGTGGGCAATCTGGGCCGGCTTGGGAAATCTGGACATTAGTGATTGAACATGAGGCTTGAGTAGGTGACATGGATTACAGGTGGTTGGTGCTGGAAGGTGGCGTTTGAGTTGGTCGTGCGGTTGTGTTTCTGATATTGGGTGCTTTTGTGTGAGGTGGCTTGGAATGAGGTGCCTATTGCAGGCACCATTAGCAAAAGTAGTGTACAACGACAATAGAGGGTTAGCCTGCAAAACTGATAAATTAAAGCAACTAGGCCTTTACTTTTAGTGGCTTTATTTGGTGTTTGGCATGGCTTCAAACTGATGCAATGCCATGATCAATATTGAGTTCTCCAGTTCTTTAAACACGAGATGCCTGCTCACGGTTACTGAAGTAGTTGGTTTTCAATCTGTAGAGATGGATATACTGTATCGAAGCAGTAATCTGTGCTCGTACCCATACCTGTTTCAGTGTGACCATTTGCTCCCACAGTTCTGGAAATACTTGCTGGCCTAGCGAAATGCTTGGGTGAGAGTGGCTGGGCAAAACTCCTGTGCCATGTGGCGCAATTTGGTGCCTCATCCACTTTGACACGACAGGCAACATGCCAGTTGCTGGGACTAGTAAAAAGATACCCAGAAGTGCATCATCGACATGGATCATGCTGACGTAAACCATAAAAAGGAACTCACATGCCAGGTAAGCAGCTTGTTTGAGATTGACCCTCAAGAAATGCCCTTTTCAAATCTACCGTGTCGCTCCCTGACTCGAGGGCTGGCTTCCTTTCCCTACCACGTGGAATATCGGTGCTGAAAGTTCCAGGGTGCCCCCAATGGCCACGTCCATCTCCAAACACTGAAATCGCGTCCAATCCTCTGTTGCCAACTACACAGGCTCATCATCATGATCTGTTTGGGCGGGCAAACAGCAGTGTAGGGCAAGATGCAAATCTCGACGTCGCATGTGTGGAACAAACGAGCTTCCTCAGGACTTGTCATTTGGACGAGTGGAAAAAACCGTAGAAACGTAGAAACCCTACCCAAGCGTAAAGAACCGTATAAACGTCGCTTTCGAATGCACAGCATCGCACTCCAACGCATAAAAGCTTTTGACAAACAACAAAGCTAGAAGGTGGGGGAGATCATAGACGCGACGTGATGCAGATGATAGGAGATGAAAGACATGCACCAGTACCGCAGCAGAGTGAAGTCTCAAGGTGGATTGATTGGCCAAGGCAAGGCAATGACAGAAAGGAGTAATCAAGGGCCAGAGCAAGCTGTCCTTTCCTTCTGCTTTTCAAATCTCATTTCCGGTTTTCTTTCCTGGTCAGGGCAGCAGCACATGCCATGGCTTGGAAGAAACGGTGTACGACAGGACATGGCCACAATGCTCTTGAGAACTGATTCTTGCGCGAGGAGTTGAACCCGTGCGGATCAGTTGTGCTCTGTTCAGTAACACGATATTTTGGTTGCTGAAGGCCAGTCCTTAGAATTCAGGTCGTGAAATCCGTGTGCGCAGTGAGCAGCGAAAGTACGTCTTTAGTCTCGTCTATGCAGATTCAGTTGACGTCGATTTTCTGATTTCCACAGAGAGAACGTTTTCCGTCAGGCAAACTCTCACCTAATTCGTCGATAACTTCGCTGTACTCACGCAACAAACTCGTCAAGCGTTCCGTGTCCTTCCACTAACGTAAACGGAGAATCTGTAGTGAGCTCTCTTGCACTACGTCGACCTCCTCGAGAAGTTTTTGCCCGGTCTTACCTCACCGGAAAAGTACCTACCACTACGCTTAAAAACGCATCACTGTAAACGAATTACGGGCTGTTGCTATTAAGGCAAGCCAGCTGTCAACCCTGACGCTGCTCAGAGTTCGCACGCTCCTGAAATTTCTCGGTCAGTGACGGGGTAGGAAGTCGCGACTACTACACAAACAGCGAGTGTCAACGGGAGGATAGGTGGCAGCACGGGAGGCTCCTCTGGTGCATCCCCCGGTGCATGGCCACCGCTCTCAACCTCACCCAACGCCGTTCCCTTACGTGATACCCCATTCAGCCGTTCCTCTGCCTCTTCGCCAATTCCCACCTGCTCCCACCCCCCACCGCGTCGGCTCCTCTCTCCGTCCGCCTGCTACCACCGCGCAACCCATGGCTCAACCCATGCCTCAGAGCATGAACCAGGGCGTAAACCACGCTGTGACTCACGGCGTGAACCAGGGGATGGGCCAGCCAGGCATGAATCAGGGCGCGAGTCAAGGCGGAATGGGTCAGCCGATGGGCCAGGGCATGGGTCCTGGTCCTGGGGGTATGCTCCAGCCCGGGCCTGTGATGCAGTATATGCAGCAGCCGAACAGCAACCCCATGCCCGTGCAGTCACCCGCTCAGCCAGGTGAGGTGGGAGAGAGAAAGGGGGAGGGGGATGGTGGGAAGGAGAGAGATGGTGGGAGGGAGAGAGATGGTGGGAGGGAGAGAGATGGTGGGAGGGAGAGAGATGGTGAGAGGGCGAGAGATGGTGGGAGAAGAGATGGTGAGAGGGAAAGCGATGGGGAGAGTGAGAGAGATGGTGAGAGTGTGAGAGACAGTGGGAGTGAGAGAGATGGTGGGAGGGAGAGAGATGGTGGGAGGGAGAGAGATGGTGGGAGTGAGAGAGATGGTGGGAGGGAGAGAGATGGTGAGCGGGAGTGAGATGGTGGGAGGGAGAGAGATGATGGGAGGGCAAGAGATGGTGGGAGAAAGTGAGATGGTGAGAGGGAAAGCGATGGTGAGAGTGAGAGCGATGGTGTGAGAGATGGTGGGAGTGAGAGAGATGGAGACAGTGAGAGAAATGGAGGGAGAGATATGGAAAGAGGGAGAGAAGCGAGAAGTGTGAAGCGGGAGAAATTGCGGCAGAGCGCGAAAAAAGAGGACGAGAGAGGGAGAGACAACGAGGGAGAGGCGGGATGGCATTAGGAGTGGTGAGAGAAGGAGAGGGAGCGAGGGAGGAAGTTCCGCATCCTTTCCTTGCCATCACACCCTCAGTCCTCCCTGTCGCATGCCGGTTCGCCCATGCTTCTCCTCTGATGCGACAACGAGGAGGACGAGGAGGACGAGGAGGACCACCACCAGTTCACTAACCGACCTGATTTCCCCTTTCTTGTCTTTTTGTTGTTTGCTTATACAATGACCACTCGCCCCCTTCCGTCTCAAATCCACCCTTACCCCCTCCCATCTCCCCCTCCCATCTCCCCCTCCCATCTCCCCCTCCCATCTCCCCCTCCCATCTCCCCCTCCCATCTCCCCCTCCCATCTCCCCCTCCCATCTCCCCCTCCCATCTCCCCCTCCCATCTCCCCCTCCCATCTCCCCCTCCCATCTCCCCCTCTCATCTCCCACACCCCTCTCTTGCTGTGCAGCAGCGCAGTCGCAGATCGTGTGCACGGGGTGCCGCACGCTGCTCGTCTACCCCAACAACGCCTCCAACGTCCGCTGTGCACTCTGTCGCACGCTGCTCATGTACGTGAGGGGCGCCACTAGCGTGCAGTGCTCCTGCTGCCACACCGTCAACCTCTCCTCTGACCGTGAGTCTAACTCCTACCTCCACCTGCTCCCACCGTGTCTCGACAGCGTACCCGTGCTCCCACCTGCTCCCACCTGCTCCCACCTGCTCCGCACAGCCACCTGCTCCGCACAGCCACCTGCTCCGCACAGCCACCTGCTCTTGCCATAGGGGTGCCGTGGCTTGCTTGCATGCCTAGTCCGCACTGCCTGCATCAGTGCGTGACTCTCCTGTGCATCACACTGCGGCGACAGGATGCCCCTCCTGTTGCCTCCCCCGACACACTGACTCCCCCTCACCTTCCGAAGTTTTGCCCCGTCCCTCCTCCTTCACCCTTCCTGCTCCCACAATCGCATGATGCTCCCACAATCTGTATTACTGAGAACCTGCACTTTCTATTGTTTCCTCCAGACACCTTGTACACAACACCATCCTCTCTCTCGTCCCGCCTCCTCCTCCCTCTCCTTCTCCCCAATCTCTCCCCCCCGACCTGCAGCAAACCACGTGGCGCACATCAACTGTGGGGGCTGTGGCATGACGCTCGTATACGCCATGGGTGCACGCAGCGTCAAGTGCGCCGTGTGCCAGTTTGTCACCCAAGTCATGGTGCGTGCTACTTGTTAAGTCGGCTCATTTCTGAGTTGACTACTTAGGTGATTCCAGAGTCGACTCAAATGCTGGGTGCATTTAACGTCAAGTGTGACGTGTGCCAGTTCGTGACCCAAGTCATGGTGCATACGGCTCAGTCACCGTACGGCTCAGTCACCGTACGGCTCAGTCACCGTACGGCTTGCTTGCTCTGATTCGGTGGCCGTGCTTCCATGATCCATCCCATGCTCAAATTCATCAGCTTGGCCCTGCATGCATGAGTCTCGATACTTCCGACTCAAATCCATTCTCAAGTCAAAGACAAGTCTCAATCAAGCGTGGAGTGTGCTACACACTCCCCTCTAGGGATCGCATCACGGCCTAGGCTTCCCCGATCGACTTTTGAGAATTTTCAGAAGTCAATGCAGTGATCGCATCACACCCTTGGCCTTACTGAATCTCCTTTGTTTGTACAAGAAGTTTGAGCACCCTGTGCCTGAGGCTCATAACGTGCATGGCGATGCTGTTTTGTTTTGCTGCTTGCATGTTGTGTTTCTGTATCGCAACAGGTGCCTCCAGCAAACATACAGCCATTACAGCAGCAGCAGCAGCAGCAGATGCAATCGCAGCAACAGCAGCAACAACAGCAACAGCAGTTCACACAGCAGCAACAGCAAGTGCAGGTACATGCAATTTCTGTCCTTTACGCCTACATCTACCTCCACGCATCCTGTAAACGCTGATCCTAATCAAGGTTAAAAAAAACGTCGTTTTTTTGAAAATTTACCGTAAAAAACGGCCGTAAAAAACGACCGTAAAAAACGGTTAAAAAGGTTCCAGAAGGTGGTTTCGTTTGAAGAAAAAATCCGCCGATTTCTGGGACCAAATTGATGGCGAAAGGTACCAGGATGAAGAGGACGAACCCCTCCTTGCATGCGTGCGCTTGTGGGCATGATAAAAAATGTATTCGACCTTGTTTTTCCCTTTTTTTGTTGGTGGCAACAGTTCTCTAACAAAAAAACACCGTTTTTTTGGAAAATTACCGTATTTTTGAACCTTGATCCTAATCTTCTTCCCTGCTCTTCTTCCCTGCTCTTGTTTCCTGCTTCACTCATGTTTCCCCCAGAACCTGCCTGCCTTCACAGCTCACTTCCATCTGCCTCTCTTCTTCTCACTTCGTTTTCCCACCCTCGTCCATACCCGGCACCACTCTCTGAAGCTCCAAAAAGGCTTAAATCTTTTTTTCTGTTTGGTTTTCCCCGCTTTCTCCCTGTACCTGAAACCCCAGACACAGCACATGGGCAACAGGACGTGAAGGAAGGAAGCACCCTAAGTGTCAGATGTGAGAGCAGCAGTAACGTTGTTAGGGCATGTTGCCGGATGGGAGGATTGCAGTGGAGTGCAGTGGAATGCAAAAAGATGTGGTGGAGTGCATCGGAGTGCGGTGCGGATGAAAGCGGTGGCGTGCGGTGGAGTGTGCAATGGAGTCGATGGGACTGGATGGGTCTGTGCAGCGTCTGTGGTGCAAGGCTGGTTCACCGCCACACGGCCCTCTGTTTTGCTATGGCAGTTGCAACTTCGCATTCACTGCTCTACCTGCATAATCGAGCAGCTGTTGTTGCTGCTGGTGCTGCTGCTGCCTCACACAAGGAGCACTTGCATTGTTGCAGCAGAGCAGAACATGTGTTCCGCTTCTACACCCTTCAGCCGGAAATGGGAGAAATACCAGCGTAGTTCAACTGTATCATTCAATTTTGTAGCAGCTTGCTTATGACGGTTGTTCTGTATAGCATTGAAAGTGTAGGACGGGAACTACGGGAGACTATGCTACAGAAGATTAAAAAGATTAGGATAATGCGAGCTGGTTGTGGGGGTTACACTGTACACCCCATGTCTTGGTGCATCAACTGCCGTTGCTCTTTAATGTGTAATGGCAAGAACCTTGCGTGGGAGCAGCATGGTGCAGCGGAGCAGAACCAGTACAGTATCCTACGGTATCAGCATTGCATCTTCAACACCTGCCAGTGCACATGGGTAACTAGTTCAACGAGACACTGGCTACAATGGGTTTCCTATGCACAGTCCTTTTGGCTGGGAATCCCTCCCAACCCAGCCTCACCTACCAGTACCAGTACGCACTCCTTTCCTCTTTATTACACATCTAATACTGATGCTGCTGCAGCTGCTGGTACTGATGCTGCTGCAGTCACGGCATCGACACAGCTGCAGTTGTTGCTCCCAGTGCTGCACCTTCAGATGCAACTCCATCTCCTTCCTCCCCTCCTTCCTCCCCTGCCCCCACCTCAACCCCTCCTCCACCCTCACCCAATACCTCCTTTCCTTTCAACGTCATTTCCTCTCCTACCTCCCTCCCCACCTCCTCCCCTTCCACACCTCCCATCTCAGCTGCTCCCTCCCCTGGCAGCACTGGTGCCACTTGCAGCACTGTTGCCACTGGTGGCGCCGGCGGCAGTGGCGGCAGCACCCCTTGCTCTCTTAGCTGCGCCTCCCACTCCCGCAACTGCTGCACAAACCCCGCGTTCGGGTTCGCCTCGGGCCGCAACCCTCTCACGAGCGACAGCGCCTCATCCACTGTCATGGCACGGCGGGCCATGAGGTATGCCACCACCACAGTCACGCTGCGGGAGCGCCCGGCAAAGCAGTGCACGAGGGCACTACCTCCCGCCGCCTTGGCTGTGTCGATAACGGTGAAGCACTCTTGGAACCGCAATATGAGGTCCACTTCGGGTGAATCGAGAACTGCGGCGGGGAAGGGGGCGGGAAGACAAGATTGAAATGTCGTTTTGTTGGAAGATGGGAATCTAGGAGAGAACAAAAGCGAGCAGGCCTTGCTTGCCTTGATGGCTAGGAGTGGAAGCACTCGCGGTAACACAAGGAACACAAGTGGATATAAACACAAGGACGCACTCGAAGAAGCCACTCTCAGCCACTCTCACCATTGATGAGCGTGCAATGGAAGTCGCGGGGGTGTGCTGGCAGGATGGAGTGTTTTGAGTCGACTCAAAACACAGCAGATCGTACAAGGCAACCCTCTCACCGTTGATGAGCGTGTAGTGGAAGTCGCGGGGGTGTGCGGGCAGGATGGAGTTGGCGACTGTGAGCACGTGCGTCACGTTGCTGCGCTTCAGCAGCTCCCTGTTGTGCGCCGCGCCTATCGACCCCAGGTACAGGCCCTGATGCACCAACCACGAACCATGCACGCGCCGCACATGCACACACGCAGACAAGGACAGGCACAAGGAAGGGAAGTGAGAAAGGAAGTGAGAAAGGAAGTGAGAGAGGAAGTGAGAGAGGAAGTGAGAGAGGAAGTGAGAGAGGAAGTGAGAGAGGAAGTGAGAGAGGAAGTGAGAGAGGAAGTGAGAGAGGAAGTGAGAGAGGAAGTGAGAGAGGAAGTGAGAGAGGAAGTGAGAGAGGAAGTGAAAGAGGAAGTGAGAGAGGAAGTGAGAGAGGAAGCGAGAGAGGAAGTGAGAGAGGAAGTGAGAGAGGAAGTGAGAGAGGAAGCGAGAGAGGAAGTGAGAGAGGAAGTGAGAGAGGAAGTGAGAGAGGACAAAAGAAGAGACAAACCATGCCAACCCCATGTTCCAGCTCTCTGCCCCCATCCCATCTTCCCCATTCCCCCCCCATCTCTCTCACCCGTTACACCCCCGCTTCCTTCCCCTCCATCCCGCCCGCAACACCCGCCTCGTCCACAAGGAACGGCATGCAGTCCGTCTTGATGTGCCGCGCCTGCAGGAACGCTCCGAGCAATGCCACCATGCGTCTTATGAGGCGCCTCAGAAGTCCCCTTTTTCCACCTCCCCCCTCCCCTCTCCCCCCAACCCCAACCCACCTCGTCCACAAGGCACGGCACGCTGTCCGTCTTGATGTGCCGCGCCTGCAGGAACGAATGACAAGGCAAATGTTTCCAAGTCTTCCCGTCCCTCTGCCCCGATCCCCCCGTCCCCATCCTTCCCCACACACACACCTCGTCCACAAGGCACGGCACGCTGTCCGTCTTGATGTGCCGCGCCTGCAGGAACGAATGACAAGGCAAATGTTTCCAAGTCTTCCCGTCCCTCTGCCCCGATCCCCCCGTCCCCATCCTTCCCCACACACACACCTCGTCCACAAGGCACGGCACGCTGTCTGTCTTGATGTGCCGCGCCTGCAGGAACGCTCTGAGCAATGCCACCATGCGAGCTCTCTCCACCGCCCTCACCACCTCCACGTGCCGCGCCATGCGCTCCGCCACGCTCTCACCCCCTCCTCCTCCCCTTTCATTTCCTTCCCCTGCTTCCCCTTCTCCCCCTCCTCCTCCGTCCCCTTCCCTTCCCTCCCCACTTTCTCCTTCCTCCCCTTCTGCTCCTGCTCCTGCTCCATTTCTCTCTCTTCCTCTTTCCGGGTCCCCTTCCCCCTCCTCATTAGGGCGCTTTTCTTGCTCCGCCCCGTCTGCTGCCCCTCCCCTCGCTCGCTCCCTCTCTTTCCCGCCTCCCCTTGCGCCCTCCCCTCCGCTCTCCACATCTCCGCCATTAGCTCTCCCCCCCGCTCCCCCAAACCCTTCCGCCCCCTCCCGGAAAGCTTCCCTCGCAGTGCCCCCCCGTTCCCCCCCCTCGTCCGCATCCGCACCAGCCGCCTCTCTTTCCCCCACCTTCTCTCGCGCGCTCCCCCGTTCCAATCCCCCGCCTCTTCCATCGTATTCTCCGCCACCACCGGCGCAAACTGCTCTCTCCCCCGCCGATCCCCCTCCCGCTCCGCCTGCGGAGGCTCCTCCGCCGGCCTCCGCTCCCCCGTGCGCGGCGCCCGATCCCCGCCGCGCACACCCAAACACTCCGCCGGCCTCGCCGCTGCCGGCCATTGGCAGCTCATGACTGCTTTTTATTCACTTATGTTTCTTTAACGTCTGCCTCGTCAAAAAACAAAATCAAACAGATCGCGGCTCAAAAGCTTACTCGTCGTTGTTCACGACGTGTGCTCACTAATTGTCCACGCCTAGCGGAATTCGCGTAACTGCAGGTTACCGGATCGGATGCGACTCGGAAAGACGCCGCAAGGCTGAGCTATGGCTGAAGGCAATTACGCTAGCAGCGACTGGGATTGAAGCAGACCCGATGAATGATCGCGGGGGAGTTGGTTGTGGTGTGGTTCAAGCTTCTCTTTATTCAGCAGTCTCTAACTCCGGCTTCACTGAAAACAGAATCATCCATCACCCATGCCACGTCAATTACACGGACCAATTCAGCGGCTCCGCGGAACAGACTCGGGAGGAGGGGAAACGGTTATCTGCGGTACAGCGCATGTCGATAAAAGTCAGTGACGGAGCTGAAGGACTTACTAATCAAGATCTTGGCAAGGGTGATACGGTATACAATACCTTCCCAATCCACCCTTTTCTAGTGACAAAACAATAGCAGCTGACAAGTGGATTCGATGGAGTGTAACAATCTAATCACCAGAATAAGATACTGTTCACTGGAGTGGGGGTTTGTTACACAAGCCGCTCCATATACATGCCTTTATATTTTTACAAGTCATTGCATAGGGAAGCATAGGGAAGCATAGGGAAGCATAGGGAAGTCTAGGGTGGGCATTCCCCCCCAGAGTGGCCCATGGGAGCCATTGAGTAAGCAGCCAATGTGAGAGGAGAGAGCGTTTACTGTGAGGAGTGGCCGGTGGTGGGGCGAGTGTGGGGGGGCAGGGGGCATGTGGCACAGTGTAACGGCACGGCACGGAGCTGCTGGAAGATGTGGCGCTGCACTTGAGCATGCCTTTTCCTGCTGGTGGCTCATTACGTCGGTGCAGCGGACTGCTGATGGCTCAATATGTACGCTCCTCAGAGGAGAGGGAGGCGGCGTCTCTAAAGCGTTCCTTCTTGAGCACTACGTCGGAAGTAGAGAGCAATAAATGCAAGAGGGAGCGGCGGGTGGTGGAGTTGGTGGGTTGAGTGAGGGCCAAGAGCAGTCTGAAGGTGTGGCTTCGAAGCATTCCTTCCTGCTGCATTATGTTAGTTCGATTCCTCGCATGGCAAAAGCAAGACAAGAGAATGGCGTAGGTGCAACCATTGAGAGAGGGAACTGCAGATAGAGGCATAGGGAGGGTCAACCGCAGTTACCAACAGTGTGTGTAGAAGTGCATTGAGGGCAGAGGGAAGGAGGAACACACCTAATGAGAGGGGTCAAAGCCCTGCCCCACTACCGCCACTTATCAACTGTAAGACGTCACCCCACCCACCTCCCCCCCCCACACCTCTTCAATGCCCATGCTCGACATGCCACAACCCCTCTCCGGGAACACAAGGGCACGAGAAATATAAAGGAAAACAAGGGTATACAAAGGTATAGAAGGAAATCCAGGGAAACACAAGGAACATAATGGAATCCCGTATTCCTGTCGTGGGCGAGAGGTTAGGCGGGCGGGAGGACTGGCAGCTGGCGGACTGGCGGGTTAGCGAGCAGGCGGGAGGGCGGGCTGTACTTAGCGGGCAGGTTGGACAAAGTGCTCACTTGGACCAAGTGGTCGCTTGGACCAATTGCTCAATTGGACCAAGTCGTCACTTGGACCAAGCTCACCTGGACCAAGCCGTCACTTGGACCAAGTGCTCACTTGGATCAAGTGTTCACTTGGACCAAGTCGTCATTTGGACCAAATCGTTGCTTGACCAAGTTGTCAATTGTACCAATTGCTCAATTGGACCAAGTCAACACTTGGGCCAAAAGCTCACACGGACCAAGTCGTCACTTGGACAAGTCGTCGCTTGGACAAGTCGTCGCTTGGACGAAGTCGACGCTTGGACCAAGTGCTCGCTTGGACCAAGTCGTTGCTTGGACCAATTGCTCACTTGGACCAAGTGCTCGCTTTGACCAAGTCATCACTTGGACCAAGTCGTCGCTTGGACCAAGTCGTCGCTTGGACCAAGTCGTCACTTGGACCAATTGCTCAATTGGACCAAGCCGTCGCTTCGACCAAGTGCTCACCTGGACCAAGTTGTCACTTGGACCAAGTCGTCGCTTGGACCAAGTCGTCGCTTGGACCAAGTCGTCGCTTGGACCAAGTCGTCGCTTGGACCAAGTCGTCGCTTGGACCAAGTCGTCGCTTGGACCAACATGGTAGGGGGGTTGGGAATGGTATAATTTAAAGTAAATGGGAATACATATGGTTGCTGTATTTGTACAGAACGAATAATGCGTCGGCCGGTAAGGCCAGTATGCACGCTTGTGTGTAGGTACAAGGCGGAGCTGGAACTCTGAAATCTCCTAAACTATGTGGATCGGAAAGGTTATAACCTAGTGTTGTTGAAGTAGAAGGCCTAATCTAGTGGACTGGCAAGAATATGGCACTAACTGCATCTCTACAAACATACGTAATGCGCTGGTCAGTTTGGTCGGTATGCGCGCATGTTGTGCAGGTACCATGGACGACTGAAATGTCTTTATCTGCCAAATTTCATAGATCCGTTAGGTTAAAACATGGTAAGGGGGTGGGGAATGGTATCATTTAAAGGAAATGGGAATACATATGGTATTCACTGTATTTGTACAGAGAAAATAATGCGTCGGCTGGTAAGGTCAGTATGCATGCTTGTGTGTGTCAGAAGTAGCAGGTAGAAACAGAATTGAAGAAAGGAGGGGTTTCACTAGCAGTAGTTGGGATACATATAGCAAACCCTAACTGGGTTATACCCGCTATAGAGCACCCCACTACAGGCTAGATATTAACATTCTGACAGTGTGTAGGTACAAGGCGGAACTGGAACTCTGAAATCTCCCAAATTATGTGGATCAGAAAGGTTATAACCTAGTGTTGTTGAAGTAGAAGGCCTAATCTAGTGGACTGGCAAGAATATGGCACTAACTGCATCTCTACAAACAGACGTAATGCGCTGCTAAGTTTGGTCGGTAGGCGCGCCTGTAGTGCAGGTACCATGGACGACTGAAATGTCTTTATCTGCCAAATTACATAGATCCGTTGGGTTAAAACATGGTAGGGGGGTGGGGAATGGTATCATTTAAAGGAAATGAGAATGCATATGGTATTCACTGTATTTGTACGGAGAGAATAATGCGTCGGCTGGTAAGGTCAGTATGCACGCTTGTGTGTAGGTACAAGGCGGAACTGGAACTCTGAAATCTCCCAAATTATGTGGATCGGAAAGGTTATAACCTAGTGTTGTTGAAGTAGAAGGCCTAATCTAGTGGACTGGCAAGAATATGGTAGTAACTGCATCTCTACAAACATACGTAATGCGCTGGTCAGTTTGGTCGGTATGCGCGTGTGTAGTGCAGGTACCATGTACGAATGAAATGTCTATATCTGCCAAATTACATAGATCCGATAGGTTAAAACATGGTAGGGGGGTGGGGAATGGTATTGTCAGAATGTTATTATTGTCTAGCCTGCAGTGGGGTACTCCATAGTGAGTACAGCCCAATTAGGGTTTGCTATATGTATCCAACTGCTTGCTAGTGAACCTCCTCCTTTCTTCATTCTCGTTTCTACTGCTCAATCTTGACAGGTATCATTTAAAGGAAATGGGAATACATATGATATTCACTGTATTTGTACGGAGAGAATAATGCGTCGGCTGGTAAGGTCAGTATGCACGCTTGTGTGTAGGTACAAGGCGGAACTGGAACTCTGAAATCTCCCAAATTATGTGGATCGGAAAGGTTATAACCTAGTGTTGTTGAAGTAGAAGGCCTAATCTAGTGGACTGGCAAGAATATGGTAGTAACTGCAAACATGAGTAATGCGCTGGTCATTTTGGTTGCTTTGCGCGCCTGTAGTGCAGGTACCATGTACGACTGGAATGTCTATATCTGCCAAATTACATAGATCCGATAGGTTAAAACATGATAGGGGGGTGGGGAATGGTATCATTTAAAGGAAATAGGAATACATATGGTATTCACTGTATTTTTACGGAGAGAAAATGCGTGGCTGGTAAGGTCAGTATGCACGCTTGTGTGTAGGTACAAGGCGGAACTGGAACTCTCAAAATCTCCCAAATGATGTGGATCGGAAAGGTTATAACCTAGTGTTGTTGAAGTGGAAGGCCTAATCTAGTGGACTGGCATGAATATGGCACTAACTGCATCTCTACAAACATACGTAATGCGCTGGTCAGTTTGGTCGGTATGCGCGTGTGTAGTGCAGGTACCATGTACGAATGAAATGTCTATATCTGCCAAATTACATAGATCCGATAGGTTAAAACATGGTAGGGGGGTGGGAAATTGTATCTTTTAAAGGAAATGGGAATACATACGGTATTCACTGTATTTGTTCGGAGAGAAAAATGCGTCGGACGGTAAGGTCAGTATGCACGCTTGTGTGTAGGTACAAGGCGGAACTGGAACTCTGAAATCTCCCAAATTATGTGGATCGGAAAGGTTATAACCTAGTGTTGTTGAAGTAGAAGGCCTAATCTAGTGGACTGGCAAGAATTTGGTACTAACTCCATCTCTACAAACATAAGTAATGCGCTGGTCAGTTTGGACGTTATGCGCGCCTGTAGTGCAGGTAACATGTACGACTGGAATGTCTATATCAGCCAAATTACATAGATCTGATAGGTTAATATATGGTACGAGGGTGGGGAATGGTATAATCTAAAGGAAATGGGAATACATATGGTAATCACTGTATTTGTACAGAGAGAATAATGTGTCGGCTGGTAAGGTCAATATGCACGCTTGTGTGTAGGTACAAGGCGGAGCTGAAACTCTGAAATCTCCCAAATTATGTCTATCGGAAAGGTTATAACCAAGTGTTGTTGAAGTAGAAGGCCTAATCTAGTGGACTGGCAAGAATATGGCACTAACTGCATCTCTACAAACATACGTAATGCGCTGGTCAGTT